TATATGATTTTGAAAGCTTCGATCATTTGTATTAAAGGGCTAAATGAAAAAATTCCTATAGGATTTAAATTCTATAAAATTACTACATAAATTCTTTGATTTAATGGGCTCTTAAGTTATTTTTCTCTCCTCTCTTAACCTCCGCAGTAAATCTCTTCTCCCGGATCGGAATATTACCTGTCAGGGACCATCCTATCCCACCTGTCCCCAAACTAAACATATTGAAAAATAGGTTCAAACCAACCTGACCCATCCCAACCCTTTTAACCAAACGCATGCTAAGCATACAAAACTCAACATGCAAGCATATAGTAATTATGGCCATGTTTGGCACGAATCTAGTTCCCAACTCCAACTTACCTAGAGCTGGAGCTCTGCCAAACAGTACAGATTCTATATTTTTTGGAGCGGAGTTAGCAGAGTTGCTCCACAGAATTGTACTACAGGGGTGGAGCTGGGTTTTTGCTGCTCCACAACTCCACTCCACCCCAAAAGATCCATTACCATTTAATTTTTTAGAGTATTTATATAAAAATACCACTCAACTACCCATCACACCTCCTCTCCTCGCGTTCTCTCTCCTCCTCCCATCTTCCTCCCGATCCCGACCGCTGCGAGCTGCGGCGGCGGCAGCTGGGACGACGACGGGCGGCGCACGCGGGACGGTGCTCGGGTGGCACACCGCAACGGCAGAGTCTGCGACGTCGGGCGGCGGCGGCCGGGACAACGCACGGGCGGCGCGTGGTGCGCGCGGAGACGACGCACGGCCGGCGACGCGCCTTGGGACGACGAACACTTTTCTTTCATTTTTTTCATTTTTTTTTCAGATCTAGAATTAAAAGCTAGCCAAACACTTTTCAACGAGTCTCCAACTCCAACAGGAGCTAGCTCTCACTGGAGTTAGAGTTTGGAGCCCTACCAAACATACAATTTATTTTATTCTAAAACTAAGCATATATATATATATATATGATAAATCATCATTCTTAAATCATTTCCATAATATTTTAATCTAAATTATTTTATCATTTTTTTATTATTTAACATATATTTCGGAGGAAGGCGCTTGGCTTCATTTTCAGCGCTTCATCTAGTTTTAGAAATGGCTAGTAGCTAGCCCGCATGCATATGCATGCAGATCCTGACGTGGAGCCCCGGTGGCGCTGCTCCCCACCGGGCTAGCGAGCGAGAAACGCCACGATCATGATCGTCTCCGCTTCTGCTGCCGGTGTTGTCGCGTCGATCGCGACTGAATGACGCGCCACGCGACGAATGGCGCCTCGCGCTTTTTTGGAGTACTCGAGATCGACAAGTGAAGGATCGGTCGGTCGGTGGTCGAGCTGCTGCCGCTGCCGCCGCTGATATTATGCTGCTGATGCTGCAAGTTGGCGATGCGGTGGTGGTGTGATTTTTCATTTCACGGGAGGGAGCAGATGGATTGGGATTGGATGGGGGTGGGTGGGCGTGTCCGAGGTGGTGCAGGGGTGACAGCTGCCGGGTGGAAATACTGCCTGCTCTCGGACTCGCCGTGCCTGATCCTACGTGCCCGCGTTCACCACCACATCGCATGCAAATTAAACTGCTACACCCTGGGCTCCTGCATCTCGTTTAGCTTTTGCTTGTGTGATGGTTGTCTCAGGGTGGTATTTCATGATTATCTTAAGTGGTATCTTTGTTTTTAAATAGGAGTAGATGTTATTATAAGAATACATCGACGGATCCAACATTTTCATTTTCGAGTTTTGATCCCCTGGTATAGTGTTGCTCCTTCTCAGTGCAATGCAGCCGACGATAAAAAAACACGTAATCACGGGAGTCCCTCTTCTCTCACAAGGGCGTCACATGAGATATGGGAGCCGTGGCGACCCAAGGAGACCGTGGTGCTGCCGCCCCAAATCTAGGCCTTCCTTGGCTAGATCCAACGAGGAGTAGTGTCGCGGGCTAGAGTGGCGATAGTGAAGACGGCTACATGGCCCCCCTCAGACGAGTTGGACGGTGGCCAAGGCATCCAAACTTAAGGAGGAAGCGGTGCGCCGGCGGCCAGATCCGGATCCAATGTCCTTGTAGCCGGATCCCGCGCCCCAGCCCTGTGGATGGATCCGACATCTCCACGTCGGATCTCGCTAGAGTTGTCGCGCGGTGGGGCGTCGGCAGGGGGAGGCCCACGTGGGCACTAATGGGGAGTCCCTCGCAATTGGCGGCAGTGGACGCCATGGCGGCTAGTGGCAAGAAGGTTGACGCAAGCAACAACAGTGGAAAGCCACGATGGCTGGCGGCAACGAAAGGCTTAGACCACAATGGTGGCGTTGGGGTCTTCTCCCTGGGTGCATGGAGATACAAAGGGGTTGCCAGGCAGAGCGCTAGCATGTGCTGTGGACAACTCGACCATAGCTCCGGCATGCATGATGACGGCGAAGTTTGGTTACGCGCCGGCCCGTGTAGCGACATAGCAGGCATTGTCCGATGGAGTAGCCGCCGAATTTGGGGCCCTGAGCTCAAACTCGGCCGTATAGCACCGTCATCGTGGGCAGCGACGACGGCGGATCGCCCTCTATGCCCGATACCTTCTCATCTCCTTGGAGCTCCTACCCTTCTTGGCTGGTTTATCAGTCATAAGGAGCTCCATGGTGAGACGGTGAAGACGGCAGCAGGAGAGGAAGGCCGTGGTTGCCGACATGTAGTAGTGGGCGGTGGTATAGTCACCTCTCCTCCCTTCCTTGGTGAGGAGATGGAGGTGATGGCATGCGAGGAAGGCTAACTAACCATTGTAGTGCAACAATGGTTGGTCGCAGGTTTAGTCGTGGTCATGGTCGTGCCGGCGTGTAGCATTGGGTCATCATGGTTGCGCCGGCATCAGATCGATCATATGGAGGCTAGCCGGCAGCGGGGCGTCAGTGTTGTGGCGGTCGTGTGTTGGCAAGGTTGGTGGGTGGTGAGGTAGCAACAGAGAGGGGTGCATGCAGGTTACAGGTAAGCCAAATCCTGGGCCGGCAGCGGTGATGCCTTTGGGCACTGCAACCCTCTTGAGGGCGTTGTCAAGGTGCCTCTCTCCCCATTTTTAATGGGATCATATTCTAGGTGAAAACCTTATCCTTTTGGGATGAGCGATGGCAGTGTTTTTAATGTCGTAACCTTCTAGGAAACGTTATTTTTGAGGGTCTTGGTCATGGTTGTGTTTTCTTACGGTATGTTAGTGGTGTGGGCACGTGATATGATGTGTTTTTCTTCTTTTTCTGAGTATAGCCTTCTAAGGCTATAATCTTGTAATACTTTGCTTCTTTCAAAGTCTTCATATAAAGATACATAACTCTTCTGCGTATCCTCGAAAAATTACTATAAGAATACCTCAAGTCAAATCTCAAAACCTTAATTCATTAAATGATGTAAGAATTTGGTACAAACACAATGATAAAACATGTGTATCAAAGACTGTGTCAATGTTCCAAGCGACAAATAAAAACACAAAGGTAGATAATTATATCAACTTAATTTATTTGAAATAAACGTCACCTCTATACAAAACCTATCACCAATATTGGGACCACTCTAATCTCCTTCAAAAATCTGCTCACAAATGGTTAGAAGCATGGCCATTTGTATAACGAATTATTCACGTCATAGATAAACGCCAAACATATCATATTTCTACATTGCCACTAGCAAGACGGAGTGCACTGGACACATACATTATGTCCTGATCTTCATATCTTTTCTATTTGAATCCAAATAAACAAGCTTCAGTACTAATCACTCTACAGCATTTGGAGGAAACCTGCCAGCCATGGCTGTCGCACCCGCACTGTGGCGCACAAAATCCACCCACCACAGGCGATGGCTGGTCCTGAGAGCCCTTTCTCCCTCTCACACCGAGGCAGAGAATAAATTTTTGGCAAGAAACCAAAACAAAAGATCTTCCAAGGTACGACCTCAAATCTCAAGGGCATCCCCATTGTCTTCCATGCTGCCGCTTTCGAGCCTTGTACTCTCTGCTCCCCCTTGTCCATTTCTTATTCCGAGAACAGTGGCCGCAGCAGCAGCAGCTGTAGCTGTAGTAGCTGGCTAGCAACTTTTTTTTTTTTTTTGCCTCTTTGGCTTTATGGATCTCGCACCACTTTCGAAATCCATGCAAATCTAACATAGCCCGAAAAGGCTAATCAGAGAGGGGGGAGGGATTAGCTTAAGCTAGACAACGTGTTTTGTGATAATTAATCGGCGAAAAGGCGTTTGATAGGGGGAGGATTGGGTAATAAAAGGCTAGGTGACTAGAAAGGTTAGGATTTGGTTTCGGTATCGGCTTTGGTGGGGAGGAGAAAAATGTAATCGTCTTGTGGTGTGGATGTAACTGTGTTGCTGCTACGTGTTGATCGTCCCTTGATGTTGCCTGCACCACTAGGCGATTTTTATTAGCTGCTGGCTGGTGGATTGTTCTAGCCTACGTCTCTTTACCGTTCATTTCTCGTATGAATGTAATAGCTGGCTTTTCATATCAGCTAGTGGTGTGTTTGTGGATACAGTACAAGATACTAACATGCCACTTATGGAGTCGTACCGATGAAACATCAAAATCAATCGACGTATCATGCACAAAACCACAACAGCTCGCATCTTAACGCTGTTTGGTGGTAGAAAAGGGGAAAAAAAAAGGGAAAACAGAAAACGGTTCCACTGCGAAAAAAGTCCGTACACGATTCAGAAGTGTGGCACTCCACTGTCTTTACACTTCCACATGACCACATCTTTTTTTGGCAAACAAACTGCTTGACACATAAGTGCGGCGGCATTAGAGAAAAAACAGAGTACTTACGAAAGGGGTCGCAACACTACAATCTGCACTAGCCCAACAAAAGTAAAAGTTGGTTAACTAAAGTGGCGTCGGTTTGTGCGAACAAATCAAACGAGCTAAGTGCAAAGCAATACTAATGGCGTCACTGATACTAATGGCGTGGAGTGAGAACAATGGCAACAACAATTAATACTAATGGCGCCAAAGATCGAGCATGGAATCCAGATCGAAATAGAATCGCTATCACTATCCTTTCGCCCTAGAGCTGTTCTTGCTTCCTCAGCCTGTACAAAGTTCCAAAATTCCCAGTGATGATGGTGATCACCACCACCGAGGATCCGTTCAAAATCAACCCCCGCCCAACCACATCAACCAACCAAAACGATGCCGGCCTCAAATCGAAGCAGAAAAGAAAGCTATCGAAAAGAAAGAACAAGATCTCCCTCCTAGCCTCGCCTGCCTATCCTATGTCCCCCTCTTATTGTACCACCAGCTGTCACGGCACGGCACGGCACGGCACAGCACAGCACTACACTGCACTTTCTCGTGTCAGCTATAGCTTGCAAATGCGCCATTGCTGCTGCTGCTGTCCCTGGGGAATATACCCTGGCCTGGCCCGAGGATGCACCTCGGGTCGAACCGGGCCTTGCGATCGGCGAACCGCTCCCACCGCCGGCCGAAGTGGCGGCGCCAGCCGGCCGGGGTCGGGTGGTGGGCGAGGTACTGCTTCGCGCCGAGGCCCGACGCGGCGGCGCCGGCGAGGCGGCGGTGGCGGAGGAGGAGCTCCTGGAGGCAGTGGTGGGAGCACCCGTCGTCGGGGTTCGCCGACCGGAGGATGCCCACCGCGTACATCACCTGGTCCGTCGACCCGGAGTCCGGTAACACGACCGACGTGTTGGTGTCCCACCTGTCAGTGAGAGGCATAAATAGTGCAACAATTAGATGATATCCCAGCATCTAACAGAGTATCAGAATTATTAGAAATGAAAAAAAAATGAGCAGTACAAGATAATATAGCTGACATTCAGTACTAGTTCAGTGTATTCTGACTCAAGAGAGGTTTGTTTTAGTGTTTGGGGGAGTGAAGTCCACATTGGTGCTGTTAAATTATTTCAGTACAGTGAACATGAATCTTTTGTTAAGGTTCATTGGTTCAACAAGATTAGAGCTGACTCTGCCTGCCACCAAGAGTAGTTTTAAACCCCCCTTGCAGATAAACTTGTATAAACTTCTTGGAAGGAGGATCACATTACAAATTCTTTCATCTGAGGTCAATGAGATCATAAAACTTGTTTGATTTTTAACACCGCACAGAATTTGTGCCTTGTCAACATCACAACAAATAGTTTGCCGATAGTCAACATTAGTTCCATTTGACCTAGATAATTATTTATCATGGGCTGGAATAAGCATATTTATCTAAGCACAAACAAGCCAAAGTATCGGTATGCTTTTCATTGAAGTCAAAAAACTAAAATGTAAGAGAGATCAAGCAACTTCTGTTTCTATATTCACTGTTGCTACTGAACAAAGGTGACCAAACTACTCTGAAAAGTAGGATGCCACTGATTAAGCTATTGCTTCAGTTGAATCATAATATGCTGATGATAACTGGCATTCTATTTTGAGGGACCCATAAAACATGATACAATTCGTAATCAAGCAACAGTCTACAAATAAAGTCGCTGTAGCCATGTAGGTGTGGACTTTCGACCAAAAAATTATTTTATGCAAACATGTAACTTTCCAACAAAAATAAGCTGCCACAGCATTAGACAAACTAACTGCCTAACTTATCGCATATTCCCATTCTTGTGTCCAACGTTTGGATGAAGCAAGCCTGAAACTTATCTGCCGCGCTGAAAGCCTAGGCAAGAATGGATCCCCCTCAGGCCCCAGCCCTCTTAATATGTGAAAAGCAGAAGCTTTACTTCTTACCACAAGAACAGACCTAAGCGGGACCAACAAGAGAATACTGATGAAGTAATGATACTAGGGCTTTAGAACCTAAGTGGGACTAGGCAGAAGGATAAATCAAACATCATTTATTAAAAAGAAAGGCTCTCTTCCTGATATCATAAATAGCTGGATGCTACCAAATCATAAATAGATGACATTAACATTTACAGAATCGATGAGAACACACTCAAATCATAAATGCTATGAAAAGAGCAACATATGTTTCCAAAGAAGAGCAAAAAGACGCCCCACACTGAAATATTAACCTAATCAGGCATGTAAATATCTTCTACACTGGGCAGTTGTAAAATTGAAAAAAAATGGACCAACATATTAATGCCAAAAGGGACTAATACTATAACACAAAGGGGCACCACGTTGGATAATGCAGACAAGTACTTGTCCTACTAGGACTGCTTGGCAGCTAATGTTGCTGATCATGAAAGAGAGATCAATTAAATAACCAATAGATAACCTTTTTCTCACAAATAATGCTTCCACGCATTGCTGTGCCCTCATGTTGGCATATCATAATGTGAAGCCTATTTAGCATTAGTGGGCAGTACTGCTTACTTGTGTCTGAGGAGTGGGTAGATGAGGATGAGGCCCTCGAAGTTATCCGGTGAGATGCTGTCCATGAGCAGGTCCCTGAAGTCACTAATCCCAGCGCTTGGCACGAACATGTTCAACCATGGATGGTGCACCTCCCAGAGCCCACTGTTCCTAAGGCTCATCTCCTCCATCCTAACCCTGTTGAGAAAATCAAAGTAGGACACCTCCACGCTATACAAGTGGGATGCTATGTGGCTCATCTGCCTTGAGATGACTTCCACGACCTGAAATAGATGAAGACTTGTTTGATCATTACCATGACTTGATAAGTTCACAAAAAGCAGAGTAAATTTTGGAGCTTACCTGTTCCACATTGATGTTCTTGTTCTGGTAATCGTGGACAGCAAACTCTATGCAGTAGTAGATCTTAGGGTTGTTCTTGGTGCCAAAATCTGGGTTGAAGTCAACATTTGTAGGGAAGGCAATGGAGGAGCTGTGAAGGGATTGCTCATTCAACACGATGAAACCTTCCACATAGTCCACCAAAACCGGCATTGACACCAGCAACTCCTGGTCTTTGGTGAAGGTGGCGAAATCATCATAGAAGGCTCTAACCCACTTCACCTAAAATGAAATTCCAGATTTGTTTAATTATATATATGCGTGTCAGAAACATGACATGCAGAAATAATGGTTAAGATCATATAATAATATACTAATATGCAAAGGACAGTTCTAAAGCTGCATACTTTCTGTGGAGCTTCCTGCAGCAGGATCCTTGCCCTAGTAATGATGCCGAACTGCCCAAGGCCTCCAAGAACAGCATTGAATAGCTCTGCATCCTTGGTGGGTGAACAGGTCACAATCTCACCCCTGCCTGTCAAGCAAAGAGGAACAGAAAATCTACTGCCCATCAGTTAAAAGACGTTGGGCAAGAAAGACGTTGAGAGAAAGAGAGAGAGAGAGAGAGAGAGAGAGAGAGAGAGAGAGAGAGAGAGAGAGGGGCAAATATAAGACCTTATCAATATTTTTTAATGTTTCATTATGCATCTCTCACCTGTGACTACTTCCAGCTGTAGAACATTGCTAATCTGAGGTCCATGCTTGAATGTCTGCCCACTGATGCCAGCATTGGACAAGGTTCCACCAATGGTGAGATAGAGGTAATCAGTCCAAGACCTTGGAGCCAGCCCAAGCTTCAAGCTCTGCTCCAGAAGCTCAATCCACATGATTCCACCACCCACATCAGCATAAGAAACATCTCCTTCTCCTCTTCTGTAGAATTCAATCTCAGAAGGCAAGGAGCTCATCTCCACTACAATGCCATCAAGGGCCTGTGCCTGTCCATGGATGGAGTGACCTGCTCCCCTGGCTGCCACCGTCACCTTGCCAAGAGGTGAGGCAGAGAGGAAGCTGAGAAGCAGGGATATATCCCTTGGAGCTTGGGGCTTTAGAACTGCAGATGGGGAGTGGAAGAGGATTCTACCAAAGTCACTGGATGCAGTGGTGGTGGTGGGAAGGAGGTTCAAAGGGCCAAAGTCCATGGGGCTCTGTATAAACTTGTATGGGGAGCAGAGAGAAAGGATGAGGATGAGCAGGTTAACTCTTGTGCAGACCATGGCAACCTCCATGGTGTTGGAGTAGTGATTCTTCCTCCAGTTGTTTCTTGCAGGAATATGGAGGGTGGTAGAAGAAGAAGAGGATGTGTGTATATTATGTTTGCTGTGTCACCACAATGTGTTGTGTTGGGATGCAGCTTGGAAGAAGGGATCAGAGAATCATATGGCTTTGTTCTTGCCTTTTAGGCAAAGTTGAGGGGATGAAGAAAAGGATGGGCAGGGAAGAGGGTTCTTAAAGGAGGAGGAGAAGGAGAAGGCACTCAGTGATCAGCTGATGAGGCTATGAGGTTTTGAAAGGGGTTTCATGAGGAAGAGGAGATAAAAGGAAGCACTAAAAGACTAAAGGAAGAAGCTGTCACATACCCAAAAAAAGGTCACCATGTGATCTTCAACCCCTCCCCCCCCCCCCTCCTAGGAGCACTAGCTCTCTCTCTCTCTCTCTCTCTCTGAAGGGAAAACAGCTGAAACAAACCCGCACAATATAAATGAGGACAGAGGAAGAGGACAACTGGGCAAGTGCATGCCTGCAAGCAAGGCTCTCCTGCCAAAGGAAAGGAGCAAAGACAATATAAGATCACACTGCACACACTCTCTCCTGCTTCCGAAGACTGTACCAAAAAGAGGTCCATGTGATTTTATTTTCATCAGCTCGATCTCACCTTCTCTCTCCCTCTCAACTCTCTATACCAAGCATGTGTTGAATACATTCAAACAGCCAATGGAGAAGACGATCATACTCAGATTATTGAGCTCACAAGGAAATCCGGATTAACCTTTACCTTTTGCTTCTCCCGGGCTGTTCTGATCCACATCCACCAGTCTTTTAAGGAGAGCCAATCTCCATGGCTCCTCCTGTTGCCCTTGACCACCGATCACCAGTTGGGCCTCAGCTCTTAGATACCCAAATCTTTTGCAGGGTTACTGTTGTGTAATACTGTTCACAGGGTCCCAGGCTCACTGAAGAAGATTGGCCACCACCCATGCCAAGGAGGATGCCCACGGATTGTGTGGCTGGATACAACTTAACAGCAAGCGCAGAAAACCTACTCCATTTGTTTCATGAAGGAGATTAGATATATATAAATATAGAACTGAAGACAAATATGCTTACTTGTCTTGGTGAAGTTAGAAGGTTGTTGCATTTCTCTGATATAAAAAGAAGTCCACTCATCGTCAAGTAACACCACCATAACCTAATGACAAAACAAAGTTTGAGTTCCAGATCTTCAACAAAAAAGAAAGAAGGTTTCTCTACCTTATGAATTTGATGATGCGGCAAAACTTAGCTGACTCATCCAGGAAATTGTTTATCTACTTTTTCATTCTCTGCCAACGTGCATTGGAAAGAAGCATGTTGCTATTATATATATGATTAGTTTTTCTTATCCCTATAGCTACTTTTCTTTTGATAGAAAGCAGTTGACATTTCCGCACTTACGATATTAATTCTCAGGCTTTTTGTTATGTTTAGGAATTGCGTTGCAACTGCAGTTTGCAAGAAAAAAGAGAACCTTACAATATGTTATCTTGTCTTCATTCGGAAGCAATCTGCTGCCAAGGGAATATAATCTAGTTGGGTCATTACCAATGTCAAGAATAGAATCGTACAACAGTATCAAATAGCTGAAATGTTTGCCATGGATGAAAGAAAAGTCTTTTAAAAGAACAGACCAAGTATCAGTGGAGATTACGTCCAATATCCCACTGAACTTTTACAATGAAGAGTAACATTACATTGCCTACCTGAATACATCAGCACATACTGAAATCATTATAGAAGACATAAACCTATAGTCAATATTTTGTGCAACTGCTCCAAGCAGCACAATATTTTTCCTTTAGAAATCCCAAGCTAAGAAGAGCTTAAACAACTAAGGAACATATACTTAATAATCATATCTCCATTCCAAAGTTTCCAAGTAAAATAAGATACGGCATGAGCTTGATGTTGATGTGTACCCTAGTATTGTCTATCAAGCGCTTGAGAATAATTTCATTGCCATCGCATATTGCAAATATACCTTAAAACTTGCAAACCAGCCACTAACTAAGCAAAGCCAAGCCGTCCAAAATTAGTGCTGTAACTGTGTAACCTGCAAATATCTAGAGGTGTGACGATAAACCGAAAGCTTGAAGAAAAGAAAAACCGCACAAGGCTGTTAGCATCCTATCCTAGTGACCACATACATATAGACCAGGTCTCTCACGTCTGATATCTTTGGCCTATGCATGATCATCAGGGTCAGGGTGCCATCACGCAATAACAAAATGCCTCATTGCCGATTGAGTGGAGAGTACACTACATGATCTTCCCCAAGATTTGAGACCCAAATGCAGAATCGCTTTCCTTCTCCAATCCATGAGCTCGTCCTTGTGGGAAAAAAGGAAGAGAAAAAAAGGTGGGCCACTAAGTCGTTCCTAGATCTCCCTTTTCCTCCCCACTTGCAAAGAGCCCAATGACCTCATGAGATCCCCTACGCCATTGATGAACACAAATCTGTATGGAAAAGAGCAGGCACACCCTTTCCACTGAGTCCCCCCCTTTAGTTTTTGGAACTACTTGGTATTGGGAGGATGAAAAGCCATGGTGTGGTTGGGCCCAAGGAGATTCGGGCTTTATAGCCTCAGGACACTCGCCGGGCGCATCATCTTACATATGGCTGGTAGAGTACAATGGTGGTCCTGACCTACTACTACAGCTCAAGTTTTCATGCCAACAGAGAGCATTGCATTGCCTTTTCTCCCCTTCCATAGTGTGCATGCAGTGTGACTGTGCGCCACTGAAGAGAATACACCAATGGAATTTGGTGGTGCTAATGGACAAAGCTATTGATTGTCCAGGAGATGGCAGATCAAAGATTTCCTATTATAATGCATAAGGAATAATTCCTCAAGACAGATTATTCAGTTCTACCAGTTAATAATTTATAGAAGATAAAATAAGCTTTTTAGAGCAGAACAGTAGGATGCAAATAAAGTATGCATGGAAACAAGGGGATATGTATGTGATGGTATAAAACAGATGCAAGCGTCTATGAAGCAGTGTGAAACAGTCTAATACCTGCGGTTCTTTCCAACTGCAGAATGATATCCCTGTCAGCAGCATGAATTTCACAGAGAGAGACTTATTTCCTTGGCGCACGAAGGAAGAAAATTCCCTGGCAAAGATATGCCAATGATGTCACAGAAAAGTGGGAATAGATGTCCCAATTTTAATGATATATAAGATAATGGGACCACTACAGAACTATTCAGTAATAGGAAGACAAAGGGGACATAATATAAAGGTGCCTTTTCTTGTGATGACTGCACTTGATCAGCATGAAAGTCTCAGAATCAGCTCAGTCTGAAAAGGTTTGTGGCACCGGTGATTGCATTCACTAAAAACATTTGCAGGGTCACACACCTACACTGCACATCTGTTATATCATATCAGAAAATCTGGCAAAAACAAGTTCCCTTTATTTCACGTAAGTACCCTAAATACGTAGTCTGAAACACATAAATAATAGAGGCAGAACCTTTTCCCATGCAAGCACACCATGTACGGGTGGAGAGGGGAAGGAAGCAAAGAGGATCAACATATATAGACATGCCGTATTTTCCAAATGGTCATGCACTCATGCTTCTTTGATGACATGTTCACCACTTGCATGATTAAACAATTAGAAGCTGTCATATACTTCATCAGATGGTCATGTCCCACTATTATCTTTTGATTTTTATTTGTTTAAATTAGTTGTTGTCTCATATTAGGCCATTGCCCATGTTGCCACTTATCTCCTTTTCACTTTAGGACATTTCTCATAAATCCAATTTGGCCAGGCTTTAACGACTCTGATAGGAAATGAGCCACCCTTTACCAATCAAGATAAACCCCTGTTTCTTTTGTGCTGATTTCTTATTAGATTATTTGCATTTGATCATCGCCCCCTAAACTGAAAGGACAATCTTTCCTAGTCTGCATGAGCCACCCTTAATAATGCACCCTAGAATATTCATCTCCTAGTTGTGATAATTAAACGGATGACAAGACACATGTTGTTCTCAAGCACGTATGCTGCATAATATTTGCTTACACTTGCAGGTGTGAACAACACACCAATTGTTAAGTACTTATTTCCTCCCTATTTTAAAGCACACCAAGTACAAGGACAGAAGAAAGACAATGCCTGTCTTCTGGTGGACATAAAAACAGCTGTTTTTTAATTGTTTTAAGCACAGCCTGAAATTATGAGGGTAAAATAAAGACACTTTGTCTCACAAGGAAGTAAGGAACATAAATTGGTTATTATCTAATACAAAAAATAATAAATAACGCATGCAAGGTAATGCATAGTTTGTTTTTGTAGCACCAGTGATTGATGTCTAAACATTTGTGTTCTACATCTTGCAATATGTATATTTGTCATTGTACTTGTCTGAGTATTTTATGTTGGCAAACCTGTCATTTCCATGCTTAACACGGATATTAGGCTTTTTTTTCTTGCATGAAGGTTCTATCCATTTTTCATATGACATTCTAGACAAAATAATGCCAAGAGAATTAGTTGGCTCCTAAAATACAGGATGCAGGGGTGCTCTTCTTTTCTTTTAGAAGAACCAGACAAAAGTATGCTATTATCTCCATTGCATGCAAGAATATTTTAGAATGCAAATATTGGGCACCAGAATTGACGTCAAGTGGGCTAAAATATCAGCATGTGTGGTGTAGCGGGCTGGAAGCAACATAAAATTTAAACTATAAAAAGAGATGAACTATTAGATGAATGGATTAGCTTTAATTACGACAGTAATTTCCATAAGCTTCAATAACTGTGCCAGATTACCTCCATATGTTCCAGATAATAGATGATCCAACGATCAGCTCAGCCAAGCTCCATCAGCATGACTCATTGCCCCCAGGCCCCAGTTTCGTGACCTCAAATTATTGATCACTTGAATGTAAAATTCTTCCTGTGCTACATGAGGATGAGATAATCAGAAACACATGTAGAGAATCTGCATTGCCAGAAACTGTCAGATCTATATGTGAGATAAGAATGGATCTTGAACAGAAACAAATACGATATGCCCCTTTGTCCCTGCTTGGATTCCATCATCTCTGCACCCTGCATGTACCCCACAAGTCATATTTTTCCAATAAAAGAGAAGGCAGCTCAAATCCTGTCCTAGTATAACACAGTTTTAAGTAATGTAATTTCAACATCACGGTGCAAATCATTCATCTTCATGCATAAGCACTTCTATCGAGTTGCTGCAATCTGATATAGAAATTTTATCTTCATACAGAACGTTAGAACAAAAAGACAAAAAAAGTCAGTAAAGATTTATTAGAGACGGCAAAAGCAATTTGGTCGGTGAGATCACAATGTAATTGAATGAAACAGCCACATGATCACAATCTAATAGGCCCCAGAAATCAGCACCGCATCAGCAGCACCTATTATTGTGGTTCCTAATTTTACCAATTGCTGATTCTTATGCATACTTCAAAATTCTAGTTGATTCATCACTATGGTGAATGGTGGTAGTCCTGAATGATGAAATTTATGCGGACCTTCCTAGATTACCAGTTCACTTGCTGCCAATAATGCTGTGTAAATGAAACAATAAGCTATTGAAAAATGGATAGACATACTACATAAGGTCTTTTATATAGAAACTATATAAGAGACATGCTTATCTTGCACCATTCATTCAGGTTGAAATGGACTCAACTGTGAATTCCATTAGCCCAGATATTTCAAGTTATTGTACTAAAGGATATTAACACCTTCCTGCAACAAGCGCTTTTGCAGATTCCTCATGAGACTTAGCAGGTAAGATCAGAAGATGCATTTCACCCAACTTGGCCCACTTGGCTAGGTTTGGATGGTGAGCCCAATAAGACTGGGAAAAATTAAGTCATAGCCATCTTGGAACAAATGAAAAAAAATCAATAATACCAGTGGAAATAATCTTACTATACTTCTTGCAAAAAAAAAAACATTTCATGAATGTTTTCCTGGAACAGATGCCAAAGTTGTTGCTAAGAAAATTTCCACCTACCACAATACGAACTTTACAGGTTTCGTGCAAATTCATAGGTTTGTACTTTGCAGCACTTTGTCATTAACAGAGTAAACATAGATTTAGTGCAAAGCAAAGCTTTGGCCTAAATATGTGGAACAGGCAGGCAGGTGCTAATGCAACAAAAGAAGAGAGATAAAGGACAAATTTAGCAAAACATGCCTGTTGGATTTCTGTTCCTTTTCTCCTACAATCTGTATATAACCTAAAGAGTTTACCTACAAAATTTCAGTTTGCCTTTCCACGCATTTAGTTTACACACCACATTCATGCATGAGGATACTTATAAGTTCTAACTTCTAAGAAGTCAGGAATATCATACGAAACAGACATAAGAACAGACCATGACTATGCAATCTTGTCATGAGGTTCGCTACCAAATTAATTACATCATACAGGTTTGTTGTTAAGCTCCCTCTATAACCAACTGTAATCACAAACAGTATCATAACCAAGACAAAAAATTACTAAGACAGTTGCGGATACATACTACATTTGCAAACCTATTGTGTAATATTGTACCTAAAAAATTAAAGGTTCCTTGTGGTGTCTATTTCTTTATTTTGACAATCCAAGCTGGACTCCCCATAATCCTGTGTAAGTATAAAGGTTTTGTATTTGTCCTTCAAACTACATATCTAAACATAGAAAGACAAAATATATAGATAAAAAAAACAAAAGACAATTTGTCGAAGCTGCAAAGTTATTAGAATACTTTCACATATCTGGCAGAGACATGGATACTGAACAACTAAAGGGTTCCTTCCAAGGTGAATGCTGTTCATATATTCTGGAAAAAAACATAAAAAATAGGATTCTTATTGTACGGAACTTTTGTTTTTGTCAAAGCAACTGTAAAACATGAGCTTAAATTTTGCAATCCTCATGTGAAAACACATAAATTTAAATAAATGTTACATCTCTTTTAAGACCACATAACCCACATGTCCCCAAAAAACAATAACTTCACCAATATTACACTATACATCTTTAGGTTGGGACAGCAATAGTAATCACTTGGAGTGATACCAGTTTTTTGGAATTTATACATCATATATCTGATGTTTGGCAAGTTCTGTATTCATGTTATACTACTACATTCTTACTACTCTCTATTAATAAGCAATTGTTTCACTAGGCTCCTAATTAAAAAAAAAGAACATGATATATGCTCTCATTCTTATTTATATACATTTTCTGATGCTGAAAATTCTGGAAAATTTCATCTCAGAAAATACAAAATATGCGTCATAAAAAACCATTAACAGTATGAACTTCGTCAATACATCACAGAAAATAGCTTATACAAGTATACTACAGAAGGCTGCTTTCCAGATTCAAATACTGAACATAATTGTGATAGAGTGTCCATGGCAGGCAAGAAAGCACTGTCAAATCTGAAACTCATTGGTCTGAACAAGCCTAAATTTAACCATAGATAGGTCAATTCACCTCAACAACCTAGTACGATAAACAAAATAGAGAGCAAACGGTCAATGGTCATGGTAGTCACTATCACCTTTTCTCTATAATTGTCAGCGGGATATATATATATATATATATATATATATAAAACAAGAGCCCCATGGTGGAACTATTTACTGATAAAACGGAAAGGGGTTTAGTATGATGGCAGGTGATCTGTCTACATCAAGAAACAATGTGGGAACAATTACAGTTGATGAATTGTCTCCATCAACCAATAATATGATATAACAATTATACTGGTGTGCATCAACTTGGATGCTGCCATCTCATTACTGTCTGTTTGTTGTCTAGTAAAGCCAGTTTATGTGGCACACACTAAGGCAAGGGAAGAAAAAATGAATTAATCCACAGAAATACATAACAGTATAACAGTATGCGATAGAGGAATGGTTTATGTTCAGCGGCGGCCTCAATTCTTGAACATGTAATTTTCAATCATCAAAACCTATAGTTGAATATGTTTCCTGTTTAGAATCAGGTGAATACGAACTAGGATGACATAAATATCAAGGCAAGTTTTCAAATTTTCACTCAAATATGATCCGAGCATACAAGGAGTGCAGTGATTTGTCTGAGAACAGTTACAAGGACAAATGCTATGGGACTCATAGTTACATGGACGAGAGAGAGAGAGAGAGAGAGAGAGAGAGAGAGAGAGAGAGAGAGAGAGAGAGAGAGAGAGAGAGAGAGATTTCAGATGATTTACACTGTTTTTGTTTATGCTCACAAGTAAACATCCACTTGTTGCTGCATAAAACAAAGATACAGATACAAATATAGAAGTTACAAAAAAAAAGAGAAGCACATCATATACAACTTTTTTTTACCTGGCTGAATACTGTGTTATCGAAATAGTGGCCTTGGATGCAGAAGATGAACTGGAGGAGGATGTTTCACCTCGTACTCTACTTATTGCATCAATAAAAGTAGGCCTAGTGGGCTGGAACTCTGAAGAATTTTTGGTCAGCAACAACACAACTACCTCTGACATCGTTGGACGTGAAGCAACAGCTGATTGAGTGCAGAGAAGGGCTATCTGTATTATTTTTTTCACCTCTTCAGGATTATATTCTTTTGGGTCTAATGATTTATCCACCAATTCAATCAAGTTGTTGTTTTCATAAAGCTTCCAGGCCTGTACAACAAGCAGGCATGATCAAAATCAAGCCGCCATGTAGGAAAATGCAGTATGGGTAGGCACATAACAAAATCTCAATACAGTCACTACAAGAGGCATTTTCTTCAAACTGAAAATGAACAATTCAAATTGTTTAGTCCTGATCTTAACATGGACCAATTTTGCTTGGGAATAACTTTATCAAACCTGATACTTATTATAGTAAAAGAATAGCAAATGCATTCATGTCACCAAGTTAGCAATGCGTAGGAATATAACCATAAGCACAAGTAAAAGACATGTAAGGTTGTATGAGAAAATATGCAAGCAAACTGTGGTATGCATACACGAGAAAGAAAGTTTTTAGAACAACGGATACCCATTCAAGTAGGTACTGGCTATCAGGATCCAGCCTTGCATCATTGAGCTTCCTGCCACTTATTATTTCCAAAACGACAACACCAAAGCTGTATGTGTCAACCTTCTCAGAGAGTTGCCCATGGATGGCATATTCAGGAGCTGTGTAACCCCTGCTTAAGTGAATATAATTAGAAACACGATATATGCCCCTAAAGCAATATTTTCATCTTCGAACTTACAATGTTCCTGCAAATTTAGTGCTGAGATGACTATGATCATCAGGTAGGAGCCTTGCTAAACCGAAATCAGCAATCTTTGGCTGAAACTCATCATCAAGAAGAACATTGCTAGATTTAATGTCACGGTGTATGATGCAGACATGAAATTCTTGATGAAGATATCCAAGGCCACGAGCCATGCCAACGATGATGTTAAATCGTTGCTTCCAATTAAGCGTACCACGTTTATCACCTGTTAAGATAAAACAAGGCCATTGTCAAAAGAGAACGTAGGTCAGCACTATCATCTTAAGCTAATTAACTGCAGTCTGAACTTGATCTTTAGCAAAGCAATTCCCCTCTTAAACTACATATAACAATAGGAGTGTCTAGTAATAGAAGTGTGAAGTCAAATGGAAATATCAAGTGCACCAAAAATATCATCCATATATCCAACAAATGCACAGAAAATTTAAACAACATAAAGAAGAAAGAACTGAGAAGCATACCGAAGAGGAACTTGTCGAGGCTTCCATTTGCCATGTATTCATAAACAAGCAGGCATTCCGAGCCCTTGCTAGAGCAACCAAGAAGCCTGACAAGATTCCGATGATGAACATTGCTAATCAACTTCACTTCACTTTCAAAATCTGCTTTGGCCCTGCTAGTTTCCATCACTGTCAACCGTTTTACAGCTACAGTTTTTCCATTTTTCAGCAAACCCTGTCACAAATGGATTTATTTTGGCATTTAGTACAGTCAAACAAATCAATACTGATGATCAGATGTTCTTGTTCTATTTATAGTTGCATCTTGTATGAAAATCTGTACAGATGATTCAACAGTTGAAGATTGCAATACCTTAAATACATCTCCAAAACCCCCTTCTCCAAGTTTGCTTTCCTCACAGAAATTATTGGTTGCAACCTTCAGATCTTGATAGTAAAAACTTGTTGGACCCTGCAGTTCTGTTGCTCCAAGTATATCTCCTAAAGAAAAACAGTCAGAGACAGAAACAAGATCGTGGTTCCTTTTCTTTCCAATTAACCCTCTATGGAAAAATGTAGTTTGCAAAACTTGGTCATGGTAACTTTTTTTGTTAGTTATTTAACATGTGGAATTGATTAAATTTGCAAATGCAAAACAAATGTAGATGGATCTTTGCTTGATTCCAATACATTGGGGAACATGATGTACACAAACACAACTTCTCCCTACACCAGTTGATCAATTTTTGCCCTTATTTTGAAATGATTGCTCCTTCGGGTAACAAACAAGTGATTTTTTGGACATTGACAAATTCTCCAAAACAGCAAATAACTTCTGATTTTTCAGGACATCGACATATTCAGAAATCATGATAATTAATATTATGCAAGTACTTTTTCAAGACAAAATTAAACATACCATTTTGTGTGTGTCCGATCTAAATGCACCTAACGATATTGGTATTGGTAAATATAGAAGTTGACTTCACATGCCACAAAAACATATCAAGAATTAAAGGCCTTCAACATTGAGATCCTGAAAGCATGTGTTGAGAGGGGGAAAAACATGGCCAATATCCTTCGTGTATGACTATGACCTCAACTTCCTAAAGTAGATTAATTTCACAAGTTCATGAAATGCATCAAATTAGTTTAGATGACACGCCTACCTGATCTTTGACCATGCTGCTAAGAACATGTTGAAGAATTAGACATGAACATAAAGTTTAAGTCCAAGAAGGTGGTATACTTCACAAATATAGTTGTTTACCTCTACGAGGCTTCAACAGCTTCCTAGACCGCCAGGTCCACAAGAAAGCTAATAGACCAAGAAGGAACAGGAAGGCCACACCTCCTAAAATTCCTCCTATGATGGCTCCTTTCCGATCTGATTTCCCTGCAAAGATCATTCAGGAAGAGCTCTGAACTGAAGAGCTTTGAACATGAGGCATAATATTTTATTGACTATGCTTTGGTAAACTTTGTGTAATACATTGCTCCCCAGGTGAAATTCTACATTAAACTGACCTCAACCAAGACCACTCCCTGAAAATAAACTGCTTTTAAAATTTAAATTCCTGACAGCAGAAGATTTTCCTGAAATGTATAAAAAATGGACCACGGCACAAAAAATAAAAAACAGCACACATCTATTTTCTACAGCATTGCAGAACTATTTTACCATGTAGTAGGACTTATTTTACAGACCCACAACCCAAATCTCCTTGTCTAATCCATCCATCAATATGACACATGGTTCTTAGACATAAGCTTTCACTTGATTGAAACATCCTTGCAAAAAAGAAAATCTCATTGTTGTTGAGAAGTTGTCTTCACTTGATTGAAATATCCTTGCAAAAATGAAAATCTCATTGTTGTTGAGAAGTTGTCTGCTAAACATTAAAAAATAGACTACCAGAACATCTTTGCTAAATTGCTAATATCAGGCTAATGAACGTTGAAGCAGAATACCGGATTTTAAGAATGAGCAGAGAATTATTTTGTAACGTGTCAATAAATTATACAGCTTGTATGTTCAAACTGAATAACAAATATGTACGCGATTGCAAACGCATGGGCCTAGGCGCCTAGTATAAAGCACATTAGAAAAAACTTCTCCACGCACTTCATGAAGCCTTTAGGTTAAACAATTCGTGCAAACCATGAAGAAATGATACGTAACTTAAGTGAACTCACCAGATCGCAAGTATGGCGCCAGGTCTACGGTCGCATTCGCGGGGAAGAACGGCTTATCGGAGTACCTCATGAAGCAGCCGGCGTCGACGGCGCGGCCGTCGGAATTGGGCGGGCACCCGTCGATGTTCCTCACGGCCACCTCCAGGCACTGCGCGCAGCCACCCTCCCCGACCGTCACCACACACTGCGCCGCGGCGTACACGCCGGCGCCCGCGGCCGCCGCGGCGAGCCCCAGGGCGCGAGGCACGGCAGCCACGAGGTCACCGACCAGCCCCCGCGCCGCGTCCGCGAACCCGCCGCCGGCGACAGCGGAGCCGTTGCACACCTGCGTGTTCCCGGGGAGCGTGGCCTGGTCGAAGAAGGCCGCGCTCTCGTACCTCACGACGCAGCCGTCGAGAATGGCGCGCCCGCCGTTGGCAGCGCCGCAGGCGGCGCGGAGGAGCGTGGCCGCGGCGTCGAAGCACGCGACGCAGTCCCCGCGCGTGACGTAGGGGCGGCACTGCGCCATCGCGAACGCCGGCGCGGCGGCGCGCGGCTCCGCGGCCGTGGCGAACCCACCCCCCTCACCACCACCACCAGATGAGAGGTTGGCGCGGAGTTCGCCGAAGGTGGAGTTGAGGGCGGCGAGGAAGGCGGCAGTCGGGGTCGCGTTGTACTGGCTGCACCCCAGGTTGAGCAGCGTGGCCTGCGGGTCAGCGGCGGCGACCGGAACGAGATTTTTCAGTATATGCCATCCAATTCACACCGTTTTCAGGATATGCCACTCAATTCGCGTGACTTTCAGAATATGCCATTGGAAGCACGAATTCCTTCATTCCATGCCATTTTTCTCTATTTTCCTAAATTTCTCAGATTTCTAATATTTTCCTTCATCTTTCTCACCTGATCGGACGGATTTACCCATGGGCCCACCTGTCAGGAGAGTAAAGAGATAGCCTCCTCCTCCCAGGAAAGCAGATCGATCCCCTTCATCCTCTCGGCCGACCGAGAGACGGAGAGGCGACGCCGCTCGCCGCTCGCCGCTCGCAGCTCGCCGCTCGCAGCTCAGCCCCCCGCCGCCCAGTATGCGCCCCGCCCCCGCACCTCGCTGCTCTGTCCGCGCATCGCCGGCAGCACCGTCCCCTGCCTCAGGTCGCGCCACCGTGCCCCGCCCCGAGCGACGCCCTCGCCGCGAAGATCGCCTGCGCCGGTCGGCTCCCCCGCCTCCCGTCGGTCTCCTGAAGTCTTTGACCAGACCGCGTCGAGCCGTCGACTCCAGCGCTGCAAACAATTTGCTTTACCAAAAACTTTATACTTTGTACTGTTTGGAAGTTGATTGTAATCAGAAAATTTCCAGGAGTGCATGTTTGCTAGTAGGATGGTTCAGCTAGTTGTATCAACACATTGTTTGTATGGAAAGTTGCAAACTGAGACAATTTTGATGGTTCAACTCGTAGCATGTTTGTTAATTGGCATTTACAATTTCGATGAAATATCACTTTGTATGTGCAATCTGAGAATTTGGACAGCATGTGCAGACAATTTTCACAACATGCGCAGAGAATGGTCAATCTTCCCAATCGTGATTTACAGAAGTTTTTTCAATCAGAGATTGAAGCATATTTTCAAGTTGCAGTTGTTTACCTGAGCCATGTGAGAACAAAATTTTGGACAGTACATACCTAAAATCTGTGCAATTTTGACAGCATACACCGAAAATTTGTATATGTAATTTTTGACAGCAACATACTCAAAATTTTGACAACATATACACAAAATTCTGACAGCATATACCCAGAATTTCCAATTTGAACAACATATAACCATATTTTGGCATGATATATAGCAAGTAAAACAATATCCAAGGCAAGCACCTCTAAGTAAGCAAGTCTGAGAATGCCATCCAAAATACATAATCCAGGCATAGAAGTTCAGATTACAAAATAAAAGCCACAACTTGCACAGTCATGTGGTTCACATACAAAAGCATCCATAATCTAATAGTTCCCATATTTGAGAATATATAATCAAGGAGCACTCGTTTTTAGCCCTTTTTTTGGAGTGATCTTCTTTGCAGCTCTAGTGGGCCTTGGAGGAGTTGTCATCTGCCTCATTGGTCCTTCTCCACCAGTTGTTGTCAATGCCGATTGACTTAAAAAAATTAGGTTTTAGTAAAACATTTTTTGAATCAAGTGCAGAAACAAGAAAAAGGGTTTGCCTACCTTCTTGTTATAGGCCCTGGACTAGTATTAGTTGAACCATTTGGGCCTACCTTCTGTCTTTTGGGTGTGCCTTCTATGCTAGTACTTGCTGCACAATTTGCTTCACTAAGTAGTCTCCCTTTTTTGGCCCGACTCGGCCTGCAAAAGTAAAACAAATAAATTTGCTAGATCTGAAACAAATAAATATGCTAGAACTAAAACAAATGACAATTTATACACTTACTTTTTCTTCGTTCCATTCAAAGGACATTTTGGTGACGTCGACCTATGGCCCATGGCAAGACATCTCTTACATTGAACCTGCCACTTGCCTTTGCTCCTAGCCTTGCCCTTATCAAGGCACCCGACTATTCGGTTCTTCCTTTGCCTCCCAACTTCCCTCTTAGTAAGAGGTGGCAACAACTTAAAACCAATATTCACTTTTGGCCATTGGGACTTATCTGGAAGTGGTAAAATAACTCCTGCATATGCAAGCTTATACCTTTCTACCGAATAGCAAGGATCTAAATAATCAGCCATGTTAGGGTTTCTATATGATATTATGAGAGCTAAAGCATGTGGGCATGGTTTACCAGAAACTTGCCACTCTCTACAGGTGCATGTATGGTTTACCAGATTGACAGCATGTCTAATAATCTCATGTTCAGCAGTGATCTCAGTCACCTCAGCTTGGTCTCTATCACCTTGAACTACCTTCAAGTGGCCCAGTTCTCTAGTCATTGCATTGAGTTGACGAACCACAATAGGTAGCATCACACCATCCAATTTCTCACCTATCTTCCTCCTCCTAGCCAATAGATTCATTGTCTTTGACCTAATACCATCTGCAAGCTCAACAATTGGAAGATGTTTCATATCTTTAATCCATTTGTTCCATGACTCTGCTAAATTGTTGGTGATGAAGTCACATTTTATCTCTTCTGAGAACTTGCTTCTCATCCAAAGCAATTTGTGATAGGTTTCTAAGTATGGCTTCACATCTGAATTTGCCTCATAAATTTTATTCATGTAATGATCAAATCTTTCTGGCATATAAGACCTAGCTGCAGGGTACATGTTCCCGAACACTGGACCTTGAAACTTCTTTATGAAATTCTGCATCAAGTGCCAAAAGCATTCTCTATGTTCTGCCCTTTGAAAAACATTCTTCACAGCATTCTCTAGCCCCTTACAAGCATCTGAGCTTATAGCTAAGGTTGGAAGATTGCCTACTGCCTTATTAAGTTGTTGCATAAACCAAGTCCAGTTGTCAGTGGTCTCACTCTGAAAGAATCCAAATGCAACTGGAAACATCCAGTTGTGTCCATCTATAGATGTTGCAGAAGCTAGTTGACCATTCCATTTTCCATTAAGTGCCGTGGAGTCTATACTCAAGTAAGGTCGGCAACCCATTATGAAACCATCAATGCAAGGTTTGAATGAACAAAAGAATCTGTGAAAATAAATCCCATCACCATCTTCCTGTACATCTATCTCCACAACACTTCCCGGCATTTTCAACTCAATCTCAGCCTTAAAGTTAAACAAAAATGCAAAGCTCTCTTCCCACGTCCCAAATATTTGCTCTATAGCCTTTTGCATACCTGCATAAACTGTTGAGTATCCCACTGTGACTTTGTGTGTGGTTTGCAACTCATCTTGTAGCTTTGTTGCACCCATATTTGGGTCCTTCTTTAGAAAGGGAATGGCCTTCTCTGCTACCCACTTGTAGGATGCCATCTTGGTTTTAACTCTCACGGTTGATGTACAATGATGGGGAAATCTGTTCAAAGTAACCTACAACACAAAAGAACACAATGAATGATCAAAATGTATTATTTTATAATTATCACTAAGAAACAAAATATTGAATATGTAACATAGCCATGCTAAGTTAGTTGTTAGTACCTTCATAGATTTTCCGTCAGGCTGTAACCTTGCCACAATAGCCCATGGGCATCCCTCAGCTGTGCAATAGCCCCGAAACCTCTCTGTGTCAGTCTTCTCTGTCCCTAACTCAAATTGCCCCTTTATAGCATGTTGCCTCACAGCTGACCTAAACTCAACCATACTTATATATAAGCTTCCAACTTCCATTGGAGGATCATCCCTATCATAGAAAACTCCAGCTTCACTAGGAACCACATCATTAACATCTATCTCTGCCTCGTTAAGGTTTAAGTCCCCTTGGGCAACATCTGCAGCTGGATTAGGAGCAGAATCCCTTTGGTTTTCAGCTTGTAGCCTAGCTTGTTCAGCTCTCTCATCCTCAGCTCTAAGTCCAACGAATGCATACATGTCATCTTCCCCCATCAAAGGCACTAAAGAACCTACATCAGCTTCTAGAATTGGAGCTATCTCCAATCCATCCCAATCAATGACTTGGTGATGAACTTGCTCTTGTGGAATTTGAGCTATTTCCAATCCATCCCAATCAATGTCAGGCAGATTGTTTGATTCATCACCATGTCTAGCTGTCACAACCTCATCCATAAATAACTCATTTACCTCTGAAACGGATGAATTAGTAACCAACTGATCATGCTTGTCCTCCACATCAGCATACAGAAACAACTTTTTATCACTTTTCCTAACAAACAATGCATGCACTACATCCATATTGTCCTTAAACGGTGTTTCCTCACCCGTGGTCATGTCATATCCACTCATCACAACCTGTTGGCACTTGCCCCATGTTACCCTTGCTACAAGGTCCTTCTCCAAGCTCTCCAAAGTGCATTGCTGATAGTCCACAACCCATTCCAAGCACTTTCGTGGCACATGAACACAAGTTCCATCATCAAGTTTAGCTGTAAATTGACCAAACTGAACGCACACCCTAAACACTGCATCGGGATCAATCCTATCGAATAGTAACAACAAAAACGAGAGAAGTAAATCATTAGTTTGCCCGCTTAATCGTTGCTGACCTACACGCTCTTTAGCTTGCACCTCGATTCTGCAATAATAGATAGCAGGGGAGCATGATCTTACCCCGAAGAAAGCTCATTACGTAGCAATGAGGCCGTCGCCTACGGCACGCCCTCTTCTCGAGCCGCTGTCTCCCCCCTCTCCATCTCCTCCTTCAAACCCTAGATATTTAGGGTTTCCATTGCTGGGCGTGGTGGCATGCCGCGGGGCGGGGGTGAAGCCGCCGGCGAGGCGCGGTTGCACGGCGCAGAGCGGGGGACGGAGCTGCCAGCGAGGCGCGGGGGTGGGGCGCGGTCGGGGCGGCGGCTCGTAGCGGCGTTGCGTCTGTCGGCCGGGAGGAAGGAGGAAGGGGATCGATATGTTTCCCTTTTTTTTTGTTGCGATAGATCGATCTGTTCCCTGAGAGGAGGAGGCTATCTCTCTACTCTCCTGACAGATGGGCCCATGGGTAAATCCGTCCGGTCAGGTGAGAAAGATGAAGGAAAGTATTAGAAATCTGAGAAATTTGGGAAAATAGAGAAAAATGGCATGGAATGAAGGAATTCGTGCTTCCAATGGCATATTCTGAAAGTCACGCGAATTGAGTGGCATATCCTGAAAACGGTGCGAATTGGATGGCATATACTGAAAAATCTCGACCGGAACCCACAGGGAGGCAACCACCACCACAAGCAGCAGCACCACCACCACTACCATAGCCGGCGCGGGCAGGAGGCGACCCATTCGGCGCATCGCCGCCGCGGTGACGGCCGCCGGCGGGTGGAGTGGAGTGGAACACGAGAAGTCGGCGCGGTGAGCGGCGCGCGTGGGAGGGTGCAGTGATGGGGATGGATTTTGGGTTTTTGGCCGGATTGCGAAGCGAGGAAGGAGGAAGTGTGCAGTGGAAGGAGACGCGATTGATTCGAGGAGGTATAAATAATGGGAGGTTGACATGGTGGGGACATTGGCATATGCTCAACTAAATTTATTGTATTTAATCTTAGGCATATTATAATTTTAGTAAATACTAGTGTTTGATTTTTCTTTACAACTCTATTTTGTCTAAGTCTTAATCACCTGGCTCATATGTCATACACTTTTTTTCTAACTTTGTCTAGTTTATTATTCTGTTTGCCATAAATGTGTGGCAAGACTAAGCTTGGTCACTTTAGTAAAAAAAAAATGTGGCAATATTAGTTCTCAACCAAACACTCTTGGTATGGGAAGAGTCCGGGTTAGACGGTTTTGATAAAATTTCATTTTAACTTATTCACTTGAATATTGAAAGAATTATTTGCTACATCCTTTGAGAAAATAGTAGGTTTACTCAGAAATTATTTTCTACTACATTGCAATTATTTTAAGTTATATTTGTTAAGTCTATTTCTTAGAGTAATTAGTTTATTCTTATACTCAAGCAGATAATCCACGACAATAACCCGCTTAATATTTTAAATCAAAATAGACATTTATTTATAGCTGGCCTTCTACGAAACAAATTAAGAAATTATTTATATAAAATGAACTAGTTTGTGTGAATACTTGCATTAATTTAAGAGAACCTCTTATCGTTGAAAGAAAATATACTCCTATATGATATCCAAATAACCACACATAATACAAGAAAATCTGATATGTATGGTTTTATAAAGATAATATTGGATGATCATATCCATCCTAAAAGATACGATTAAACAGAATTCTGCAGTTTGGACTATAATAACCCACGCATTTGTGTGTGAATACGCAATCATTTTTGCAAAAATAGACCCACTACATGTTGACGGTATACCATTTTAAAGTTTATAGATAAACTGACAGCTATTTTTTGAAGTTTATAGATGAACCGTGTAGCATATGAGACTTGATCGTGTAGACCACGCCGATTGCGTGTCATTTTTTTTCCTTTCAATAACTCGTGAATTTACCTTGTGGCTGCTAAGCTTGCGGGCATTGACTCGCTTATGCCTTAATTATTGGATGCCAAAACTCAACAGTAGTCAACATGTACTGTACTTATTTTTGAGTTTTGAGAAATCAAGTGTTCCAAATGATGGGTCGTTTTCAAGTAAACAGATGTTGCAATGGTATACATCCCTTTCAAAATGTTCTATATTTTTGACAAACGAATATAGGCGGCTAAGAAAAATGACTCGTGAATTCCTAATAAAAAATGGGTTGAATTAGACCGTGACTAAGAAAACGAGTCGTGGACTTACCGCAGAAGAGAGATGGGGTTGAACTATACTCTCTTTGGCTTACTCGGTGTATTAGATCTCAGGTTAATTGAGGGTTATCAAGCTACACAATCGAACATGATATGAGTATGATTCATCTAAAAATATCAATGAGATAATATGCGGTGTCTCGTTACCATGATCCATAGGGAACTTATGATTTTGTGGACTGACACCATACCTTAGAGTTAAAGTTAAAGAGAGCAAATAAATATGTGGAAGAAGAATCTTAATTCACTCTAGTGAAAGGTGTGGTATGGCAAAACTACAGAAGAGTGCAATTTTTCAACTCAACCACTTGAATGAAAATATACATGTACTAAATTCATTGTAATAACGTCTTACAAACACTGAAGTGCCACAGTGTGATCGAATCTCGATCTTTGTAACTTCCAACAAAACCAAATCAAATGGTTGAGATATTTGTTAAATAAAGTATGGATAAGATTTATAGCTGAACTATCGTACATATTAAAGTGTTAAGTGTTATTTTCTTAATAGGTTGAGTTTTTTTTACTGTTTGGATGGATGCTAACTTTATTATAATTATAGCAAGCCACACAAAGTGTGTCCAACAATTTGTTGGTCACAATTATGAGTCAATGACAAGTTTTGCCTAGAAAATAAGAATATGATGCGTGGGCCAATATGCTAATAAATTGTGGCTAGACTTAACTGTGACACTCAACCAATTAAACACTAAATAAAAATTGTGGCGCGTCTAAAGATTTAACATGGTAAGGGCTTGTTTAGTTCCTAAAAATTTTTTCCCAAAAACATCACACCGAATATTTGGACACATGCATGGAGCATTAAATATAGATTTTTAAAAAAACTAATTGCACAGTTAGGAGGGAAATCGCGAGATGAATCTGCTGAGCCTAATTAGTCCATGAATAGCCATAAGTGCTACAGTAATCCACATGTGCTAATGACGAATTAATTAGGCTAAAAAGATTCGTCTCGCTGTTTCTAGGTGAGTTATGAAATTAGTTTTTTTATTCGTGTCCGAAAACCCCTTCCGACATCCGGTCAAACGTCCGATGTGACACCCAAAATTTTCTTTTCGCGAACTAAACAGGCCCTAAACATGGCCACCAAACAAATAGCCCCTGCCGAAGTTGCGGGCTCACATCCTGAACAAGTGGGCATGGGGACATATTGTTCCAGAACTATTTTCTTTTTAAAAATTTTATTTTTTAATATTTATAGAAATATTATACCAACCAAAATATTTACAGAAATAGCCCATGCCGCCCAAGTGGAGGGTGGCAAGGTTTACGTATTGTGCACTGAGGTCTCTTGCCGCCCTCTACAAGGGCTGCAAGGGGGTAAATGCAATTTTCACTCTATCAAAAATGTATTTTTCTAGTTTCTTTTTCATCTTGTCTGTCCCTCACGTCAACCTGCCAGGGAGGGTGGGTCTACTTTTGTAAATATTTTTGCATGTACAATATTTCTGTAAATATTAAAAAACAAAAATTTTAAAATGAAAAAAATTCTATTGTTCCAGGCTTCCAGCATGGAGAAGGTCAACATGTCACGTCACGCCACGCAAATCGCCAGGTCGCCCACTCCACGAATGGGCCGAGGATGACCTGAACGGAAGTCAAAATAGCCTTGGCGAGATGAAACAGTAGGAGAGAATATCCATAGTAGAAAGTCATTTTCTTTGACAAAAGAGTGCGTATATATACTTATATATACTTGCTGAACTTCATCTAATATCCGTCGGGTTCTTTTCAGTTTACTGTAAGTTTCCAGTTGACTGACGGCGGCTAACTGCAAAAGCTTCCAGAAATGCCGCATTTGGACTCTCCTCAGTATTATGGAATCGGAAGAATAAGGTTTGAATGTTTGATTGGTTTTGAAGTCAATATGAACTTAATTTCAAAGATGTCGGTAAGGCAAACTTTTCACATATGTATCTATTTAAAAAAAATACGCAAGGTTTCCGATAAATTTACATATGATAAATTTGTGTACGTCGTCGTGCCTCGTGCATCAGATTCTATTGTTGGTCGTCGACCAAAGCACAAAGTCTATTTTCTTGCGATCGTCCGCGTGCTGATCGCCAGATCAATTTTTTTTGCGTCTATCAAAGCACTTGTCCAATCAAGCGGCGCCCTCTGTCCCCGCATGGACGATTAATTAATAAGGTCGTTGTGTACGGCTCTCATAATATGTTTTTCCATTAATAGATCACATCCAAACCTAGCCCGAAGGCCTCATCCTGATTAGATCAGTATCCTCAGGTTAGCAAAGACTTGAGGTTGGCAATGACGGCAATTGCAGTCAGGGGGATGGTTAATGGTTCCAACGACGACGTCACAATCACCGTCCTGGACCTGTAGGCCAACGATGACAACCCTATCGAGCTCGTGCCTAGGGCTTGTGAGACCTGACCCTGTAGAGCGAGGAGGCTGACGCCTGCGATGCCTCCTCTTAGCCCGGCCGAAAGGACCTGACGCCACTGCTGTCATTCTGTCTGCCGCGGTACTCGCATATCATCCTGCCGTCGATGCCCCCACAAACTAGCCAACTTGCATTGGTCCAGCTCCCCGGTCCTGGCAACAACACCAACCTCTCCCCCTGGCTAGGAACCAATGCTGCTCTAATGGGCGTGGCTAGGTTTCACCATGGCAGTGCAGGGACAATTCATCAATTACCAGGCCTCACCGTCGGGAAGGAAACAAGCTAGAGCCTGACTTCAATAGCATGCCAGCAACCTGTCGCGCTGCTCCACCCATGGTCAAGTGGTAGGCTGAGCTCTTCGTTGTGCAGAGCAGAATGAATACTCCTTCGTATTCTAATAGATGACGCCATTGACTTTTAACTATATGTTTGATCATCCGTCTTATTTAATTCATACTTAAAGTACTTTGAGTAATAAAACAACTCATAATAAAATAAATTATAATTATGTATTTTTTAATAAAAGGAATGGTCATATATTAAAAAACGGAGGTAATATTAACGAGGCAGTGGAGAGAGATTGTGTTTGTGTGCTTGAGGTAGAAGAGCTGCTTTGAGTTTTGTATGGACAGATGTTGCGCACGGAGCCGATCGAAGTTCCTTTCCATGAGCGACTGAGCATATAGGACTGGAGTATAGCAGTGGACATGAGAACTCGCCATAGCCGTCATCTGGACGTGAAAAGGCGTGGTGGCAAGATTCAGTGATGGGAATTTCACGGCCCGTTTGGTTGGAGGGAGTTTCTACAAGGGATTAGGAGTTTGGAGGGACGAGGCTATTAACTGCTTTGTTTTGGTTAGGAGGCATGGGAATATTAGTGGGATGGGGATGAGGAATTGAGGAAGAAACTCCCTCTTTTTCAATACTTGGGTAGGGGGAGGTAATTGAGAGGGAATTCCTCCTTTAATTTGCCTAAACAAATCTCAACCATCCATTTTCATTAATGAACTAATCTCCAACTAAAATCCCTATCAATTTCCACCACATCTACCAAACATGTATTGGGATTAAAAATTAAATTCTCATCTTAATCTCACCATCAATACCCTCGTATAAATTCTCAATCCTCTACCCTCGAGTTGCCAAACAAGCCGTTACGGTAAACTGGGTTGGGCCAGGACGTGTGCAGCGAACCGAAATAGCTTGTTTGGCGGGGGGAAATTTGAGAGAGGGAATGGGACTATGGGAGTTTAATTAGGATATTTGAGCATTTTAATCTCAGTTTAGTTGGAGGAGGTGGATATTTTGGACGAATCTAATCAAATTAACCCTAAAGACTAAGTTTATTATGCTATGCAGAACAAAATCACCCTTAAATCATATATGTGGTTTTAATATTTGGGGATGCAATGTACACGATTTTGTGGTTGAGGGAAATCAGATCCTATCTATAGTTGAGGGAGTTCAAATGAACCTTTTCTAATCCTGTTCGGCCCGTTTCAGCCGGGCCTCGGGCCGGGAACAGACTACGGAAAGCCCATACTCTCAACAACGTCGGCCGGGGAACGTAGGACCCCGTCCCAACCATCTCCTCCGTCCGCCGCCTCCGCCGTCGCGCCGATCTCCCCCATCACGGCGAGCAGCGGTGACCGGCGTCCTGCTGCTTCAGGCCGCCGCGCACACCCGCCTCTGACTCCTTGCGCCGCCCAAGCCAATCTCCCTGTCCCCCTCGGCCTCGCCTCCCGGAGAGGTCTCCTTCGCGATCGAGTTCGCCTGCCGCCTGCGCGGCTGCGCCGATCCCGAGCACCGGTGCCGGCGCCCTGCTGCTTCCGCCTCCGGTGAGCACCCGCGCGGACGCGCATCCTCTTTCTTTCTCACCCCTCTCGTTCTACCCACATTTCTTCTCTTCCACAGATCTGGAAGCTTTTCTCTTTTGTCTTAACCTAGAACTAATAACTTTTTTTTTCTCCAAGAAATTTGAGGCTTCAGATGAATCCCCAGGCCCGAAGTTAGGTCCGCCCCTGGTTAGAAGATGGCTGAAGCATGTACGGTTTCACAAGATAATGGTAGGCGCTGCCTCCCCGCATGGATGCTGAAGCCATGCTCAAACGATGAAGTGTCAAAGACTCGATATCGGAGTGAGCCGGTGTTGGAATCCAATAAACAACCAGCTGATTTGGATCAGATCAAGCCAGCCAAAAGGAAAAGGGGAGAGCAGGTTAAAATTGTGGATGAAGAGGATGCGGATGAACTGGGAGCTTTGCAGCCGTGTCAGGGTTGGAAAAAGGTGAGGAGAAAGCGCTTGGATGCTGTCAAAGATGATAATAATGGAGAAAATGCAAAAATAACTAATAAGAATGCAAGGAAAGTAAGCAGGAGATCTGCTCCAAAGAACAGCGGTAAACGGAAACTGGACAATGTTGAGCCAGAAGTATCATCGTCAGAATCAATTGATGATGATATAGAGCTTACTGTGGAAGATCTTTTGAGCATAGCTGAAGAGGTAAACTATATTATATTTTATCAGTGTTCCAATTTTTACTTTCTTTTTTGCCCCCAGGTGCTGCTATTTAGCTTGCTTATATTGTGTGAATATTAAATCATTGATTCAACTCCAGTTAAAGTCATGTTAATTTTAAACTACCTAAATTGTTTGCACTTGACATTTAGTATACCCTTCTTTCTAGCTTAATTTGCCATGTCAAATGTGGAAGATCAAGGTTTTATTGTTGTGCTTATGTGCATGGAACAACTACAGTGAAGATCCGATTTGTAAAAGAAGTGGATAAATATATGAGCCTTATGGTTCTATCGTTGTGTATTGCTTTAATAGTTGTAATTTGACTAGAGGAGGTGATATGTTGTTAGGCTTGCATCTTGTCAAATTTGTGGATGTAAGTTTTGAAGACAGAAAACGTGAAACTATAGATAAACCTATCTTCTTCAACATAGTCTAGAGTTTGGAGCCATGGCTAAGAATAATATGGTATTTCTAACTCTGCTGCAGCCAAAATGTTATTCTTAGAATCATCTTTTCTTGTTTTTTAATGACAGCTTCTATATGGGATTTTAGACCATTTATATGTTTTTTTTTTGGGTGCAATTGAATGTTGTGTTGAATAGTCCCGCCTATTCTTGTAGCTCTTGTTTGGTTTAGACCCAAATTTTGCCCTACCATATTTTGGTAGTTGTGCCATTACCAAATTTGATAGTAGTAGTAGTATAGAATTTGTACTAGTGTGGGCAAAAATTGGTAGCAAATCAAACATCTTTGTGATACTATTGTAGTTGCCAAAAATTTTGGAGGGTGAAAATTGGCTTCAATCCAAACAAGCCCATATTTTCCATTTACTGATTATTTTATTTTTTTTTGTTGCAAACAGCAGTAATGTGTAACCTTTATGGAAGGTTTTTTTTTGTTTTAAAAACAAGCTGGGGTTCTGTGAAGATATGCTGATATATTTGCATTTTGCAGTATGTAAAAGCTGATAGATTGAAGCAGCATGAAGTGAAAACAACAAAGACAGCCAGATACAATGAGAATCGTTGCAGTCCTTCAATTTCCACCGAGGCAGATATAGGAGGATCAATAATAAATGCTCGATCAATGATGGGATTGCCAGACACAACTAGGAATGCTAGATCAATGAAGGGATTGCCAGACACAACGATGAATGCTCAATCAATGAAGGGATTGCCAGACACAGCTGAAACAAATACAGCTCCAAGTGAGCCTAGCAGATATGAGATCAACAAACAACAAGTACAGCAATGTACGCCAAGTTTCACCGCAACATGTGATGTTGCTCAGGATATGTTAAACATATTTTTCGGTCCTCTGTTGAGTAAATGTTCAGGGTATGAAAAGAAACCAGAGGTTGTCCAGGATGCAAATCATGCAACAGAGAAGAAAGACCTGAGCTGTGATGTTCAAAGGCAGGGGGAACATGCAACAGAGAAGAAACACCTGAGCTGTGATGTTCAAAGGCAGTAGGAGCATGCAACAGAGAAGAAAGACCTGAGCTGTGATGTTCAAAGACAGGGGGAACTTGTGACGAAAAAGAAGAGCAGCTTGAAAGATAAGGTGGGCTTGTTTTTTTGAGTAGAGCAAATCGAGTGTTTAGGCAGTAGAGTACAAATCCATTTACTAGGATTATGTTTATAGTGGCCTTTTCTTTTTCTTTTGGTGAGTTAGCTGGTTTCAGGAGTGTACATCACCTGTAAATATATCTATCCCACAGCGTTTTAGCTTACATGTAACTATATGCTTTGGCCTCACATATAATGAGGTGGTTTATTGATGATGTAATAAGGCCGCCGCTTCTGTCAAATTGCACTTGTTTCCCTGTCTTGAAATGGATGGTTTTCTTCTGGACGGCCGAAGTGAATTTTTAGCTGTCTTGTTGTATCTCGGAGCAACATTTGTGAATACCGAGGCATGCTTGCTGTCTAATGAAATGAAGGGGTGTTTAGATACAGGGGTGTAAAGTTTTAAAGTTTTGGCGTGTCACATTGGGTATTATATAGAATGTTGCATACGATGTTCGGGCACTAATAAAAAAAACTAATTACATAATCTGTTAGTAAACCGTGAGACGAATTTATTAAGCCTAATTAATCCGTCATTAGCAAATGTTTACTATAGTATCACATTGTCAAATCATGGAGCAATTAGGCTTAAAAGATCCGTCTCGCAAATTAGTCGTAATTTGTACAATTAGTTATATTTAATATTTAATGCACGTGTGTTCAATATGATATGGTAAAGTTTTATTATGGGATCTAAAAAGAGCTGAAGTGGAAACATCAAGAATTTTCTGCCTTTGATCTAATGAAGTGGATACTACTAACACTATTTTTGGGATTGTGGGAGTGATGGTATGCATTTTCTTTTTAAAAAAAACACTACCTGAACACTTTGTCTTTTCTATATTACAAATGGAATAGTTATGTAAGATTGGTTGGTAAAAAGAATATATTACAAATGGAATAGTTACGTAAGATTGGTTGGTAAAAAGAACAGTAAGAAATCTTAGGGTTTGTTTGGTTTTTTACCCTACCAATTCATTGGTAGTGCCAACGTCTAGGCAAACTTTGGCACTACCAAAATATTGGTAGGGTAAAAATAATTTAGCAATCATTTGAATTGTTACCAATATAAAGCCAAATTCTTATTGTATAAGGAAGAAACTTCTAGAATATGACCAAATAGAATTGGGGCACTATCAAATATTTGGCTCAATCCAAACTACACACATATACTATCCAATTTGCCTATAAATTGGTAGGGCATATTTTTTATCAAACCAAAACAGCCCTTAAGTACCCGTGTAATTTCAGCCTGCGAGAATCAGGTAGCCAACACGGCAACATAGATGAACGAATATGCACCTGAGACACAGCACAAAGCCACAAACCCTCCACGCACCCGCCCATGACGGATCGGACGGCCAGGATTCGCCAAGGGTTAAAACCCTAAAACCAAAGGGCTCGCAGGCAGCCTTACCCCTAGAGCCCTATCCTTTTCCTCTCCCCGAGTCTTCTTCGTCCACTCCCCCTATCCTCTCCTCCCACCGCGCCGCCGCCTCCGCCGCCGCCGCCGCGGCTCCCCCTCCTCCCCACAGCCAAGGTGAGCTACTCCGGCGTCACTAGCTCTCCCGTCAAGTAGTATCAAGTATGTTTTTCTTCTTGCGATTTTGTTTGGGGTTAGGAGAGTGAGTGGTTGGATCTGTGCCTTTTCGGCTGGTTTAGGTAGGCGAGCCTCTGCAAGATTTGGCCTGGGGCGACGCGTCTCCGGCAATCGTTCGAGGTGGTTTTCGTGAGGGGAATCGCTATAGAAGGTAGGAATGAGTCGATTGCGCTGTGGCTGTTTGGTGGATAGTGTTGATGGTTTTTGCTAGATTTGGGTGCCGTGGCCTAGGGTGGCGTGGTGCCTAGTTTGGTCGTTGAGTGGTTTGGTGATGGTGAGATATTGAGGAACTAATATGGAGATTTACTGGGTTGTAGTGGAGTTCTTAGACGAAATGAGTGAGCGCAACGTGGAAGCTGTTTAATGCGAAATGGATAGTTTTACAGAATGTAATGGAGTGGTCGCAATGAGTAATCTGCTTAATGGCAAGTCGGTAGTTTTACAGAATGGAATGAACAAGTAGCTTTAGCCAGGTAGTAAGATCAGTGATAATGTGCTAGTATCTTTGACCGGTGTTGCTGCAGACATGAGCGTTTAGTAACTTGCGGTGTTTCTGTTCCATCCATGTCAGCTACCTTTTGTATTGGCAAATTATTCATTATGCTATGTGTTTGCTTTGTTGAACCTGCTGTTGTTGGCCTTTTATGGTGCATATGATGGGTTGTCTTGTTTTGTGGTCAGAAGTTCTTTACTTTTTTTTCCTTTTCTGTTACTTATTCTGTTGATATACTTTTTGTAGGATTGTAGCTAGTTAAGTTTGGCTTGTCTCGTACTTTACTGAAAGAACTGATCTATTGTCTTATGCAGATGAATGTTGACAAGCTCAAGAAGATGGCAGGTGCTGTGCGCACCGGGGGGAAGGGTAGCGTGCGCAGGTGTGTATTATTATTATATTTGCAACCAGCATACGGCATATTGATGGTTACATGTGGCTGCCCATTGTGTTTGATTCATTTTTCTTTATGTTGGGCTAGTGGTGTATATGTTTAATGCTTTTGTTGTGCATTTTGATGCATGTGTAGTGATATGCATGGTAGCACTATATTCTTTTTGTATTACGATAAGACGAACATTAATAAATATATATCCAATTCTATATGCTTGCTATTTCCTTCCATAAATTCATTTGCTCGCTATAATTTCACTCTATATTAAATATGAGGGGACTTGAGGCTATTTAACTTGGTAATTATCTATGGGTTAAAGATAAGAAACACTGTTAGATAACATATGACCACTACTAATGGTTTACCGATAATAATCTTGCGGGATAATTGTCATCTAAGCATGCATTGTCAGAAAGGATGTATATTACTCACTACTCACTAGTCATGATGTTTCATACTAGTGCTGTTAGGATTCTAATTATGATATGATAAGTTTTGTGTTGGTGACAGAAAGAAGAAGGCAGTCCATAAGACTACAACCACAGATGACAAAAGACTTCAGAGCACTCTGAAAAGAGTAGGAGTAAACACCATCCCTGGCATTGAAGAGGTTAACATTTTCAAGGATGATGTGGTTATTCAGTTTCTGAATCCTAAAGGTGAGATCACTTGAATACTAAAATGCAAGTTCTACACGATTAGTAATCTACTTGCTTTCTTATATTTTATTTCTTGGTTTTGTTCCAGTGCAAGCTTCAATTGGTGCTAATACATGGGTTGTCAGTGGAACTCCACAAACAAAGAGTATGTTCTCCATGCCCTGTACTTCATTTCTAATGTAGCTTTTATCAATAAATCTTAAAACAACATTTCAGCCTGTCATTTTGTTCTATTTTCCTGTGTAGAGTAGATAATAGCTACCCATAGTATGTATATGTATGAAAGACCTAATTTGGACTTTCCATTTCTCAGAGATCTTTTTTTGCTCAAGCTAATATAATATTAGCTCTATAAAGTTGTATTATTAACTTCTTGTGTTTACATAACAATAATTTTATGTTTCCCTTTTTTTGTACAGAGCTGCAGGATCTGCTGCCATCAATTATCAACCAACTTGGTATGCCTCTCGTTGCAATTTACAATGTTTCATGAATAATGATCCAATTAGAAGTTTATAATAAGCAATACCAACATTTCACCTATTGTTGTCTTGATGCTTCAGCCTCTGTTTATTTACTAAAATTTACTGAAATGTTGAAGCAACTTACTGGGCCATAACTTACCCTCATCTTTGAAAGCTGTTGAAGCTTCGCTTACCTTTGTTTATTCCTCCTATTCAGGTCCTGACAACTTGGATAATCTGCGGAGGCTTGCAGAGCAATTCCAAAAGCAGGCTCCTGGTGCTTCTGGTGAAGAGGCTGGTGCCAGTGCTGGAGCTGCTCAGGGTGACGATGATGATGTTCCTGAGCTTGTCCCTGGTGAGACATTTGAGGAGGCAGCAGAAGAGAAAAAGGAATCATGATTTTGTTGCATGTCTTCTCCTGTGAAGGATTATAAGTTGCGAATTGCCATTAGAGACCTCCGCTCTTAAAAACCTCTGACCTACCTTATTTGTGTCAGTGCTCGGTTTTGTCATGTACGAGGATTTGGTCCGGTATGTTGGTGGAATTTTACATCAATTAAATGCCTCTTTTGGTTGCCCCAGCCTTAATTTTTCCATAACTATAACCATTATAAGAACAGTAGAGCTCTTGCGTTATAATGTTGCTTAAAAATTCGCGAGGGTCCATGACCATTCGCGAGAGGGTCCATGACCATTATTAGAACAGCAGCTCTTGCATTCTAATGTCACTGAAATCTTGCTACCTGCTACCTGGTAAAGAAGTTGCTTCAGCATTCTAATGTCACTAAATCTTGCTACCTGGTAAAGAGTTGCTTCGTGAGATTTCACATAATTCTGGTAAAGAAGTTGCATCGTGAGATTTCACAGTGCTGACTGTGTATGGCTGTAGAATATAAGTAGCTGGTAAAAGAATTCTAACTTCAGAATTCGTGAGATTTCACAGTGCTGACTCTGTGTATGCTTTAGAATATAACTACGTGTATGGCTGTAGAAGCCTAGAATATAGGGTTCATCAAGTTGAGGTACCAGCATGTTCTCACTTTTAAGTGCTCTTTTACCGTTGGCTTGCGAATTTCTCACCGTCCAGAAATTGTGGCAGTTGCATGAAAAATTTGTACGTCCTATATGCTACCTTCTGATGTACTTTCAGCTGCATGATAGTTATTCATGAGGATGGCAGTATGATTACTTTGTGTACTGGACGTCCGTGCTTTCATGACATTTGGCCGAGTTGAAACGTGGTTCGCATCTCTTTATTATTTAACAGGACAATATCCCTCTTTAGTAGCAAACGGAGTTTCATCCAGCTATATCAAGCACGTATGAATTATGATCTAGCAGAATCAAATATCGGACATATTCGGTAAATAAATTTATCAAACGTATGACCTCCCACGTAGAAATCTGCATTCAAGCGGATACTAGGATTATTTATGTTTTTGGTCTGAATTTTCTAAGGCTTATGGGTTCGGATTGCTCGTCATGTCTTTGTCAGAAGTATTTTTCTGAAAAAAAAAATGGCAGGTGTATCAACGCAATGAACGCATCATCATCTGTCTATGTTGTGCGTGTGCCAGGGCCATGTCCTGAAGACTGTCTCTGCATATGCTGCCTTCACATGATACAGAGACCCTTGTGCTCAAATTGAAATTTTGCTGAAAAAGAAAGGTGCATTGATCTGAAAAGTTCCTGCTAATCACATCCCCACATGATTAAAGATCGCTACGTTTGTGCGGTGAATGCAACATGAGCATGCGTTCTACGAACATGTCAACGAGAAGTTTTCTGGATCATAGTTGCAACATTGAGTCAGAGGATGATATTTTATGGTTAATCTGACAGTCAAAACCAAATCCTGGCTAAAGGGGATAGTACTATACTACTGAGTATATGCTACTAATTATCTGCGTTTATTTATTTGGCATATGTGTCCAGCATGCCCCAAAACATGAAAAGAAATCCATTGAATTCATTGAAATTTGAGGTTTTTTCTCAAAAAATAAAATCAGACATCGGTGTGTCTGGATCATCTGCACGTGCCGCCTTCAACAAGCTCTCGAGATTCAGCAGAGGTACCAAGTACACTGATATGAAGTGTTAACTAATCCGTGTTAAAGAACAACCAAGTGTCTCAGATTTATTTATCCCATCGTCAACTGGTCCTAGATCTTCAAACAGAAGCTCAAGTACTTGTTTATCTGAATGATATTTATGGTTCTTCAATTAAAATTCACATTTCTTTGACTCCATTTTCTTTTCCTTCAGAAACCACAGCACTGAAGTGATATCACCGTATGGATATTTGCCGCCGTATGACATAGATAATTCATAATTTCCATCTAATAACGAAACCAAATCAAAACAGCTCTCGTTTTAGTAATAGAAGAAAACCATCAGGACATTAAAACCTCCTAATTAAATTCAGAGATTACAGAGCTCTCAACATCTGGTGACCGTCGAAACCTGCGTTCATATAAAAAAAAAGAGGATAGTAGTGATTTTCACCTATTGACGTGTTGATGTTGAAACGAAATCAAATTGAACGGTTCTTGTGAAGACTACATGCAAGCCCGTGAGTCAGGCTAGGCGTGCGTACACAAGTTTCCCCTGTCACGATTGAAATGGTCTCGAATTCGCGTCCAAGTCTCAACAACTCTACCTTACAAGCTTAGGATGGTTCTTCGAGCCTGTGATCATATGATGGAGTACCAGGTTTCAGTATCTGGCAATTGACTAGTATTTGACTTGGTACTGGTAACTTTGAGATGTGCTTGCTAGCACGGTGGTAGGAGTATGTGATTTCAACCGAAAGGACTCGTGTGTTTAACTTCTAAGGGGGTGTTTGGATCCAGGGACTAAACTTTAATCCATGTCATATCGGATGAATTTGGAGTATTAAACATAGACTACTTATAAAACTAATTACATAAATGAGAGCTAATTCGCGTGACAATTTTTTAACCTAATTAATCTATAATTAGCGCATGTTTACTGTAGCATCACATAGGCTAATCATGAATTAATTAGGCTCAATAGATTCGTCTCGCGAATTAGTCCAGGGTTATAGAATGAGTTTTATTAATAGTCTACGTTTAATATTTATAATTAGTGTCCAAACATCCGATGTGATAGGTACTAAAAAGTTTTAGTCCCATTTAAACAGGGTCTAACACACTCACATTATCTTCTTAATTATTCTACAACAAGTTCTTCCTTATTTATCTAACTTTTTTTCACAGTATGTTAATTGTTAGATATTTGTTCCAGACTTCCGGTACAACAAAAAGTATCCGGTACCTCACGGTACCAAATCATTTACGATCGCTAGATCTAACAATACCCATCCTATTAAGCTAGATCCAACGATCGGAAACTATTGGTATCGTGAGGTACCGGTAGAGGTACTTTTTACTGGACCGGAGCATATCGCTAATTGTTAAGCGAGTTAGATAAGAGATACTGATTCTTTTCATTCAGAAGCTACATGAGTGGCTGATTCTTGGAACCATCGATTCATAAATCATAACCAGATGATATGCATTATTTTTGTATGGCTACCTTTACAGATGGAGCGACAATTATATAATATGGATACATACTCTGGATTCTGGAAGCAGTTCAAATGGCAACCAAATGGCACAGTTAAAATGCATATGGGCCAACCATTTGCTCATCCACTGACGGCCGAAGGCCAAAAATACTCAATGCATACACCAACCATCTTGGATTGCACATATGCATATTTTTCGCACAGACTGAGCTCTCGGGCCTTCGTCCAATTTTCTCCCCGGCGAAACCGATGCAGGAAGCAGAGGAAAGTCTTGTAGCTAGCGACTCGTCTTCTCCGTGATGAAAACGACCGGGATTCACACGGCCGGCTCCCGTCATCCGCGGCAGGAAACCTTGACATTTCGGATGCTCCGCCGAAGAAGAAAAGAAAAAAGAAAAATCCCCATTTCGCCCCATCCATCACCGTGTATACGGTACATCGGTACACGTCCGGCTCCGTTGGCCAATCAATCCGATCGAGCCAAGCCAGCGGCGTATCAACCCCGTTGCACTTGCATTGCCCGTGCGCTCACTCTCTCGCGGTTACTACACGGTTATCAGGGTTATCATGCACGGTAACTTTTTCAGTTTTTAAATCTACAGTATGTTTCGTGGTTTTCACGGTAATCACCTTACGGGGGGTACGGTAACTGTGCCCAATCGATAAGGGACCTGCTCGCTAGTCGCTACTGGTATGGCACCGCCACCGATCTCACCGCCGCATGCGCCATCTGAAGCCGTGCGCCCGTGCCAACGTGCCTGCCTACCTGATGTCAACCGTCGAGTCAAGCGGTGGTGGTGGTGGCGGCACCGTGCGTTTTGTCCCGTCAGAAATGGTCTATTCCCGCCGTGCACGACGGCGCCACGGCGCGGCAGGGCGTCGTGCCGCGCCGCGCCGTGACGCGCGGCTCGGCTCGCGCGGCTCCCCTCAAAAAACGCGGCGGAAAACGATGGAAACCAACCGAGAAGGGTGTACTCCGCATCGCCACCGAGCCGCACGACACGACCCCGTCGCGCCCGCGCACGCACCGCGCACGCGCAGCGCGCTCGGTTCGGCGCCGCGACCGCTTCCGATCTTTTTTTCTTTTTTTTTTAATCTATTCCCGTTGCGCCCGCGCCTGATCTGATCCGTGGCTCGGTCGGGCGGGTTCATAAACCCCCCCACCTCTCTTCCTCGATCGCCTCGCCCATCGAAACCCAAATCCCAAATCTCGTTTTATTACGAAGCCTCCCCGTTCCGTTCCGTTCCTCGTAAACCCAGAGGCGCGCGAGAGAGAGAGAGAGATGGGGGAAGAGACCCTCGTGGCCATGCCGCTCGCGCCGCCGCATCACCACCACCACCACGCCCACCTCCCCGCGCTCCCGCACCTCGCCGCGCCGCCCCCGCCGCCACCGCCGCCCGCAGAGACCGAACTCACGGAACAGCGAGAAGAGGAGGTCCCGGTGGACGACGTCGTCGAGGCGGCGGCGGACGTGCCAAGGAGGGAGGAGGGCCTTGTCGTCGATGGGGGTGAGGACGTGTACTACGCGAGGAGGATGCTGCAGGGGGTGGTGCTCCGGCCGCCGCCGCACCTGCCGCAGCCGGAGGCGCCGCCGGGGCTGACCAGGGCGCTCTCCGCGCCGGCGCCTGACGGGTACGTCGAGGAGGAGGAAGAGCAGAGGCCCGTCGAGAGGTCCGCCTCCGTGAACTCCGCGGCGTCCGCCGTCGTCGTGGACGTGGCCTCCATCGGGCGGTTCTTCCGCGACCGCCGCGACGTGCTCTCGTCGGCCATCACCCGGCGAATCTCCTCGCTGAAGGAGGCCTCCTCCTCCCCTCCTCCTCCGGTGGGGATGGACACCTACGGCGTGCAGGAGATCCACCTTCCCAACGTGAAGGTCACCGTCCGCCTCAAGGACGCCATCGAAGCCGACGCGGAGGAGGACGATGCTGTGGGCGGCGGCGGCGACGACGGCTACTCGTTCTCGGGCAGCCACATCAAGGGCCGTGTCAGCTTCTTCTCCCGCTCGGGCTGCCGCGACTGCGCCGCCGTGCGCGCCTTCTTCCGCCAGTCCGCCCTCCCCTACGTCGAGATCAACCTCGACGTCTTCCCGGAGCGCGAGGCCGAGTTCGCCTCCCGCGCGGGCGCCTCCGCGCGCGTGCCCCAGATCTTCCTCAACGAGAAGCTCCTCGGCGGCCTCGTCGTCCTCAACTCCCTGCGCAACAGCGGCGAGTTCGAGCGGCGCGTGCGTGACCTCGCCGGGAGACGGTGCCCCGACACCGCGCCGCGGGTGCCCGTGTACGGGTTCGACAACGATCCCGGCAAGGAGGGCGGCGACAGGGAGGACGCCATGGTGGGCATCGTGAGGGTGCTCCGGCACAGGCTCCCGATACAGGACCGGATCGTGAGGCTCAAGCTCGTCAAGAACTGCTTCTCCGGCGCCGACATGGTCGACGGCATCGTGAACCATTTGGAATGCAGCAGGAAGAAGGTCAGTACCACTTGATCATTTACTAGTACGATGCTTCTTCGTTTGACTTTTTGTTCTCTTTGGGTTTTTTTAAATCTCAACTTCTTAGGCGCTTCGTTTATCTTTGGTGAACTGTGCATGAAGCATGAATAGTTCTTGTTGTTTTTGGACTAAAGGGCTTGGGTGTAAATAGTTACGGAATGTTAGGGGAGAGTACCATTTTCATTGGGATTATTATAAGATTAAAATGGATGGTTTAATTCAAGCAAAATATGTTTGCAATTTAAAAGTAATTTATGAATAGAACTTTTATATACATGTTATTGGCGATCTAAAAGCAATGGCTGAAAAATAAACTTCGATGAAGAAAAAAAAATCCAAAATCAGCTCCAAATTTGAAGTTGAAATTTTAAATTTTGACAGATAAGTATAAGTATAAGTGAAAAGATGAGGCCTGGAGTGCAGTGGTGCTTGTTTTGACATATCCTCAAAAATGTTTATTAATTATTAAACTTGCTATTCTTGAGACGAACTGGTAGTACCAATCTCTAGTGAACACTTTTGTCATACATTTAATACATTTAAGTCGCACGTAATTAAGGAAACAAACAAAATTCCACCTGGATTAAGGCGGCAAAAATCAGATGCTGCCATGTTTGGCCTGTGGCAACACTCTTTCTTGTGGCACCATATCCTGAGTTCCTGACCCCATAGATAATGTTGAAGTAGTAGTAGAGTACTACTAGAATATATTTACACTGAAAGCAAGGGGCCCAGATGCAAAACCACCTAGGATCACGTGAGCCGGGCGTGTGGGGGAGCGTTACGTGCTGCCGTGCCGAACCGGTCCGCGAGCACGGGCCCCACCGGGGTTCCGGCCATTTTCACTTCCCGCGTCACGCCGCAACGGGTGGGCGGGCGCGGCCCGGCACGTAACGGAACGGGCCAGGTGCCCGGGCCCACATTAGTTATGCAGGGTTCGGTTTCGTTGTTGGTTGCTTCCCGGGACCCACCTCCGACACCCGAAGGTTCATCGCCTTGGCGCGTACAGCGTGTCACTGCCATCCGGGCCCCACATGATTTCGTCTCACTTTTGTTTGATCGCTACGGGGGAAGAGCCGTGGCTAGACTAGTCGTCGTACAAAAGCTATGTGCGGATAAATGGGGCCCACATTTCGGTGTATGTTTTGACCTTGCCTAATCGAACTGGGTCGTGCTTATGTAGTGTACTTATGCTACAAGCAAGATTTTGTGCCGACCACGTTGGCGGTTGCTGCACCAACTCACACGGAAGTAATGCTCGGCTCAACGCGAACTTCGTGGTGTACTTGTACCAGGTCTAGGTGGTTAGTGGATTATTTTCGGTCAGGTCGATGCAAATCTGGAGGAGCTTGCTGGAAAATCTGGCGCATTTGACTAGTGATTAGTGGGGCTGTGGCGTCTCTGACTAGTGTGATTAGTGGGGTTGAGGTGAATGAACAACCGAAAGAAGCTCGTGTCCATTGGCCATAGCCTCCTCCTAGGTGGTTAAGCACCGACCCAACTAGCAGTTGTGCGATTTATTAGTGGGTTTATCTGAATTCCTGACCCAGTTTTTGACTTCTGTTGTCGCTGTTGTATCCTTATCCATAGTAGTCGCCATACATCCCGGACTCTTATGTCCTGCTCATTGGAGTCTTGCGTGGAATGCCATGGATTTGGGTTATCTTGTCCCCGTTTCGGAAATTCGGTTATTCATGTATAACAACTGACATCCAAAGCAACTGTTAACTCTGTCTGTAGGCTGTGGAGATCGGAAGAGAACTGGCAAGGAAGCACTTCATCCACCATGTCTTCAGGTCAGCACACACGATCTATTCTGAGGCCCTGTTTAGTTTCTCCAAAATGATAAAAGTTTTGCTGTTTTGATGTACTTTTTTTCAAATAAATCTAAACACTAATAGCAAAAGTTGGTAATTTGGCATTTGTCATTTAGGAATCTAGAGCAGCAAATTTTGGCAAAAAAAAAATATTGGATGACTGAATCTAAATGTATTGGTGTCATGGTGTGTGTGTGTAGAGAGAACGACTTCGAGGATGGCAGCCAGAACCTGTACCGGTTCTTGGAGCACGACCCTGCCATCCCAAAGTACTACAACTTCATCAGGGGAGCCACCAACGACGGCGAGCCGAAGCTGGCCGCCGCCATCGGGCAGAGGATGACCAAGATCATGGTTGCCATCCTGGAGGCCTACGCCTCCGACGATCGCCGCCACCTCGACTACAGCCGCATCGCCGCCAGCGAGGAGTTCAGAAGGTAACAGCTGCTTCTTCCATTGCTTGGATACAACTACAAGCAGTGTTAATCCGGCAATGTCGGTGACCGTGATGAGTTCTTGCGACGCAGATACGCGAACATGGTGCAGGAACTCCAGAGGGTGGACATGTCGGCGCTCCCGGCCGAGGAGAGGCTGCCGTTCTTCCTGAACCTGCACAACGCGATGGCCATCCACGCCGTCGTCAGGGTCGGCCAGCCGGGGGCCATCGACCGGCGGTCCTCCTCCAACTTCCAGTACGTCGTCGGCGGGCACCCGTACTCGCTGGCGACGATCAGGAACGGCATCCTCCGGTCCAACCGCCGGCAGCCGTACACCATCGCCAAGCCGTTCGGCTCGTCCGACAAGAGGCTCGAGGTAATTAAGCACACGCATGCATGAGAGACGCCTGTGATCAATCACCGATTGCCATGGCGAGAGGAGCTGAAAATTTTTTTCGCTTGTGCAGTTGGTGCAGGGGAAGGTGAACCCGCTGGTCCATTTCGGCCTCTGTGACGCCACGAGGTCGAGCCCGATCGTGCGCTTCTTCTCCACGCAGGGGGTGGAGCCGGAGCTCCGGCACGCGGCGAGGAAGTTCTTCCTCAACGGCGGCGTGGAAATCGACCTCGAGAGCCGGACGGTTCACCTCACCAGTATCATCAAATGGTCAGTTCATTCTCATAATCTCATTTCATCCCCAATTGGTGCAATTTTCACTGAGAAGAACAACTTATTCAGAAATTCAGATTTCATCACAGCTAGTTTGATCATGAGTTCAGTCAATGTATTTGCAACATGAAGAATTCCTGAATAACCATCCCCTTGTGCAGGTACAGTGTTGATTTCGGGCAGGACAGGGAAACCCTCAAGTGGATCCTGAACTATTTGGACCCGACCAAAGCTGGGCTCTTGACACACCTCCTCAACGACGGTGGGGCGATCAACATCTCATATCTGAACTACGATTGGTCCTTGAATGTTTGAGGAGAACTTGTAGTTGTAGTTGTAATGGCATAATACATTCAGAGCCGCTGTCATGTGCTTTCTGTTTAATTGGCAAAATGGTCAATGGAAAGAAGAGCATTGAGCATAGAGGCAATCAGCATGTGGAGCTTGTTGCAAGATTTGAGTCTGAGGATGTATATAGTATTGTAAGCATGTCAAAGTGGGTTCACAGCATAGATGAAAAAGGGAATATGTTTGTGAGGATAAAATGCATTAGTCATTTACTATTCCTTCTTTCTGTCTACCAAATTATACCGAAATCTCATACGACTGATCTTGTATTCAAATCAAACGGCCAATCTAGTCTTTCCAACCTGCCACCACCAGTGCAGCTTGGACGTGAATGCACCTTCCTCACCCCGCTCCTGGCATCTCTCTTCCTCCGCTGTACATAAACTCTGATCCGGTGGACGAAAATGATGATCGATGAAATTCCCATATTGAGCTAAAATAGTTTTCATGATCTACAATAATGCTAAAACTAGAAATTAATAAATACTTCCATTTTAATAACTCCACTAAAGGTAATCCTATTACTGGAATCGTGTAAGGTACACCTACACAATTTTGATTGGTATTGCACAATAACCAGTTACACTAAACGATGCAGTCAATACAGCTAAAACCACACCTATGACCCAATTCGCGGGGTTTTCTAAATTTACCTGTGAGATACGCATGAAATACGTACCGCATCATCATTAGAACCATCATACTTGCTAACCATTGGATTAACCAACCAGAGTTGGCCTCAGTCATTATTTTTTGAATCGAGGAAAAAGCCTACCTCTGTTTTATATTATGTAATATGTTTTGAATTTGTCATAAGTCAAACATTTTCAAGCTTAAACAAATTTATAGAGAAACATAATGCCATCTACAATATCCTATTAGTTTTATTATATTAAAAATACATAATTGAATATATTTTTTATTCAATGAAGCGGAGGGATCAACGTTGTATTCATCTTGGACTCTAATATTGATTTTATAATTCTAGATTTAATAAAATTAGCACTAATTACAATTCGGATGTGGACTTCCCTTTAATCTGAAAACATTAGAATTCAGTTCCACCTAGGTTAGTAGAGATTATTTTTTAATCGAAGTATACAATTCGGATAGCACAATATAACAGATGTGGATTCTGTTTTAATCGAAGTAATTATAATTCGGTCACACCTAAGGGCATGCACAACGGTTTTTATTAGTGGTATCTCTCTATTGCCATGCAAGTAAATTTGATGACATGGAAGAAAGATAAAGGAGTATGGTTGTTATGCATGACAACAGCTCAGAGTCGACTCTTAGCATTTATTAGATCAAATTTTGTTTCATGGTGGTGAAAGAAAGGAAAGAAGAGCAAGAAAAAGTATTTTGATACATTAATGATTAGAGACTATATTGTCTCTAACTGTTGTAGGATGCTAGTCTCTAGATAACGTAGAGCTCATATCTGACTCTACCTTTGTACATGCCCTAAATGGATGGCCAGGATTATTGACAAACCCACTGATTAACATGCGAGATTTCTGGGCCCCATTACTACCGTTTCGATTTAACTAGGAATAAGTTCACTTGGTGACCCTCAAAAGTGATTGAAATCTAATCTGTGACCTTAAACCACAAAACCGGATATCTTGACCCTCAAACTATGAAAACCGGTGCAATTTGACTCCCTTGGCGGTTTTGGAGGACGGTTTCGCTGACGTGGCGGTATTGACCGGGTTTCCTTTACACGTGGTGTTGACGTGGCGTTCAGGTGGTGTTTAGAATTAAAAAATATGTACGGGACCCATTTGTCATTAACACAAAAAAATAGATTGTGGGACCCACGTGTCCCTTCTCTCTCCCCTCCCTCAATTCTTCTCTTTCCTCGCCGCTCCCTCTCTCTCTGTCTCGCGGCGGGCGGAGACCGCAGCGAGCGGCAGAGGTGCCGCGGTGGCGCCCGGGCTGAGCTCCACCGCAGCGGTGGGTGCCTTGTGGCAGTGGGGAGCCGGCGGCGGCGGGAGGGCGGGCGGGCGAGGGCGGCGGTGGCTCGTGGCAGAGGGAGGACGAGGGGAAGCGGTGGCAGTGGCGGCGGCGATTGGATCATGGCGCTTCTCCGCTCGGTGGACGGCCGCGTAGGAGGGGTGACGGCGTGAGGCGACCTCCTCGGCGGCGTGCTCTCCCTCCTCCCTCTCCTCGAGTGGTTCCGCCTCGCCGTGGGGCTGCGCAGTTTCGTCGTCGTCCGCGACCACGACTTTCCCACTGCCGTGAGCCGCTGCCACCCTCGCTCGCCCGCCCTCCCACCGTCGCCCACCACCGCCGTCGCCGACGTCTCGATGCCAGCCGCCGAGTGGTGCGGGTGGTGGTGGTACGAGAAGAACGGCGAGCAGCGCGACATGGACTCCAGCCCGCCGCTTCAGCTCCAGCCCACTGTTAACAGTGAAATTTGGTAAAGCCCGAAGTCATCATCGGCTTAGAGTTAATATCGGCTGGAATCAGCCGATTGGGGGAATCAGCCGATGGGAGTCGCCAAGTCTCTATGCTGTCATGTTCTTGGTGGAGTCGGATCAATCAAAGCAAGCTTATCTAGAAGAGTTCGAGTTCAAGGAGGATGCGGCATGGCAGTTTATCTATTAATTAGGCATAGTTTGTTAGTTTCCTTTTATCTTTAGGAAAGTGTGTTTAGTGTCCGATAAGGACTTTATCTCTTCCTTTTATCTTTAGGATAGTTTCTTTCTTGTCCTACAAGGACTTGTATCAACCCATGGGTATAAATATGTACACCCGGAGTCTATGTAATCTATCAATCACGATCAATACAACTACTCTCGGCGCATCGCCACCCTCTTCCCCGAGGTTTTTACTTATCCTCCGGCGGAATTTGGGCACCTAACGCGGGGCTGCATCGGTTCAGTTCGATCTCCGGCGAAGGGGTAAGTCCTACGTTCCGTCGGGCCCTGGTGAATCTGTCATTTACATCGGCGTCGTTCAAGGCTGCATCACTTCGATCTCTTGGATCGCTCTGGTTTGGTTGATATATTTGCCTACCTGATATCTCAATTCTATTTCTAATTGCATTGTGTTTAGAGACGTATCGGTTTAGCTGGGACTGTCTTGGTTAGGTCTGATCTCCTGTCTTAGCCGATATATCTCTACAATCATAATGCTGTTCTAAATAGATTTGTTATATCCATCATATTAGACAGATCTATCGGCTCATCGAGTATTAGATTATCATATACAATCTCGTGCTGCATCGGTTAGGTTCGACCTACTAGATTGTTGCTGATAATATAAGTCTTGTGAAGCCGATAGGTTCATGCTAATGTTTTATTGGAGTGCTAGCCGATAAGTTATCTGGGCGTTGCATCGGCTTATACGGATTACATATACATACATACATACATATATATATATACATATACATATATATATATATATATAAATATAAAAGTTGGATTTAGCCGATGGCAATAAAGGTTTCACTGTTTAATCTAATCTGTGGATTTTATGGCATCGGACCCCTAACCGATGTATGCTTTAACCTTCGGATCAGTGCTTATTCTATCATATCATTGCTAGACGATTGGTCTATACTGGATTATATTGTGATTTTATTACATCATCATCAGCCGATTGCCTTTACATCATCATCTACATTGGACATATAGCCGATTGCTTAAACCCTATTGCTATCGGCTGGTATCAGTATCAACTATTATTGGCTATCGGTTGGAAATACTCCATCGGCTTGTCAGTCGATCAGCTGTTTGATCTACTGTTTACATATCTTGTTAGTTGCAGGATCTACTGACTGGCACGCCCACATCTCATCATAATTGGACCTGCACAGGAGCTAAGCAGATCTCCCAGGCCGCCGTGTTCGATTTTTACGTCAACACCCACGGCCGCCGCCGCCGCCGCCGCCGCTTGCTCCCCACGGATGGCCGTAGGGGAGAGGGAGAAAGAAAGAGAGAAGGGAGGGGAGGAAGAAGAATGGGAGAAGATGTCATGTGGGGCCCACATGTTAGTGGGCCCCACAATTGTGTGTGTGAATGACAAACGGGTCCCACGTATAACTTTTTAATTGAAATGCCACCTAAGCGCCACGTCGGCACATAGACTAGGTCAATACCGCCACGTTAGTGAAACCGCCTTCCAAAACCGTCGAGGGAGTCAAATTGCACTGGTTTCAATAGTTTGGGGTCAATATATCCGGTTTTCTGGTTTAGGGTCACGGATTAGATTTCGATCACTTTTAAGGGTCACCAAGTGAACTTATTCCATTTAACTATATGCTGTTGGGCCTCTGTACGATAGCAGTGGATTAATTAATCAGATTACAATTAGTTAACCCAACTCCAATTCGGCCCAAACTTAATTAACAAGCCAATTAACCGAAATAGATACCCACAAAATTCATATGCAGAGTTGGTTAAGAAACAAATCAAACAGATTGATACCCATCATACTACCGTCTCACCTATATAACGGAGGATCGCGGCTACCAGACTACCTACCATAGCCTTCGTCTCGTCATCAGATAGACGTAGATCTCATCAGGGTTTCTGGGTTTTGCTGGTCGAACTCAATCGCCGATCGAGATCAGCAGTAGCGACTAGCGAGGGAGGGAAGAAGATCAGATCGTCGTCGAGATGGCGCGTTTCGTGGTGGCCGGCCCGTCGGAGTACCTGGCCATCACCGGCTGGGGAATCGACGACGTGAAGCTGGCGAAGAAGGCGTGGGTGTTCGCCGGCCAGAAGTGCAGCAGGTTCGACATCTCGCCGGTGAACTACGAGTTCAACGTGGAGGCCATGAGCTCCGAGAAGCTGGCCTTCAATCTCCCCGCCGTCTTCACCATCGGCCCCAAGATCACGCCGGCGCCGGCGCCTGAGGTCGATGGCGCCTCGAATCAACGGCGCGTTCTCATGCCTGAGAGCGAGGAAAAGGTATATGTTATGAAACATGATTATTTTGATGCCCTTTTGTTATTGCTGATCAATCTTGATGTGAAATTTGTACTAAAAATAAATAATCTGATTGTTTTTTGTTTTGCTTGAATGAATGATGAACAGCTCCTACTGTACGCCAAGCTCATCGCCCCGCACGACCATGCGTCGAACCATGTCAAACAGCTTGTCAAGGGCGTCATCGAGGGTGAGACCCGCGTGCTGGCCGCCTCCATGACCATGGAGGAGATCTTCCAGGGCACCAAGAAGTTCAAGCAAGAGGTGTTCGACCAGGTGCAGCTCGATCTCAACAAGTTTGGCCTCTACATCTACAATGCCAACGTGAAGCAGCTCGTCGACGAGCCCGGCCACGAGTACTTCTCCTACCTGGGGAAGAAGACGCAGCAGGAGGCGGCGAACAAGGCGAAGGTGGACGTGGCGGAGGAGCGGATGAAGGGGGAGGTTGGCGCCAAGGAGAGGGAGGGGCTCACGCGGCAGAACGCGGCGAAGGTGGACGCCGAGACGAAGGTGGTGTCTGTCCGGCAGCAGGGCATCGGCCTCAGGGAGGAGGCCAAGGTGAAGGCGGAGGTGCAGGTGTATGAGAATGAGAGGGAGGCGGAGATCGCGGCGGCGCAGGCCGGCCTTGCGATGAAGAAGGCCGGGTGGGAGAAGCAGTCCAAGGTTGCCCAGGTGGAGGCCGTCAAGGCCGTCGCCATTCGCGAGGCCGAGCTCCAGATGGAGGTGGAGCGCAAGAACGCGCTGCGCCTCACCGAGAAGCTCAAGGCCGAGCAGCTCAGCAAGGCCACCGTCCAGTACGAGACACAGGTATATATTCATACACTTTTTAATCTAAGTTCGTTTTGGCGTGTCACATCAGACATTATATAGGGTGTTGTATAGGATGTTCGGGCACTAATAAAAATACTAATTACAGAATTCGTCAGTAAACCGCGAGATGAATTTATTAAACCAAATTAATCTGTCATTAGCAAATGTTTACTGTAGCACTATATTATCAAATCATGAAGTAATTAGGATCAAAAGATTCGTTTCACAAATTAATCGCAATCTGTTAGTTATTTTTTACCTATATTTAATACTTCATACACGTTCGATGTGATAGTAGGGTGTAAAATTTTTGGGTGGATCTAAACAGGGCCTTAATTTTAACGAGTTTCATCCAAATTTAACTTGGGGGTGTAGGTGCAAGAGTCGAACGCGGCGCTGTACAACAGGCAGAAGGCGGCGGACGCGACGCTGTACGAGCAGGTGAAGTCGGCGGAGGCGCGCAAGGCGCAGGCGGACGCCATGTTCTTCGAGCAGAAGCTGGCGGAGGACGCGAGGCTGTACGCGAAGCAGAAGGAGGCGGAGGCGCTGGCCATGGTGGGCAAGGCCAAGGTGGAGTACGTCACGTCCATGCTCCAGGCGCTCGGCGGCGACTACGGCGCGCTCCGGGACTACCTCATGATCGACGGCGGCATGTACCAGGAGATGGCGCGCGTCAACGCCAGCGCGGTGAGCGGCATGCAGCCCAAGATCAGCATCTGGAGCGGCGCGGACGGCGCCGCCGGCGAGGCCGGCGCCGGCGCGATGCAGCAGGTGGCCGGCGTGTACAAGATGCTGCCGCCGCTGCTGTCGACGGTTCACGAGCAGACCGGCATGCAGCCGCCGGCGTGGATGGGCTCCCTGCCAAAAGACGGCGCCAACTAATGAACTAATTAAGATAGCCACACCAACACTTTTGTGTCATTAAGTACGTCGTATTATAGCATTACATTGTAATAATTCTGAGTTTTGTGTCAAAAGTACATCGTGCTAGAGTTATAGAGTATAATAATTTTCAGTTTTGTGTCAGAGTACGTCGTGTTGGCATTGGAGTGTAATAGTTTTGGATTATATTATTTATTTAAGAGGTGTTCTATACTACTATCTCTTCTCAACTTCTACTTCTTCGTTTTTTACACCTAAACGGTATTTTTTTTCAAAACTTTTATAAAGAGAAGTTGAGGGAAATGTTCCATAAGTAGATAATCCATATTACCTTATTTCTTTTCCTTCTCTAATTGAACCATATTACTTAAGTTTTGTTTTTCGAACAATCAATCGATGCATATCTTTACCTATTATAAAAGTTTAAGATGTTTATGCCAAGAATTTTTCGTACGTTGTCCGATTCCCTCCCCGCGATCTTTTTTTTTTTGCGATTTTTCTGTGTTATTTTCCAGTCCGACTCCCTCCCCGTTCCCCCTCGTGTCGCACCACAGCGCCCTTACCACATAAGGCGGATGTTGCACAAATTCAAATATCGATACAAAATCCAATCGAAGATAGAATCTAGAGAAAAAGAAAATGAAACAAGAAGAATAAAAAAACCGCACAAAAAAAATCGCACAAAAAAAGCCCACGACCGGCTCAAATCGATCCAATTTTCTTCATTGAGTACTTCAATGCCCATCCCCAAATTGAAGATGAATATACGAACAACAAACAATAATCCCCATATCCTTATTTCAACAGATGAACAACACATACAAATCCTCAAGATAAAAAAAAGCATGAATAAACATGAACAAATCACACGAGTAATTCATTATCATCGCCATCGTCACTGCTTCTGCTTCTGGTGTGGGAGGAAGAACAGGAGGGGGCGGCGTCACCATCGCACCTCCCAGATCGGCCCATCTCCGACCTCCAACACCAATGGATCGGCCAAGCCACCAGAGGAAAGTAGAGGAGAAAGAGAGGAGAAGAAGGGCATTTGTCGCACCTGCAGCCCGCTGTCGCCGTCAGCTCGTTACCATGGAGGTCGTCGCCGGTTGATGCCGTAGCCGGCGGCGGGAGGAGTCCGGAAGACCGAGTCGCCGTCGCCGCCGCCTCGAGTCACCGTGCCCTTGCCAGGAAGGGTGAGTGCAGGAAGAGGACGGATCTGGGACGTCGGACCGCCGCCGCCTCCCCTCCCACCGGAAGGGAGGGCGCCGCCACCTGCCACCACCCATCAGCATCGAGCCCTCCCGCGGCCCCATGGCGAGGGAGAGGAGGCGAGGGACGGAGAGGCGTCGCTGCGCGGAAGGAGAGCCGCCGACACCGAGGAGTAGCTTGCCGGGCTGCTCCCCAGCTCGTTGTGCACCACTGCTCCTGCTCTCTACTCTCTAGGCATCATTGCCGCGGGACGGCGGGTCGTGGGTAGAGGGAGAGAGGAGGCGTAGAGAACTAGAGAGGAGAGGAGAGGATGTGTGGCTGGCGACAGGAGAGAGACGGGGAAAGAGAGAGAGTAAACGAGAGAGGGTGGATAGAGATAAGGTTCTTTGACTAGAAACAGTCACGATATTTTCTCAGTAAAGTACTGTACCAGCTTCTGTTTTTCTTATACTACCTCCGTCCCAAAATAAGTGCAGCCGTAGATATTCGTACCCAACGTTTGACTGTCCGTCTTATTTGAAAATTTTGTGAAAAAATTGAAAATATTTAGTCACACATAAAGTACTATTTATGTTTTAACATCTAATAGCAATAAAAATACTAATCATAAAAAATTTTCAAATAAGACGAACGTTCAAATGTTAAGTATGAATAGTGCAAAACTGCACTTATTTTGAGACGGATGGAGTACTAAAATGAAATCTACGACATTGAATTGAATTCCGCTGAAAAATTACAGTGGGTTGAGATACACGTATATACTTAGTGTTGTTTTCTTTAATTATTATTTTTTACTAGCGAAAAAACTCGTGTGTTATAACGGGTGAAAAAAATATTTAATCATAATATACGTTTTTCACTCGTAACCATGTCAATAACAATGTTTGTATGGATCGTTTGTAGCTAAGACAATAAGAAAATTGGAACATCTTTTCATGTTTTTATTTAATTTTTTTACGGACGATGGAAATACTTTTTTCTCATGCATTTTTTATTTTTTTACAAAAGACAAAACATTATTTTAACGTTTTTTCTGACTTTTTTCTCACGCATTTTTTAATCGTTTTTATTTTCTCATGTTTTTTTAGTTGTAGAATGAAAACTTCTCTTTTTAAGTAGTTATATTAGATTAGAGTTGGAGAAGAGATATATACTGTCTACTAAAACGAATAGAAATCGGACTTCTTTTCCACGCTTTTTTTTCTGCTCTTTTTTTTTCACGCGTGTTTTTTTAGTTTATACTTGCCATTTTTCGCCACTTTCTTAGGAAATCGGACGAACTTTTTTACATGTTTTTTTAGATTTTTTTAATTTTCGCCTTTTATACGAATCAGACTTTTTTCTATTTTTATGGGAATTGGATCTTTTTTTTTACTTTTTTTCACCTTTATAGGAATCAGATTTTTTCACGTTCGGATCTACGGTTTTTTTTTGCCACTTAGTGGAACCGGATTTTTTTAGTTGTTTTTCGCTATTTTTTCCTTTTTTAGGGGGAATCGGATCTGCGGTTTTTTCCATCTTTTTAGGGGAGTCGGACTTTTTTTTTGTTGTTTTTTCGCTCTTTTTTTTTTATTTTGACGGACGAAGGAAACGTTTTGAAATTTTTGAAGTAGTAGAGATTGCTGACACCAAAATCACTAAAACTTTTCTACTATTATAAAAATTGAAGATAATTTTACCGGTACTCTGGTACGTCATCCGTGTATGAGTTGGTTTTTAACCGTATTGAAAAATACAGTTCGTTCGCTTTTAGAAATCCAGATCTATATTTGAGCCGGGTTTTAATTTCGTTCGCTTTTGAAAATACATAAGGAGTCGTATAAGAAATCTCTTGAAAAAAACTCGTATGCTAACTTAACATGATTTAATCTCTTGAAAAGAAAAACTTGCATACTAACCTAACATGATTTTCTTGAAAAATATATATCCAAGCGAATTCTCACAGTGAACAATAATAAGATTAAAATAGCCTTCACCCGTTGCAACGCACGGGCATTTTTCTAGTACTTTAAATTGTTATAAACCACATCATTTTAATTATTTATAACTTTTTAATAGTCGATTAGAGATAAAAAAAATACAAAGTGTAGCTAGCTATCTTCATGTTATTTCGATTATATGCTACTTCTATTAATATCATATAAACATACATCTAGTTTAATACTCCCTCCGTAGCAATATAGGTGCAACCATCGATACCTTCTTTCTTTTCCTTCTCTCATTGATCTGAGCCATATCACTTTAATTTTGTTTTTTGACGATCAATCGATCCATATACTTTACATTGTTATAAACCACATCATCTTAATTAATTTATAGCTTTTTTAATAGTTGGTTCGAGATAAAAAAAATACAAAGTGTAGCTATCTTACAAGCTATTTCTATTATATGTTACTTCTATTAGTATCATATAAACATCTAGTTTAATACTCCCTCCGTACTAATATAAGTGCAACCTAGTACAAATTTGACATATCTTAGGACTACGAATCTACAAATTTAACATATCTTAGAACTACGAATCTAGACAGAAAGTTATAAGATATATCACATATGTACTAGGTTACAATTATATTGATATATGGAGGGAGTAGAAAACTAATGGACGACTGTAAAAGCAAAAGGAAACATTAACGTCCAAAGTCAAAACTCGTATTCAACAATAGCAATTTTTAGAACCAAACAATCGTCAATGGTAATTCATAAAAAATCTCTTTAAATAATGTGTAAATTATACTACCTCTTTTTTATAATATATAATACAGTTATTTTCCCTCAAATTTGGCCGACACTATTTATTCAATTACTTAGTTATTACGTAAAGCGAAAAAAGTACCACTAAATCTACCATTAAAAAGACTTTGTGTGGCTTGTATGTTTTTCTATTTATACAAATAAGAAAAAAAACATTACAATAGTCAAATTTAGACATAAAAAATAGAGGCAGTAGCAAATTAATGTGAAAATTATATAATCAAGTAGATGTTTTTTTTCCTCTTTGCGATCTGGGAACAATAGACAGGCCTTCTCATGCAAGAAAATTAAAGTGATAATAAACTCCTATGTTATGATAGAGTATAACTCAAAACTTAAGGCTCATTTGAAACGTAGGATTGAAAAAAATGAAGGAATATATAAATAAAAAAACGTAGAATTTTGATAGGAATTTAAGTGCAATACAAAGGAATGTAAATTTTAGGAAAAACACCGAAATGATCATTGGAATAGAGTGCAGGAAAAACAAAGGAATCGGATTAGAGATATAGATTGAACTGAAATTTTCTAAGAGGCCGCACCTCTTGCTAACTCTTCTTCAAAATCCCTATAGGGTTGTCCATTTCCTAAAAATTTCGGATTAGAGATATAGATTGAACTGAAATTTTCTAACAGGCCGCACCTCTTGCTAACTCTTCTTCAAAATCCCTATAGGGTTGTCCATTTCCTAAAAATTTCAAAGGATATATATATGATATGATGTAATTCTTTGATTGAAATACTTCAAAATTAATTTGTATGTTTTTTCTATCGATCAAAGGAGGTTTACTGGTTTAGTGAAAGGAACCTAAAACCAGGACTCCATCTATCCCATTTTGATCATCCTTTAAGCTTTTTGAGGTTTTTCTAAAATGATCATCATCTAACAAGTGTCTCTTTATTTATTTGTGCAAAGAGTAAATGTGCATCATTGAATATGTTGCATGTAACCAACCAAGATTAATTTTTATTGGTGCAATGGCATGCAATATTTAAAACATCAGCAATCTACGGGATATGAAATGATGAAACACCCTAACCGATAAGGATTAATTTGAGAGTGATAAATATTTTAGTATCCTTGGTCTTTTTTTTTAGAGGAAAACTTTAGTTTCCATTAACCCAAGGAAGCGGCATAATCGCCGACCACCAGATCCTCAACACCCGGAGGTACACCATCCCAGACGAGATCAGTGTTTAGAGGACTATTACAACCAATGGATGCGATTGCATCAGCTACCTTATTACACTCGCGAGGACAGTAACTGAACTGACAAGATACAAAGGACGAAGTGATAATGTTCTTCGCTTCAAGCAGCAGGCCGCCCAAAGGAGCATAGCGAAAGTTTTCTTCCCTCAGAGCCTGGATAAGCGTCAAGGAGTCGGATTCCAGCTGGATATTGGCCATTCCCAGGTTCGCCGCTGCCTGTAAACCCTTTACTCCTGCCATAACTTCGGCGTGAAAAGCATCTTGCATCCTCGATGAACTTCCTGCTCCCGCCTGTATCACATGTGCTCCCACGTCCCGGATTACATAACCCCAACCGCCTAGGAGCAGTTGATGCTTGAAAGCTCCATCCACATTGATCTTCAGCACCTCAGCTGCAGGTTGTGTCCACTTCTTAACTGTTCTATTTTTATGCTCCCTTCGCTGTTGCAGGGCCAAATTTAGGAGTTCATCGACTTGCTTCTGCACCGAAAAGGCCAGCACACTAGCTACTCTTCTTCCTTCCCCCTCTCTCCTCCGATTTCTCTCATTCCACCAACCATACATTAGGACAATGGCTAGCAATCTCTTTTCTTCCTCCAACTCCAAAATGGAGTTTAAGACTGCCCAAGCTGATTGCATACCAGCTAACTTGTCCCTAGTCTCTTCAAGGTTCAGGTCTCTCCAAATGTATTTTACTTCCTTGCATCTGAAGAAGAAATGACTCCCATCTTCATCCAACCGGTTGCAGATAATAGTGTCCTTGGTCTTGGTGCCATTCGTTTAGGGAATGATCAAACTTTAGGGAATGATCAAACTGGGATGAAAGGATTAAGATTGTACTCCAGAGTAGTCGAAAGAATCAGGCAGCCTCTATACCGATCAGTATTCTGTGCCGTACCTAGGGGTGGGTAGCGAGCCAGCTCGGCTCGGTCTAGCTCGTTATCCTAACGACCTAAAAAACCAGCTCGGCTCGACTCGTTGCAAAGCTCGAGCTGGCTCGTTTGGCTCGCGAGCTAATGACCTAAAACACCGGCCCAACAATTTTTGCAATGGATACACAGGTAAGTGCAGAGAGGTGCTGAAGCTGAACCGATAATTGAAGAACTAAAGTACTAAACACGAGATCAACAACAACAAATCAAGCATTTGCTCCGAGATCTGGTTGAGGCAGCTCCTCCATGGCAGCCGGCGGCGTGGCCACACAACCAGCGGCGAACCACGGACGTGGATGATGACTGGCACGGTGTGGGGGCGGCGTCGTGGAATCGTGGGTGATGAGCGGCGGCGCGGGCGCACGACACTCACTGCTAGAGTGCTGGAGCCTGGCGCGGAGGTGGATTGGCGGCGGCGGAGCGACGGTGGATTGGTGACGGTGAAGCGGCGGAGTGAAGAGGAGAGGAAGATCTGGAGAGGCGGCAGTGCACGGGATGGTGGCGCTGTGGCGGGCTGGCGGCGCCGCGCGGAGTGGAGAGAAGAGGAGAGGGGACGCGAGTCGCGATGGTGGCGGCGGAGCGAACAGGGAAGAGGGAAGTGGAGCGAACAGTCAGCTAGGGTTTACTAGTCTTTACCTTATGTCCTTATCTGATGGGCCTATGCGCCTACGGGCTTTGTGGTCTTGGCTTAGTGGGCTTTGTGGCTTGCTGTTGTTGAGCTGTTGGCTAATGAAAAGCTCGTTAAGGCTCGCGAGTAGAGCTAGCTCGAGCTGGCTCGTTATCTCTAACGAGCTTTAAAGCCAGCTCTGCTCGTTAGGAAATTTAAACGAGCCGAGCCAAGCCGAGCTTATCACGAGCCACGAGCTTCCTCTCCACCCCTAGCCGTACCCCCCACTGACATACTGTAGGTCTGTAGGTTTTGCTCAGACGCGGCCTCGTTTGGACGGCCCAAGTGGGAGACGGCTCAGGTAGGAGCCCACACGGTTTGGAGGCCGCCCCACATGCGCATATGCGATCGGTGAGACGGTGAGCGAGACCGAGACCGTTTGGGCCATCGTGCAGCTTGGGCGAGCCCATACGATTCGGAGGCAGGCCACGTGCGACCCTGAGGCCTGAGCCGATACGACGCGATCGGTTCGATTTGCGTTGTCGAGTCCGACACATCTCATTCGATTTCGATCTCATCTCCACCGTACAACGTCTTCCCTTCCTCATTGCCCTTGTCACGTACGGATCAGTAGATCGCATCAGATATCATATCCTCCTCCCTTCAATTCTCTCCTCGATCGCCGCCGCGCGTCCGTGCGTGCGCCGCTACAAAAAAAAAAAAAAAACTTGGGGTTTCCTCGCCGGCGCCGCGCCGATCCAACAACGAACTCACTCAATCGCCGCGAGACACGATCGATCGAGAAATCGAGATGGCGCGTTTCGTGGTGGCCGGCGCGTCGGAGTACCTGGCCATCACGGGCTGGGGGATCGACGACGTGAAGCTGGCGAAGAAGGCGTGGGTGTTCGCGGGGCAGAAGTGCCTCAAGTTCGACGCCACGCCGGTGAGCTACGACATCGACGTGCAGGCCATGAGCTCCGAGAAGCTGCCCTTCAGGCTCCCCGCCGCCTACACCATCGGCCCCAGCCCCAAGATCAAACGGAACCCTGTGGTGGACGGACCGGCGCCGCCGGCCGACACACAACGGAGACTGGAGGATTGCGACGAGGAAGCGGTATGCGTGCATGATTCACAGATATTTTTACTCCCCCTACTATTTCTTTAAATTAACTCTACACGTGCTTCAAATAATATACTCAGTGCACACTAATTAACAAATATTATAGAAAAACTAGAGAAAAATACACATGTATTTTTGATAGGTTTATATATGCATGTGTAAAGTATCAACTTTAAAATATATATTCTATTTTAGCCAAAACAATAAAAATAAAAAGCCTGAGACTATAAATATGTCAGAACCTTGTCTTTTTTTTATTACTATCTATATATTATGGATTTAAAGATGATGCTGATCACATGTAGGTGATAATCCTATTAAAAATGTATGTACACTTTTTTAGAGTTTTCGATGGTATTTGTTTGTTAGTAGTTTGCATGATGTGCGGACATGGTATGTTCCCTTTGATACAATTGATACTTCCAAATACTCTACTAACATACATTATATGTAGCTCATGTAGATATATGATTTTTTTTCTTTTACCTACGCTCACCATGTCTCGCCGAGTTCTTGATGTTAAGAGAAATTGTACAGACATTGAGAGAGAACAAATTTTATACTAGAAAATATTGTACCTCTCAGTATTTCTTTAATAACTGTAAAATCACTCTGATGTTCATTATAATTGAATACCTTCTTTTTTAAGCTCACCAACTAAAAAAATTGAAAAAAAAACTATTATTGAGGCAAGAAGTATTAAAGTATCTTAGTTTTGCTATTAGCTAGTTGTCATTTTCTCTCTTATCCGTCAGTCAATTAAATTTGCACAAGCAACATGACGCAATATTAGGTGCCGGGAATACCTTTACTAGGAAGATATATAAATTGCTACCTAAATCAGTTTTTTAGGCTAGTTGCATTGGGCTTTATTCTTGGTCAGCTAGCTTAACAATTTTGCCGAGTGGTTCGAATTGAACCATTTCCTCTTTTTTCACATTTGTATAACATTGAAAAAAAAGCGATGCATGGATCAAGCATGAAAAATTATATGTCCTAGTTTTGCTCTTTGTTAGTCGATATATTTTGTTCTAATCTTGTCAGTCACCTAAATTGGCTAACCTAATAAAACCTATGACGATATACGACTGCAGCTTTAGCATATATCTACACTACTATAAAAGCTGAAGATGTTTCAAATATGCAACCAGCTTTCGTTTGAACAATTTTCTGCTCAAGTTGGCAGTCTAATCCCTTCTTCTTCTTCTTCTTTGTCTACTTGTGCTCCTGGAACAAGCAGCTACTACTGTACGCAAAACTCATTGCTGCTTCCCAGATCAGATCACCAAACCACGTCATCGATCTCGTGAAGGGTGTCATCGAGGGCGAGACCCGCGTGCTCGCCTCGTCCATGACCATGGAGGAGATCTTCCAGGGCACAAAGAAGTTCAAGCAACAAGTGTTCGACCAGGTGCAGCTTGCCCTCAACGAGCTTGGCCTCTACATCTACAGCGCCAACGTCAAGCAGCTCGTCGATGACCCGGATTCACCCGGCAACGACTACTTCTCCTTCCTGGGGCAGAAGAGGCAGGCGGAGGTGGAGGGCAAGGCGAAGGTGGCCGAGGCGGAGGCGCGGATGAAGGGGGAGATCGGCGCCAAGGAGAGGGAGGGGCTCACGCTTCAGAACGCGGCGAAGGTGGATGCCGAGACGAAGGTGCTGTCCGCGCGGCAGCAGGGTGTGGGCTGCAGGGAGGAGATCAAGGTGAAGGCCGATGTGGAGGTGTACGAGAACGAGAGGGAGGCGGACATCGCGGCGGCGCGGGCGGCGCTAGCGGTGAAGAAGGCCGGGCTGGACAAGCAGTCCAAGGTTGCCGAGGTCGAGGCGGTCAAGGCCGTCGTCGTTCGCGAGGCCGAGCTGCAGCTGGAGGTGGAGCGCAAGAACGCGCTGCGCCTCACCGAGAAGCTCAAGGCCGAGAAGCTCAGCAAGGCCACCGTCCAGTACGAGACACAGGTATTTATAGGGAAACTTTATTTATTTCTCAAGAAGATGTTCTCTTGTTTTTTCATATCACTAAAAAAACCATAATTTTCCTAAAGAAATAGTAAAAAAATTAATATATCACTTTACAAATATGTAGGTTCAAATTTAATTTATACAAGTAAAAACAAAAATAACAAAAATAGAACGGTGTAATTCGCATAGTCGAATTTATTTATTTTTTTTAATTGTATAGGTTGAATTTGAACTTATATGTTTGTAAAATGACAAATCATATATTAATTTATTTTATCAATATTTTTTTACTTTTAGTGACTTTTTAAACAACATGAATAAAACAAGGGATGTTCTCCAAGGGATAAAAGTCCATCTCCCTATTTATATGGTTACATACACACAGCCACACAAACATGATTCAAACTTGGATCGAGTTTGCTCATGTCAAATCATCTAATTAAGAGAAGTTTTACTTATTCTATCTGCTGGCGTACGTAGGTGCAAGATTCAAACGCGGCGCTGTACGACAGGCAGATGGCAGCGGACGCGACGCTGTTCGAGCAGGTGAAGTCGGCGGAGGCGCGCAAGGCGCAGGCCGGCGCCAAGTTCTTCGAGCAGAAGCTGGCCGAGGACGCGAGGCTGTACGCGAGGCAGCGGGAGGCGGAGGCGCTGGCCGGGGTGGGCAGGGCCAAGGCGGAGCTCGTGGCGTCCATGCTCCAGGAGCTCGGCGGCGACCACGGCGCGCTCCGGGACAGCCTCATGATCGACGGCGGCGTGTACGAGGAGGTCGCGCGCGTCAACGCCAGCGCGATGAGCGGCATCCAGCCCAAGATCAGCATCAGGAGCGGCGCCGGCGGCGCCAACGCCGGTGCTAGCAGCGCAGGCGCGGTGCAGCAGGTGGCGGCGGCCGACGTGTACGACATGCTGCCGCCGTTCCTGCAGTCATCAGGGGGATTTAACAAATTGCCACTATAGGAGATGACTTGTACTCTTCAAATGTCACTATATTTCAGATTTTTGTCCTTGTATTTTACCACTTTGACCCTTTTAACTACGTGGCGTAACACATTGATGTGCTAATGTGGAACGCGGGGACGAGATGTCCATTTTACCCCATGTGGAGTCCATGAGTAAAACACAATGATTTTTTACATTTAGATGTCATGGCACCCATTATTTATATGCGACTTAAATAGTTATTATAAAAAATGAAAACATTAATTGAGATTATTGAAAACATTAATTGAGATTATATAAGTCTTTACAACTAACGAAACCAAAATAATAAAATCAGACAATGAATAATACTTGTAAAGAGCAAATATAATTTATTATTTTTTCTTCATGTGTAGATCGAATTTAGACATGAAAATCGGTTTTCGCTGGCGGCAATATTAAGAGACCCTCAAGCGAAATCTTTTTTGGAGCAAAAAGAATTTTGAAAATCCAGGCCCAAAATAGTTTCACAAATTACAAATCATTGTCCCCAAATCCCAAATCATTGTTCCAAATCCCCAATCAAAATCCTAAATCATTGTCCAAATCAACGTAGGCATCACTGGTTGCTGTCGGCGTGGGAGGGAGCTGAGTTACCGTCGTCGAACTGCCATTGTGGATGTGGCCGTAGAGCGCGCCGTTCTTCGTATACTCTTAGACGAGCAGCTACTCATCAAACTCATCGAGGTGCTTGTGGTGGAGCCGCAAGAGGAAGGCCTGCTCCGACTGGTACACTGTCTCCTTCTTTGGGAACTAGCGGGAGTGTGGCCCCAACTCGCCGCACTTAATGGCTGCCTCCCGCCCGAAGCTCCTCTCGCCATCATTGGTCGCTGCCGCCTGCTGCCCGTGCACCTCCGATGGCCGGATCCACGGCCCACGACGCCTCTAGCCACCCGCGCACCTCCGGTGGCCGGATCCTCTGCCCACGACGCCTCATGCCGCCTGCGCACCTCCGACGGCCGAATCTGCCACCCGCACACCTCCAGCAGCCGAATCCTCCGCCCACAATGCCGCACGCTGTTATGAAAATAGATGCACAACAGAGACACGAATTTTTACGTGGAAAACCCTTACGGGAAAAAAAGCACGGGCGCCGACCGGCAATGATCACTATAAAGGAGATGATTACAAACGTAGGGGAATCACAATGGGAACGTCACCCCTTCCAGTACGGCTTACAAGAGTATATATAGGGGATAATAGAAAGACACCTAATAGGACTCCTACTAGGAAACTAATCCGAATATATTGTGGGCCCAAAATTCGGATCACATATTTAACAATTTCCACCTTGAGACGAATTTCCTCTTGTAGCATAAAAACATCAATCACCAAAGATACCTCATGTAGGTAAAATTATCGCGCGCCAAATAGTCTCTAGGACTATACTGTAACACCCACCAAGCTTGAGCAAAGCTCAAACTTAGTAGCAGAAACTGGCTTTGTCATCATATCAGCTGGGTTATCATGAGTACTTATCTTGCATACCTTGACATCACCTTCAACAATCACACCTCGAATAATGTGATATCTCACATCAATGTGCTTTGTTCTCTCATGGAACATCTGATCTTTTGTAAGGCATATTGCACTTTGACTATCACAAAATATATTAATGCAAGACGTAACTCCACAAAGCTCAGTGTACAAACCTCTAAGCCAAATAGCTTCTTTACAAGCTTCAGAAATAGCCATATACTCTGCTTCAGTAGTAGATAAGGCAACCGTTGCTTGCAAACTTGCCTTCCAACTAACATCACATCCTCCTATAGTGAAAACATAACCTGTGAGCGATCTTCGCCTATCCAAATCTCCAGCAAAATCTGAATCCACATAACCAACAAATCCATCTCTAGATCTCCCAAACTGCAAACAAGCACTAGATGTACCACGTAGGTATCTGAAAATCCATTGAACAGCTTTCCAATGCTCTTTGCCAGGATTAGCCATGTATCTACTGACAACACTCAATGCATGTGATAAGTCAGGATGAGAACATACCATGGCATACATAAGTGAACCAACTGCACTTGAATATGGAACTCTAGACATGTACTCAATATCATAATCTGACTGTGGACATAATCTGAAGATAATCTGAAGATAATCTGAAATGTGCAGCTAAAGGAGTACTCACTGGTTTTACATCATGCATATTGAAACGACGAAGAACTTTTTTAATATAACCTTTCTGACTAAGATATAACTTGCCAGAATGTCTTTCTCTAGTAATTTCCATACCGAGAATTTTCTTCGCTGCACCCAAATCCTTCATCCCAAATTCACTACTCAATTGTGCCTTCAACTTTGCTATCTCTGATTTGTCTTTTGCAGCAATCAACATATCATCAACATAAAGAAGCAAATATATAGCTGAACCATCAACAACTTTGAGATAAACACAACTATCATAATTGGATCTTCTAAACTTCTGAGAAAGCATGAAAGAGTCAAATCTCTTATACCACTGTCTAGGTGACTGCTTCAACCCATAAAGAGATTTCTTCAACCTACAGACTAGGTTCTCTTTTCCAAGAACAACAAAACCTTCAGGTTGCTCCATATAAATGTCCTCTTCTAACTCCCCATGTAAAAATGCAGTCTTAACATCCATTTGCTCTAGTTCATAATCATGCATTGCAACAATACCGAGTAAAGTGCGAATTGAACTATGCTTCATAATAGGGGAAAAGACATCATTGAAATCAATACCTGGAATCTGGCTATAACCTTTAGCAACTAACCTTGCTTTGTATCTTGCCTCATCACTTGGAGACATACCTTCCTTTCTTTTGAAGATCCACTTGCAACGGATAGGTTTCTTCTCCTTTGGCAACTTCACAAATTCCCAAGTATGATTCTTTTTAAGTGACTCCATCTCATCATGCATAGCAGTTATCCATCTATTGCAATCATCAGAAACAATAGCCTCAGAATATGTAGAAGGTTCTGCATTACCTTCAATTTCTTCTGCCACACTCAAAGCATAAGCAACTATGTTCGCTTCTTCAATATATCTTCGAGGAGGTTTAATATTTCTTTTGGGCTTATCTTTTGCAATAGAACGTTTTGAAGACTGCTGAACAATAGAAGAATCTGAATCTTCAATAACAGGTGCATCTTGGTTAATAGCAACATTTTCTTTTTCTGGTGCATGCCCTGAACTGATCAAGTGCTCCACCTGCACACTTGCTTTCTCCTGACTCTCAACAGGAACATTAGTAGAAGGTTTGTCATGTAAAATAACTGATTCATGGAAGACAACGTTTCTACTAATCACAACCTTTTTAGTTTCAGGACACCATAACTTATAGCCTTTCACACCAGACGGATAACCAAGAAAAATGCACTTAATAGCTCTAGGCTCTAATTTACCATTATCAACATGAGCATAAGCAGTACAACCAAATACTCTTAAGTCTGAATAATTAGCTGGGGAACCAGACCATACCTCAATTGGAGTCTTCTTATCAGTGGCATAACTAGGTGATCGATTGATAAGATAACAAGTAGTGGAAACGGCTTCCGCCCAAAACTGTTTAGGCAAATCTGCATTAGACAACATACAACGGGCCTTTGATATAATTGCCATGTTCATACGCTCAGCTACGCCGTTTTGTTGAGGTGTGTGAGGAACGGTGTAGTGATGCACAATGCCTTCAGACTTGCAATATGATTTAAATATCTTAGAACAGAACTCCATCCCATTGTCAGTACGAAGGATTTTCACCTTTTTTTCAGTTTGTCTTTCAACCATAGTTTTCCACTCTTTAAACACATCAAAAGCTTGATATTTGTGCTTCAAGAAATAAGGCCAAACTTTTCGCGAATAATCATCAACGATAGTCATCATGTAACGAGCACCTCCAAAAGATGTCTTACAAGCAGGCCCCCATAAATCAGAATGCACATAATCAAGAATACCTTCAGTGGTATGTGTAGATGTGTTGAACTTCACCCTCTTATGCTTGCCAAAGATGCAATGCTCACAAAATTTGAGCTTCCCGATGCTTTGTCCATCTAGCAATTCTCGCTTGCTCAATTCTGCCAAACCAATTTCACTCATATGCCCAAGACGCATATGCCAAAGATTAGTAGCATCGGAATTAGATAATGAATCAGAAACTGCTGCAACATTACCTAATATAGTTGTACCTCGCAGATGGTACAGGTTGGCAGATTTAATATCAGCTTTCATCACAACAAGAGAGCCTTTAGTTACCTTCAAAATTCCGTCTCCACCGGAATATTTGTACCCTTTGCGATCAAGAGTACATAAAGAGATGAGACTTCTCTTCAAATTTGGAATATGCCGCACATCTGACAATGTTCTGATATAGCCATCAAACATCTTGATCTGAACTGTTCCAATACCTGCAACCTCGCATGGTGTATCATCACCCATCAAAACAGTACCACCTTGCAAAGCTTCATAGGTGGCAAACCAATCCCTATTAGGGCACATGTGATAGGTCCATGCAGTATCAAGAATCCACTGGTCACTAGTTTGTGCACAACCAGCATAAGCAACAAGCAATTCTGTATCAGACTTCTCATCAGTAACAACTGCGGCTTTACCTTCCTCTTCTTTCTTACCTTTTGGTATATACTTTCCAGTTCTCTTGTCTTTGTCCTGTAGCTTCCAACACTCAGAGATATCATGTCCATCTCTCTTGCAGTATTTGCATGACTTATACCTGCCTCTAGACTTTGATCTCCCACGGTAGCTACTTGAGCTTTTATCTCTTGATTGGTTCTTTGTGTTCTTCTCCTGTTGCCTGCCCCGAACAACCAAGCCTTCTGCTTGTGAATTTGAACCTTCAGAGGGTACCATCTTCTTCATCTTTTCTTTGGCATGCAAAGCATCATAAACTTCTTTCAAAATTAGAGTATCATGACTATAAAGTATAGTATCCCTGAAGTTTGCATATGAGCTAGGCAATGAACACAATAGAATAAGGCCTAAATCCTCTTCATCATACTTTACCTCTATAGACTCAAGGTCAGCAACAATTTCCTTGAAAGTGGAGAGATGGTCCATTACAGACCCATCATCTTGCAACTTATGCAAAAATAACTTTTGCTTCAGGTGCATCTTACTGGTTAGATCCTTAGTCATGCATATCTGTTCCAGCTTCAACCACAGCCCAGCGGCTGTCTCCTCCTTAAGCACCTCCTGCAAAATATTGTTAGATAGATGAAGATGAATATATGACATAGCCTTACGATCCTTTTTCTTCTCATCGTTGGACCAATCCTGAGTCCTCTTGTCAAATCCAGAAAGCGCATCATCGAGGTCTTGCTGTGCAAGAACGGCTCGCATCTTCACTTGCCAAAGTGAGAATCTTGTGTCTCGGTCCAGGAGCGGTAGATCATACTTCAAACTCGCCATAGGAATTAATCCTGAAATTTGCTAGTAAGAAATTAGGGTAAACCTAGCAAAATCGCGAACCTCTGGGTGCACTTTCTGTGTGCACGTAGCGTAGATCAGGGAATCTCCTGGTACACAAGCTTAGGTGGCCGTAGCAATTCTCAACGTGAAATTGAATTCACAGAACAGGGCGATGATGGCTCTGACTGACTTGCCCTACTTTTTCTTCACTTTGGGATCTGTGCGCAATTAGATTGGTTTCTGCTGCTTTTTCTCCTCCCCCGACGTGTGGTGTGGAGACCGGCTGCTGCTCCTCCTGTTTTTTCTCGCGTGCGTAGGCAGCACGACGAAGACGAGACGAATCGACGAGACGAGCGACGACACGCGCCTGCCGTCGCCGATGATGAACGTGCGCCGGTGGATAATCTCGCCGAATTGCAGAACGATGGTGGGATAGTTGTTGATCGAATCTCCAATGATCTGATACCACTTGTTATAAAAATAGATGCACAACGGAGACACGAATTTTTACGTGGAAAACCCTTGCGGGAAAAAACCACGGGCGCCGACCGGCAATGATCACTATAGAGGAGATGATTACAAACGTAGGGGAATCACAATGGGAACGTCACCCCTTCCCGTACGGCTTACAAGAGTATATATAGGGGATAATAGAAAGACACCTAATAGGACTCCTACTAGGAAACTAATCCGAATATATTGTGGGTCCAAAATTCGGATCACATATTTAACACACGCGCACCTCTGGCCACGATGGGAGAGAGGACGCCACCATCACACCCTCTGCCGCCATGAGGGAGGAGACGTCGCCTGCCTCCCCTCCACCAGATCTGGTAGAGGTCGCTCTCGCCACCGCCCCATCTACCACCACCATGCATGAGCTCCCCTTGTTGGCGCCATGGACAAGAGGATCCACCGCTGGAGCCCGCCCACAGCTGAAGCCCGGGCGACTGCCGACAGTCGAATCCACCGCCGGAGCCCGCCCACGCTGGAGCCCTCGCCGAAGCCTGCGTGAACACCGACCGACAGAGCTCTCGTCGAAGCCCGCTCGCGCCTGTGCGGCGGCCGCCGGTTTGCTGCCCCGCCACTGGATCTAGAAGAGATAGGGTGTGAAAGAGAGAATGATGTGGTGGGTGGTGGGAGAGTGGGTATTGGATAGATAAAGATAAGAAAAAAATATAATTTTGTTTCTTCATCTCATTCCAGTATTTTTTATGGATGACCGTTTGTAAAAATCTATTTTTATAAGTGACCTTCTCAAACAATCGCTGATAAAAATAGACTTATTTTTACAAACAGTTATGTAAAGATAACCGCTTGCAGATCTTCGGTTACAGTTTCACGAGCGTTTTTTATTTTACCCGCCTGAAAAATAAAAGGGGTTATTCTAGGAAAAGTCGTTTTTAAGTAGCGAAAGTAACTCTTCCGCATATTAATTAAAGCAGTAGAGCTAGCTTTTTCTTTGTTCACCGCCAGCTTTGTTTTCGTTGCTTACGATGATAGACAACTATTTAATTCTAATATGCACAAGCATGCCCAAGCATCTGCCTCCGAGGTTGAATTAGATGTATCCTCCTTTGCTGCTACACATTGAGTAAACGCTGCACTTTTTTCCCATTTATATACGCTAATATGCAGGTCAATTAAGGATAAGGTCTTTTTTTCCCAAGATTTCATGTCAATGTCACTAAAATTGGTATTGTTAAGTATAAAGTTTGCAGTATATATATACACACAATGTGTGTAATGTTAGTTTATTTAACTACAATTTTGTAGTTTTCTATGATTTTACATTTATCTTTTATGCAAGTTTGAATTTATTTTTGCATGTAATTTCTTACATTTGTATGAATTGTAGGTGTATTCTTGTTTAGGTTAGACTAATTTATTGTTCAACAATTTTATCATTGAAAGAAAGGACTTCTAAGTAATACTGTATTAGAGTAATGAGATCCATCGTTTGTAATTTTTGGATGGGAAAAGTAACTGATATTTTTTGAAAATTCGAGGTGCATGAAATCAAGACACGCCCTAAGAAAAAAAAAGCATAGTGTTAGAGTAATTGAAGATATACACGTGCACTTGTGTTGTAATTTGATTTTCCTGTAGGAGGAATATGTATATATGTGTGTCTAATTGAAGGTATGAATACTTGCTACTACTTTTGAGCCTTGGGATCTGTTTAGCACAGCTCCAGCTTCATCTCTTTAGCTTGAACTCAACTAAACAATTTCAGTTTCATCTATAATGAAAGCGGAGCTGGATGTAGCGCTCTCACAAAAAGAACTAGAAAGGTGGAGCTGTGTTTAGGTTGCTCTAGAACTTTATTTTAGACCCAACTCATTTTAGCTAAATTTAGAAGTAGGAGCTCTACCAAATAGTTCTTAATAAAATCAAATTGGGAGTATAGTTCTTGTTTTTTGTTGCTAAATGAAATGAAATTAAATGAGCCTTAATAAAAAAAACCTACATGGAATCATGGAGTACTACTTGTGGCCTCTTAATTAAGATGCATAATTTTTGCAGTGCTTGGGAGGAAGGATTATAAAGCATCGATCACACACGCGCCTGGCTGGCCAGTGGAGAAAAGAGAGAAGGCTGGCATGCGATGCCTGGCAGCATGAACATACGTTGAGTGCACCGTTAAACTAAGCAAAGAATTGATGTATATATATCTTGTTGATGAATATAATGTACTGTATCGCCGGGGGCCGTCTACATATAGGTATGCATGTGATCATTTGTTTGCATGCAGATGAAATGCGATAGCAATTAATTAGCTATTGACATTAGTTTGCAGTAGTGCTCGTTCACCAGCATATAATTAATATGGGGTCGTTCTCGTTGCCTTTTGGGACGATTCATTCGATTGAGCCGGCATTCAACCTCTCTGCATGGTGAGTGGCGATCCTATACAGTCCTAGCCGGGGTCACAGGATAGAACTATGTTAATCAGTACTCCCTCCGTTTCGAAATGTTTGACACCGTTGATTTTTTTAAACATGTTTGACCGTTCGTCTTATTCAAAAAATTTAAGTAATTAATAATTCTTTTCCTATTATTTGATTCATTGTTAAATATATTTTTATGTAGTCATATAATTTTACATATTTCATAAAATTTTTTGAATAAGACGAATGATCAAACGTATACTAAAAAGTCAACGGTGACAAACATTTTGAAACGGATGGAGTATATCACTTAATAATTAGATGATTAGTATTTATTGTATCCCTGATAATTTTTATTCTGGGTTCGTCACTAGAAACGGTGCAGTAAATATTTTTTATTTCTGGTTCGCCACTGAAAATGGTGCAGTAATCGTCTATACGATGTGAGCGGCGGCGGCAACGTCCCACGACCGGGGACGGGGACGGAGAATATGAAGCTGCTGTTCATGGTGGTGCTCATGGCGATCGTGGGCTGCACGCTCTACATCAACGGCTTCGTGCAGGTCTTCTTCCCGTGGGTGCGCCAGATCGGGTTCCAGAAGTACAGCCTCTCCATCATCGCGCGCTTCCTGCTCAACTTCGCCTTCTTCCAGTTTGTCCCTCTCGTCTCGGCGACCATCTCCCAGAGCCAGGCCAACAGCGGCGGCAACAACGACGGCGTCCTCCGGAACGAATCGGAGCTCCTGGCGGCGCTCCTGTGGTTGATCCTCGTGGAGCTCATCCGCAAGAAGGTCCAGGGGATGCTGCTGCCGACCGACGGCTCCTCCTTCTCGAGGGGCATCGGGAGGCTCACGCTCATGGATGTCTCCTACGAGGTGAGCCACCTGGTGTGGGTCGGCTACCTCATCTTCGCAAACTTGGCGAGGCAGACGAGGACGGAGACGTTAGAATTCCGATACTATTTGTTAGGGTTGACGTTGATCTACATCTTCACTGTGCTCTGGTCGCTGTGCTTGGCGAAGCTGGTGCTGAGCCTGTTGAACAGGAGGCTCGCGAGCTGCTCCTTGCACACGGCGAGGAACCCTCTTGTCGTTGCAGCTTACATGCAGAAACTCATGGAGAAGCAGACGGCCACAAGCCCCCCCGCCATCACCTTGTCCACCTGCAAATTCGTTGTCATGGGCGAGGATCGACTTGTCCTCCACTACAACAAGGTGAACAACGATGACGACAACAACAACAACAAGAGGAAGAGGAGAATGAGGAGGAGGGATAATGGGGTGCTCGAGCCGGTCACGATCCATGGATACGGCTACGGCGTGGCAAGGCGCGTCGGCGGCGACCAGAACGAGCACAAGCATGTGCATCTCCTCCTCACCGACCCCGACGAGTATCTCCGCCTGACGGAGCACGACTGCGTGGAGAAGGGGCGGCTGATCACCGTGGAAGACGTGATGAACATGCACGAGCAGCACGCCAACCTGTTCAAAGGCAGGAGGCGTCAGCTCCTCGAGGACCTGTGCATCTCCTTCTCCCTCTTCAAGATGTTCCGGCGCCGCTTCGAGCACTACCCGATGGTGGAGGTCGGCTCCGCCATGGCTCGCGGCGTCATGCTCGACGGCGTCCTCAAGCTCGAGGGATGTGAGCCTGTGGGCAAAGCCCAGAAACTCTGCAGCAAGTTCACGCTGAACCGAGTACAAGGTCAAATCCAGAGGGGTTTCCAGGTGCTCCAGCTTGAGCTTGATCTCTTGGTGCACTACTACCAGCAGGCGGCTGCCCCAGTGGTAATGTCCCAACCTATCCTTTTCGTCGTCAACTTCGTCTCCTCCCTCTTCCTCCTGTGTCTACTGCTCGGCACCGTCGTCTACATACTTTTCATCTCAAGTCAAGGTGAGCCGGTGTATTGCCAAATCATCGTCTGGACGACCACCGGAAACGGCCCCATCTCCAACGTCTACTTCTACATAACCGTGCTGCTCGTGCTCACGGTCATCGCCATTGAAACCCACGAGTTCTGGACCGTGCATGTGTTCTCCAGCTGGAACATTGTTCGCATGGTCTGCACCTATCACCGTGCTGCCCATCGCCCGTGGCTACGGTGGCTCTGCTTCCTTGTCATCAGGGTAAGGTTCCTCACGTTTTCTGTGGGCAAATCGGAGATGGTCATCTACCAGATGTCCATCTTCGACGCCGCCTCTCCACTCCAAAAACTCTACGCAACTGTGAGGGCGGCCGACGTCGCGCTGCCGGCGATCGCCACCGGACGGATCATCGACGCCTTGCGTTCTGACGCCGTCGTCAGCCGCACCACCGGGATCGTCAGCCTCCCCGACATCGATGGCCTCGACTTCCGCACCATGACCACCACCGAGATCATCCTGGCGTGCCACCTCGCCACGGAGCTTCTCGACAACGAACACGACGACCACCCTCCCCCCGCCGCCGACGAAAACGACGACGACCAGCAGCAGCAGAAGAAGAAGAAGGAGAAGAAAGAAGACGACCGCAAGATCGCGTCGGTGTTGTCGAGGTACTGCATGTTCCTGGTGGCGCAGATCCCGGAGCTGCTCCCCGACGACGAGACGTGGGTGTCCGACAGGTACGGCGACACGGCGAGCGCCCTGCACCTCGCGTCCAGGCGGGTCGTCTGCCCGACGAGCCGGAGGAGGAAGAAGGCGATAGCCGTGGCCGTCCGATCGAGCCGGTGGGAGGAGCTGTTCGACGACGACCCGGCGGCGCGGCGCGGCGCCAGGCTGTTCCACCGGCTCCGGCGGCGGGGCCCGGCGTTCGACAAGGCGTGGGACGAGCTGGCGCGCTTCTGGGTGCACCTCGTCGTCTACCTCGCGCCGTCCAACGACGTGCAGGGCCACGCCAAGGCGCTGGCCTCCTGGGGCAGCGGCGACCTCCTCACCTGCCTCTGGACGCTGTGCACGCACGCCGGGATCACGCGCCAGCCTTCCGAGCAGGCGGCCGAGCTCACCGTCGACGACAGCAATGTCTAGTAATGATCAACGTATATATATATATCTGCAGCTGCTGCATCGATCGGTATCTCTCTAAAACTCTGGGCAATAAGGCCAAGTGTGTAATGGGGGATTGCATGCATGGTACAGTGCTTGTTTGATTGATTTGGCCCCGCGTGTGAGTGTGAGCATGTGTTATTTTCGTGTGCTTTTGTATTGACTTCCTTGTATAAAATCTGAGTTGCTTCAATGTAAATAAAGCATGATATGATGCATTTTTTTTTAATAAGCTGAGGGGCTTATTGCATATGTACATGAGGCTTTTGTTCCATCTATCTAGCACAAGATGACCCGTGCAATTGATCGGCTAGAGTCGAAACAAAATCTATTATAAAGTAATAGAAAAACGGTGTTGCTATAATTATGTCGACACATTTTCCAGCTAATCACAGTCGAATTTCTGTCCAATTGATCTCCCTTGAGATTCGTGCTACGATTGAAATACCAGTGCATTGAACGTCTTTGTGTGTTGCAGCGTGAAGCCAAACAATTAAATTTAAATTTCTCATCACGTCAGCATGTGTTTTCATGAAAAAATTACATATGTAATTTAAAGACTTACATATGTAATTTAGGACTTACATTGTAAATATACTAAAATTACATATGAAATTTATAGACTTACACATGTAATTTTAGAACTTACATTACAAATACACTAAAATTATATATGTAATTTAGAGACTTGCAATGTAAATACATGCTGACTATATTTTGGTGAAAAATATGGCGCCATAAATATAGTTACTCCCTAGAAAAATGAGCATCCACATTCGCTCTCACGGTCTAGAAATTCTCACATTAATCTAAAAAAATAAAAAAAATAGAACTAGATTAGGATTAGTTAAAAACTGAAGAAAGAAAAAAAGCATTAAGAAACTCGAAATGAGACAATCGGTAAAAAAAAAAAGGAAAACCTAATCATACTATACACTGGAAACGGAATCGGACAATCGGTAAAAAAAAAAAAAAACCCCTAATCATACTATACAATCTCACGGCCACCGCGGTCCTCGGCGCACCTGGCCCGGACGGCGCCGAGGCGGGGCGGGGCGGATCCGGCTCCCGGCAACGAGAGGCGGACGGCGACGAGAGGCGGACGGTGACGAGAGGCGCTCTCCTCGCCACTGGCATGCCGGACGAAGGTGAGGCCTCCTCCCCATCTTCCACCGTGCCGCCGGCCTCCTTCCCTTCCCCCACCACGCCGGCCGGATCTGGGAGCTAGATGGAGAAAGAGAGGATATTTTCGATTTGACGGCGTGGCCACGTGCTCAATCTTCCTCTTCTTCCTCTCCATCCTTCCTCTTCTTTCTCTCCACCCACCATCCTCCGATCTGGGGGCCGCCATGGACACGAGCTGAGGCAAGCACGAACAAAGACCAGCAAGAGACGAGCGGGGCAAGCACGAGCAACGAGAGGCGAGCTGAGGGAGGAGAGCAGCGACCGACGACCTGGGTGAGGAGCAGCAAGTGGTTATGGCAGAGTAGCTACGCATCCTTCTCTTTTTTTTTTTTCCGCTGTCTCTGTGTCTCGAGACTCTCTCGACAGTCGACACAACCATGAAATGCCCATGATTTTTATTGTGTGGTGCGTGGCTGTGATGTTTTTTTTTTCTTTTTACTGTAGCAAATGACACAGACTTTTTTTATAAGTCTAATTAATACGTCATTAACAAATGTTTACTGTAGCACCACATTATCGAATCATAGAGCAATTAGGCTTAAAAGATTCGTCTCGCAAATTAGTTGCAATCTGTGCAATTAGTTATTTTTTTAGCCTATATTTAATACTTCATACATGTGTTCAAGCGTTCGAGGTGACGAGATGATTAGTTGCAATATGTACAATTAGTTATTTTTTTAACCTATATTTAGTAATTCATACAGGTGTTCAAGCGTTCGAGGTGACGAGATGTAAAATGGCCTAAAACACATCGGCTGCAAAAGCCAGTGACAACTGACAACCATTTCTATCATCAAAAGAATCTCTTTTTAATTTAAAAACTGTTCCTAACAATTCTCTTTCGAAACCATGTAGAAGTAAAAAAACATAAAATGTAAATTCGGAATTTAAAAAATAACGAATATTACACGACGAGTATAGAGTACATATAAAAATATAATTTACAAATAACTATAAAACTAAAAAAATGATTAATAATTTTCATGTATATATAACACAATAAAAATATTACACATTGGTTAGTTTGGTCAAGTTAGACCATAATTTTAAATCATGTTCCCATTTTACTATATTTTAAAAATAAAATAAGAAAATAAAAAAGATGCTAAGCCACGCAATCTGCGCGGGCTACCTTACTAGAAATTCTCATATTAATCGGGAAAAAAGAAAAAAAATAGAGTTCATATAGGAATACAATTTTAAAACAAATGAAATTCGGAATTATAAATAAGGAATATAGGAAAAGGAGACTAAAGTCCATACCGGTATACAATTTAGAACTAATTAAAATTTGGAATTAAAAAAAATAAGAAAACTAAACCTAGAAGTCAGAGTCCCTATAGAAATACAATTTAAAAATAACTAAAATTGGAATTAAAAAAAAGCAATATTGAAAGAAGATTCTATACCCCATACAGGTTATAATTTAGAAAAATTGAAATTAGGAATTAAAACATAAAGAATATTAAAAGATGAATTTAGAGTCCATATAGAAATATAATTAAAAACAACGGAAATTCAGAATTAAAAAATAGGAATATTGAAAGATGAGTCTAGAGTTTATATAGGAATTTAGAACAAATTGAAAGTCAAAATTAAGAAAAATAATAAAAGTAGAGTTTAGAGTCCATATATAAATACAATTTATAAATAACTAAAATTCAAAATTTTAAAAATAAGCATGATTAGGAGAAGAGTCTAGAGTCCATATAGGAATATAATTTAGAAATAAGTAAAATTCGAAATTAGAAAATAATTAATCACTGTCAATACAGTACAAAATTCAAAATTATGTTGCTATTTTAAATATATTTTAATAAAAAAAATATGAAAAATATTTAAGCTGTTATATGAGAAAAAACATAACGATGCTAGCCGCGCAATCTGTGCGGGCCACCATGCTAGTTATATTATGATATAAAGGTATCGAGCATTTTGGCATAATTCCTATCATACACCAATGAATTATGACTTTCTATGCTTCTCCCATTGCAACCTAGCATTGTTGACGATGGATACTCGCGGACCGGATGAGTTAAGTATTGAAGTACGTTGGAACGAGGGTCTACGTAGTACGACATCAAGCAAACAAAAGATACGGATTATACTGCTTCAGGCCCCTTGTCAGGTAATAGCCCTAGTCCAGTTTATATGAGATTGATGACGATAAGAACATATTACAAAGAGAGTATTTGAAACAGATGGTACCAACGAGATCGTAGTCAAGGGATTCGACAAGATCTCCCGACGACTTGGCTCCATGCATTCCGGCTTTGTAAACTTTGGTGGGTGTGTGGTCGATGAGATGCGATGCCCTTCGCCTCCCCCTAGGGGTCCCTTTTATACCGTGTAATACCTTGACCCTCAAGTAAGACTTAGGGATATGTAAACCGACATGATATACCAAAGATTTTACCCTTTCCGAGTAGAACTTCGGCAATTTCTTAACTCATAGAGATATTTTCCATAACTTGAGACGAGTTCCTAACGGCGTATATGGAAACGATCCGTATACGTGAAGGTATACCTTATCGGTATATTTCATAAGTTGTAGGATAGAGGGTATGCCTTATCCATAACCTTGACAGTGGCCCCCGACTTCAACTTAAATGAATTCATGTTATCGCATGCGACTTCTCCCGATAGTGCGTTGTCGTACTCGCTAGGTCAATCTCGGTTGTTTAACCGTAGAGACACGGAGCTATCGACAACACTTACAGGGAACCCATCGATGCGGATTTTGAATTTAAATTGAAGTCTGAACAACGGTCTCCAACGGGCCTTAGGAATTTTCAGCGGCAATCTCTCCCCTTTCCTCGAAATACGAACCGCCAGGTAGTGCTCCTATTTAATGGAATTTTGAGATCCATTTCAAGTCCGCTTGCCAGAAAACCCTTACTATTCCCCGGCTTCCTCAGACTCTACGTTTCCCCAATCCTCAACACCCTTCACCGGCGATCCTCTTCCGGTGATCTTCTTCCAATGGCAGACCTTTACCAGTCTTCCTCCGACGCTGCTGCATTGAAGAAGCTGCACACCGAGGAGGCCGTCCCTCCGAAACAGATCATGGCGAGGGAGGCAGGAGGTACCAATCCTTCTCCTGTCTTAGGTCGTATGGTAGCTGTAAAAGATTTCATCCGATGCGGTTTTCTGCCTCCTCCTTCCGAATTTCTTTTGTTGGTCTTGAACTTCTACGGCCTTTCTTTCTTGCACCTGAACCCCAATTCCATCGCTTTCTTGAGCATATTCGTTCATCTTTGCGAGGCCTACATCGGGGTAGTGCCTTTCTTAGACCTTTTCCGCTTTTCTATGAACTCCGGTGGATGGAGCCCAATCGGGTTTCGGGATGTTGCGGATTCCGCCTTCGTGATGGCATGAAGGCGAAGTACATCCCTCTCCAATGCCACTCATCTCGGAGCCAATGGAGATCGAGATGGTTCTACCTCGAGATAAAAGAACTCGACCCAGTTCTTGTCGTGCCCGAGGTCCAACCGGAGCGTTCCGAGGACTGGACCTCGAAACCCCCAATTACACCCTCCCTCCAAGCCTTTGTCGATGCCGTGAGTGACCTTCGGGAACAAGGGCTAACCGGCTACGAAGTCGTTAAAGATTTCGTTAGCCGTCGGATCTAGCCTCTGCAGGCCCGTGCTCACCCCGCATTCGACTACACGGGAGCGGAGGATATAACTCGAATCTCTTCGCGGGGTATTCGTCTTTATATTGTGATCTTCCTCCTGTTTTTGATGATGACTTTGAGGCCGAAGCCTAACTCATCCTCTTGTATATTTATTTCAGGTCTTTCTCGTGATGCAGCGGGTGAAGGAGGTCTTGATCAGCGCTGCCTCCACGGCCGACGAACCGCCGGCCCCGCTCTGCGACAAGTTGGCAGCCGAGAAGGCGGCCGCTATCAATGTAAGCGAGAACCGGGGGACCTTGTGTTTTTATTCTTTTTAAGAGCCAAAGTAACTTCAACTCCTGTAGGCCTTGCCATTGACGGATGTTGTCGGTCTTCTTGTTGACCACCAGGCCTTCGCCTCGCTCAAGGACAAGGTCGCCGACGAGGTTGCCAACATTTCCTCTGTTCCCGCCGTCGCAGGAGGCAGCGGGACCAAGCGAAAGCCCTGGGCGAGGTCGAGCGCTCCTTCTAGTTCTCGGCAGAAGTTTGCCGGCTCCGAGGTAAAGCGCACCGTTGTCGCCCTTTTTTCTTGATATGCTAGAATGAGGTCATAGTTCGCCATCTTACGCAGGACTTGGGCAGCCTCGCTCCTCCTCTGAAGAGGAGGGTGTTAAAGCTGCCCGCCGGCAAGTAAGTGAAACTCTTGACCCACTCCATTGTCGCATTGTTGATCTTTGCTGATTATATCCTCTTGACCCACTCCATTGACAGGAAAGCATTGGCGGTCTCCGTGCAAAGCGGGAGTGAGACGGCGATGAGTGGATCTCCAGCCGCTATCATTCCCCGCGTGGAGGTCGCCCCTGTTGTCGTTGAGTCCGTGGGGCCTACCACCGCTCCTGTGGCCGCGTCGCCGCCCGGAGTGGCCAATTGGTCCGATATAGTGGCCGAATGCCACCGCCTTCTCGAGAGCACTTCTCGGGCGGTGGGAGCCCAGATGGACCATGTGGTGGCCCGCGGGACGGCAGCGGACGGAAGGGTGGTTCAACTGGAGGCGCAACTCGAGGTTGCCCATGAAGATCTTCAGAAGATGAAGGAAATCGTGGCCGGCAACGAGATGCAACGCCAGGGCCTAGAGAAGAAGATGAACGATACACATGACATCCTCTTCTCCCTCCGTGACTCCCTCCGCAGGAGCTTCACCAGCCTGCATCAACTGGCGTTGTCGTGCGGCATGGAGTCCTCCATCCCGACACATCCCGACGAGACGTCCCTGACATCGGCGTTGTCGGAGCTGGCGGGCGAGATGGAGGCCATCCCATCGCGGCACGCTGCCCATGTTGCGGAGGAGATCTCCAATGGAATCCACACGGGGGCATGTTACGTCCTCGCGTGCGTGAAGCTAGCTCTCCCTGGCGTCGACCTCAAGGAGATCTTGTCGAAGGGGGCTGTCGATGCCACGCGGGAGAACGTGATGTCCAGCGTGTCGGATCTCGGGGAAAGCATCCTCCCCTTTACAAGGAGTAAACTTTCTCCGTCTTGTATTGTGATTTTTGTACAAACACTTTTGTTGTCTTATGGGCAGAGCGACTTCCTTTACTTCGCACCATTTGTTGATTTGCCGCGTTTCTTTGTCTTTCGTAGCTGCGTAGATTCTGAGGACGTCCAGCAAGGCGGATGTCCTGATGTCGCGAGGATCGACCTACCTTCCTCGAGCGATGCGCCTGCCCCTGCCATTGTTAACGATGGGGAGGTGGGTATGACCTCTGGCCCGTCTAACCCGGGTGTGGTCGCATTCCCTCGCGAGAACTCGGGTGCGATGTCATAGAGAAGTTCATCTTTTAAACTTGTTGTTTTGTTTAAAAGGCAGCATCCCTTACATCCTCTCCCCTTTGTAGATCTCGACGACGTCCTCGCTGAACGAGATAGGCGTATCGCGTACTGGAGGACGAAGTTCGAGGTCGCCGAACTCGAGCGGTCGCTCGTGGTCGTGAAGAAGGACCAGGCCGTGGAGGCTCTCCGAGGCTGCGAGGTTTGGCTGAACTCGTACCTTAAGAGCTGCTACAGTGCCATGGCCGACGTTTGTCGTCAGCTAAAGGTTAATCGCGCGGAGCCCGAGGAGAGTACGGCGGGCTACTTGTCCTGGATGAGGGGGGCATGTGCTCAGCTTGAGGGCATAGGACAGCAGATCGACATCAGCCTCTAAGAGGAATGTCGTCGCGCCAGCCGTTACGCTGGAGGTCATGTCCTCACCTGTATTCAAGATCGCCGCTCGCAGATGGATCTCGGGTTCCTGCGTGGGGGTTTTCGCCGTTCGCGGTTATCGGCGGACGAGGTCGACCGACTGGCACGATCCCTTGCTCCTCTAGCCGAGGAGGTTTTTGCTTCCATCAACTGGCAATAGCCGTCGTGGTAGGCTTTAGTCCCTGTAAAAGAAACATCTAGCAAGAATTTGTAATATACTGTTATCTTTATTAAGGTTTTGTAATTAAAGCAGAAACCTATCTAGTGAAAATGCTTAAACAGGTTATGCTGTGAACGAGTACTACTCTTTTTATAGGCTGCCTTTTGCCCATTATTGAGTAAGGTACTCTCCCTAGCCCCTAGCCTTGTCCTCGGTGAGGTCTGCTCTCGGAGGGGAAGGCTCGATGACTCGTAACTTGCCTATCTAAAATTGCGATTTTGCCTAGGCCCTAGCTGTGAAGTTGGAAAAACCAATTTCCGATTACACGGCTTAGCTAATACACCTTTTGAGCACTCTTACATGACCAGGTCTTACATGGTCGTTCGGCTCTTCAAATCCGACAAGACCTTATCTGCTCTGGGCGTCCCCAGCCAAAATTCCCGTAGGTTTCTCGGAGGCTTGTCGAAACGGCGTAAAGGGTCAGTAGGTTCGATTTCAAGAGTAGGTGTTATCGTGGTAAGGGATCTCTGGGTAAGGCACTGCTATATTTCATGAGAAAATCAAAATACCTTTGGGTAATGGATTTGCACATATTTGGGATACATTGATTTTATACATAGAATTTACGTAACTGATCAATGTTCCAGGAGTTGGATAACTCGCGGCCATCGCCATCTACAATTTTGAACGCGCCTGGTCGCAGTACTTGTACCACCGTGTATGGTCCTTCCCACTTAGGCAAGAGTTTGTTGCGTCCTGCCTGGTTTTGAACTCGTCGGAGGACGTAATCGCCGATGGTGAGTGTGCGAGCTCTAATGCGTTTCTCATGATATCGGCGTAGGGCCTGTTGGTATGCGGCTGCTCGAATGGCAACTCGTTCACGATGTTCCTCGAGAAGATTCACATTGTCGCTTCGCCTTTCGTCCTGTTCCTCGTCAGTATACTTCTGTACGCGTGTACTTTGTACGCGTGTACGGTTATATACACCGGTAATCCCATGTGTTATATAGTACCACTCCTTGTATCAGTAGATGGTACACACATAGCATAGTATAATATCACAACTGACATCGTTTACAGGTGTTTCTACAATAATAATACAAGGGTAACCTCATTGGGTCCCGAAATAGACCAAACATGGTCACTTACAATACAAAATACCAAAGTACTAGATAGAACAGCGGAAGCGAAGCAGCGGTGGTCCATCGAACTCCACAAGCAACGACTGGTGAACCTATGGTCCCTAATCCATCATCTTCGACACGCACTTGATAGTAGCATGGCATGAATATAATCGACTCCAACTCCTTTCTAAAAGATTTAATTAAGCAAGGGTGAGTACATACGTACTCAGCAAGCCACTACTACAAAATGAATCTAATGCACACAGAGGTTCAAGTATGGCTTGGTTTATTTGCATAAAGCTAGTTTTCACAATTCATTTCACAAACCTATTGACCTAGCAGTTTTAACTGAAAAACAACATTATTGTTGAAGTTGTAATTATCCAGGGTTCATCCACCTCTCCAAGCCCCGCTTGGTTCGGTTTACCCTCACATTTCATCCTATACCAACTCTACTATACTAACCTTCCCACTCTTTGGGCAAGTTTCTCATGTCTCTCATATCTACTCTAAGTAGTATTAAAATCTATGAGTCTAGTCAAGGGTAGTACAGGTCCTAGCGCTCATTAACCACGAGCACGGCTTTTCGAATAGTTTAATTTACTCACACTGCAGTGGATGTACGCTTTTAATCCCACACTCCGTGACGCACCCAACACATGAGACTTGTCACGGCCCGGTTTTTCAGTTACCCTTGCATGGCGGCACCCGCTCCAAGGACTATGAATCCCCATTGCACCCCCGGTGCCACATTCCTACCTCGAGCCGGTTGTGAGGGGAGTCCTGGCGCTCCCGAGATCAGAGATTACATTATACATATATATAGTTTTGACGTCATTAAACCACATACTTCCACATTTCCATACCAATGTCCAGAACCTACCATGTCTGGGGTGCCACCCCACGAGAATAACCTAGTCCACCGGGTCTAACCCCACTCAAGAAGTGTGGTCGTACTCGGTTCGTTTCCTGCTTAGCTTCTTGACTTGGTCCTTAACTGACCGGGGTCAGCGGCTTACCGTTCCCAGAACCACCCATATTCTATTCGTGTCGTCCCAGTTGAAATAGTTTTGTTGTATTAAGTTTTGGTTTTCGCAGAAGGTTTGTGTATGGCGGGTGGTGCTCATGTCTCCACCCACAAATCATCAATCACTCACATCGAGTGATCTCACATCCATAATCATCTAGCATAAATATGGAGTGTACGTATGTCTACCATAGCATTACTAAGCATCATCAATAATTGACCGCATATAAATAAATGACTCAGGTAATCAAAGGCATACAACATGTATAAAGGTAATCAATATCAAGGGTAGGCATAATCAAGCATAGGTACGCAATTTATAAATAGCATGCAATTTATTTGTAAAACAACACATTTGTAAACATAGGATCGATATGTTCAAGGATGGGAGCGTAGTGACTTGCCTTGCTATTGGTTCTAATGACTTCAAGATATCCGCAACAGTTAGATAATTAGAATATCCACGACCGAAGAATACCCAGAATAATCACGCTCGATAAACGGCCAAAGAAACCACACACAATCCTAAAAGAAGTAAAATAAAGCAACATTCAATGCAACTAATGGTTCCATTAAATAGATCTCAATTTTAGAGAGATTATGGAAGTTGAATGGAGTCAATCGGAGTTACGGTTGGAAAGATATGGGTTTTCGAAGTTGGAAGAGTTTATAAACCGAAGGGGAGTTGCTCCTCGGGTTGGGGACGGGTTATAGACTTTCAGAGAGGGCTCTGGGTTGCACATGGGATGTCTTATGGACTTTAGTGTATGAGTAGGCCGATGGTGGGCTCTGGGGGATAATTTATAGACTTCTGTGGTACATGGGTTCTCTGGGTTTGGCCGAGGGAGTAGAGGGATCTAATGTAGACTTATATGGAGGAATGAAAGATCTAGAACATGGGGTCCACATGTAAGTGACTCATATCTCTAAAAGATGGTTTAACAGGAATTAATCCGGGATGGGTCCACGTGTCACTGGGATTATTTGAGAGGGATTAGGAGTGTCATTACTGTGCATGAGGGATTATATGAGGTGGGGCCCGCATGGGTCCCATATGTAAGTGTCATCTCCCCTTATTCCTTCTTTTTGTCTCTCTCTTATCCGTTTCTCTTCTCTCCTTCTCGATCTCTCCTCTCGTTTTCTCCTCACGCGCGACTGAGAGAGAGGGAGCGAGGGCGGCGATGGGGAGGCGGCCTGGCTAGGGCGCTAGGCGACGGGGCGGCGCGGCCGTGGGCGACGGTGTCCGGCGGCGCCCGGAGGGAAGGCGACATGGCGGCTGGGCGGCGGGGAAGTGGGGAGGGCCGGCGGCCAAGAGGCGGCGTGTGGCGGCGGCCTAGCGCAGTGGGGGAGGAGGGGCCGGCGGCTGGGTGACGGCGGCGGCCTGGCACGGTTGGCCGGTGGTGAGGGAGGGAGGGAAGGCCGGCGGTGGGGAGATGGAGACCGGCAGCGGTGGGGATGGTTGAGAGGGCGGCAGCGGTGGGTAATGGAGAGGAGACCGAGGAAGAAGCTCGGCGGCGGGGCGGGAGGATGTCGGGGTCGGCGCGCGCTACGGAGGCGGCGTCGGCCGGACTCGTGAATGGTGGGCGCGACGATGATGCCGCGCGTATGGCGCGGCTGACAGCGCGGCCACTCGGCGGCGTCCTGGGCGAGGCCAAGACGTCGGTGGGGCAGCGGCCGGGCGTGTAGGCGCAGGCGACGGCCTGGCGACGGCGCGGCCGGGCGCGTCGGATGGGGGACGGTGCGCGGACCGGCTACGCGTCGGCCACGCAAGGAGGTGGCGACGGAGCGCACGATGGTGGCACCGCGCCGGGACAGCGACAAGCGAATGGAAAAACAGAGAGAAGGCGATCGACAACACTAAGGGACGACAATGGGAAGGAGGGCAAGGAAGGGAAGGAGCAGATGCTCACACTGCGGCAGCCGAGTAGCGGCACACCGTGCGTGGTCGACGGGCGTCGACGATCGGCTCGCGGATCATCCTAGGCTTGCTGTTCGTCCTCGCACACCACGTGTTCGATCGTCGGTAACAAGCGAACACACAGTGTTAGGGGATAAATGTCAGCGGGTTAGTGCAAGGTAAGAGTTAGGGAGTTAGAAGTTAGCGAAACGGAAAGTGGAAGAGTCAGTGAAACAGAAAGTAAAGGGTTAGCTGGTTAGTGAGTCTAAGGGTTAGATGTTAAAGTTAGTCGTTCTCGGGTGATCAATGGTGCGGCGGCCTATCCGTCCTCTTGCTCAACTGAGGCCCAGCCGGAGCCGGCCGCGGCGGAGCAAATGGAGGGATGGCAGCTTGTGCACGGGACTGAGGAGCGCAGTGGCAGAGCTCGAGCGTGGAGGTGGAGAAGAAATGGAGAGGAGCCGAGCTGCTGCTGTCTTTGGTGGGGTTCATATAGGTTTGCTGGCTGCCTGTGTATGGGAGGCAATGTGAGGGTAGGCGGGGAGCAGCTCTGAATGTCGACATCGCCACAGTACCAGGTATGCATGGCCCCTTGCACTTGGCTCTGCCATTTTCGGTGTGAACTTGGTGTTGTGGATCTTCCTCATTGTGTTGTTTGTATTTTGGGAATGAATTTTGTGAACCGGGAGCATGGGTGCATGGTTTGCTGTGTGGAAGGGACCCATGTTATTGAATGGCCGCATATTTTGGTGCAAAATCCTGTTGTGAGCCGGCAATAGTTGGTGCTAAACCCTGTTGCGGCTTGTAGGCAATTCATCGAACAGCTTCTGTGCAGGCAGCTGGTTCGGCTGGGGAGGGAAAACAGACTTTGGCTGAGAAGGTTGCTTGGTGGCTGTAGCTCTGAGGTTAGGGAGGCAAAACAGACTTTCTGTGAGATGAGCTGGGCTGACAGGGAAGGGAGGTGGCCTGGTTGCAATAGGAACTTTTGCATATTGCAGGGATTGAATTGGAATGACATATGTATTAATGGAACTTGTAATTTGGACTGTATTTATATTTTGGAATGTATAATCTGGACATTTATTTGGCTCTGTATATCGGACTGTGCTTGTATGGTACTATGGAGTGTATGGTTGTGTTCGGTATAGAAATTCCGTTATGCACAAGGATTGAATGTTTGGACTGCAATACGAGGTTTGGTATTTATGGAACCTGCATTGCCAAATAGGAATTTAGGCTTAACGCCTGACGAACGAATTCATCGGTCGTCGTAGGATTATTTTATTCATAGGATTATTTTATTTTGAGAGTGTTCGTACGAACGACCGATGGTAGTGAAGGAAGGATTTTAGGGACGACATGTGGCATAGAAATCCAATCGTCGCAGTAGGAATAAATTTGAGGATATTCGAATCGACGTACGATAAATAAATATGTCGACCGATCGTAGACATTCGAAGGGGATATCAAGTTGAATTAATAGAATGGTTTGAAATAACCGTAGGGTAAGAATTGAGGAAGATATGTCGTGTTGCGATATAAGGGAAGATTTTCGGGTTATATATCCAGATCTATGATTTGTTTAGTACCGAAGCACTTAATAAATCAGACCGTGAAGTTAAGGGAAGGAAAGGACGTTGGACTGAGGGCGTCCCTTTCGGAGATAAGATTTAATCGAGATCTTTGGCACACAACATAAAAAACACACAAATGCATAATAAATCCTAGCATGTAAAAAGGTTTAAAAAGATTTTTGATTATTCCGAATTTTTAATTCCATATTTCAGAATCGAAATTTTCAGGATGTTACAGTTGCTCTGAGGATGGGACACTGAGGCGAAGCAGATCTTGACTCCAAGTTCGATGCAGTAATCTTGGAAATCACCGTTGGTGAATTGGGACCCGTTGTCGGTAAGGATGCGGTGAGGCAACCCATATCTACAGAATATCCCCTTGATAAATTTTATGGCATTTTCGGCTTTAATTTCTCTTGTCGGCTTTGCTTCAATCCACTTAGTGAAATTGTCGATCGGCACGAACAGGAATTTGTAGCCCCCTTGTCCTCGTGGGAATGGCCCGAGTATGTCGAGCCCCCAGCATGAGAATGGCCATGTCAAAGGGATAGTCTGGAGCGCTTGTGCTGGCAATTTGGTGTGTTTTCTAAAGAATTGACAAGCTTCAAATCGTTGCACTAGTTCACATGCGTCTTTAAGAGTAGTTGGCCAGAAAAAGCCTTGTCTGAAAGCTTTTCCGACGAGAGTACGTGCGCCGGCGTGTGATCCGCAAATGCCTTCGTGGATGTCAAGGAGAAGAGTTTTTCCGTCGTCGGATGATACGCACTTGAGGAGGATTCCGTTTGGGGCCTTCTTGTATAAATCGTTGCTGATCATACAATATATCTTGGCCTGACGGGATAGTTTCTCTACCTCTGTGTCGTCATCCGGCAGCTCGTCTGACTCCAAGAATCTGATTAGCGGGGTGCGCCAGTCGTCTGTTGTCTCTATGTTCGCAACGACGTTTGTGAATTGTGACCTCTGCAGCTCCCTGCGAGATGCTGGTATTGGCTGTGGTGCTTTCGTCGTGCGTGTCCTTGATGGATGGTTTTGTCAGAACGTCCAAAAACGTTCCGGGCTCGAGTGGTTCTCGCCTGGAAGCGCGTCGTGCAAGGTCGTCTGGTTCGACATTGTCTTTTCGGTAGACATGTCGAACTTCGATGTCGTTGAACTTGCGTTCTAGTTTTCTAACCTCGGCGAGATATTTGGCTAACTCGGGGTTGGAGCATTTGTAGTCTTTGTGTACTTGGTTTGCGACCAATTCAGAGTCTCCCTTCACGATTAGTCGCTTGACGCCAAGCGCGGCTGCTGCTTTTATCCCTGCGAGTAGTCCTTCGTACTCGGCCGTGTTATTTGTTGCCCGGAAGTTTAGATGGATTGCATGCTTGAATTGATCTCCTGTGGGGGATGTCAAGCCGGTGCCTGCTCCTTGGCTATTCAGTGCTCCGTCAAATGCCATGATCCAGGTTTCGTTGTCCGTTTGGGCGGCTGGGCTATCCTCTGGGATAGTCCAGATGGCTACAAAATTGGCGAGGACCTGTGACTTAATGGTTGTTCTAGGCACAAAGTGGATATCGAATTGGCTTAGCTCAACTACCCATTTGGCAATTCAGCCGACCACATCTTTATTCCTAATGACTTCACCCAAAGGGAAGGAGGAGACGACGGTGACCTTGTGAGCCTGGAAGTAGTGGCGTAGCTTTCTCGATGTCATAACCACCGCATAGAGCAGTTTTTGGATCTGTGGGTATCTAATTTTTGCGTCGTGGAGGGCCTCGCTTACGTAGTACACGGGATGTTGTTCTTTTTCCCTCTCTACGACGATAACCGTACTCACAGAATAAGGCGTGGTAGCGATATACAGGAATAATTCTTCATTGATGTGTGGAGCAACGAGTACAAGGGGGTTTGACAAGTAGCGCTTGAGCGCGATAAATGCGTTCTCGGCTTCTTGGTTCCACTCGAATTGGTCCTGCTTCTTGAGCAGGGCGAAGAAAGGTTGTCCTCGTTCTCCCATCCTTGCGATGAATCGGCTTAGCGAAGCCATGCATCCTGTCAACCGCTGGACCTCCTTGAGCCTTGTGGGCGACTTCATGTTCTCGATCGCCTTGATCTTCTCGAGATTTGCCTAGATTCCTCGTCCTGAAACTAAGAAACCTAGGAGCTTCCCCGACGGTACTCCGAATGTACACTTCTCCGAATTGAGCTTCATTTGGTATCTTCGGAGGTTGTCGAACGTTTCCCTGAGGTCGTCGGTTAGTGAGTCGCTTTTCTTGGTCTTGACGATGATGTCGTCCACATATGCTTCGACGTTTTGTCCGAGCTGAGTACCGACTGCTCCCTGGATCCTGCGCTGATATGTGTTGCCTGCGCTTATTAATCCAAAAGACATCTTGGTATAACAGAATACACCGAAAGGCGTGATGAACGTTGTCTTCTCCTCATCCTCTTTTGCCATGCTAATTTGGTGGTAGCCGGAGTAAGCGTCAAGGAAGCTTAACAACTCGCAACCAACCGTTGAATCCACCAATTGGTCTATTCGAGGAGAGGGAAGTGGTCTTTGGGGCACGCCTTGTTGAGATCGGTGAAGTCGACGCACATCCTCCACTTCCTGTTGGCTTTGCGTACTATTACTGGATTTACGAGTCACTCTGGATGGAGGACTTCTCTTATGAAGCCAGCTTTGAGAAGTTTGTCTAGTTCTTTTCGTATGGCTTGTTTTTGGTCGGGTGCGAATCTCCGCAGTTTCTGCTTAACTGGCTTGGCATCGGGTCGCAACATCAGTTTGTGCTCAATCACCTCCCTGGTACTCCCGGCATGTCTAACGGTTGCCAAGCGAACACGTCTGCATTGTCTCGGAGGAAGGTGATGAGCACGAGTTCCTATTTGTCGTCCAACGATGCCCCAATCTTGACAGTTTTGTCGGGGTTGGAGCTAGACAGTGGGATGATCTTGATGGCGCCATCTGGTTTTGGTGTCTTCTTGGGCTTGCTCACTTTCTTGGGGTTTTCGGTTGTGGCGGGCGGGTTAGGAGTATGCTCGACCATGTCGAGGCTCCGCTTGTCGCATTGTACTGCCAACTTGGTGTTCCCCTGGATAGTGATTGTCCCTTTCGGTCCTGGCATTTTGAGCACTTGGTATGCGTAATGCAACGCCGCCATAAATTTTGCGAGTGCAGTTCTCCCAATGATGGCATTGTAGGCGGTGTCGAACTCTGCGGCATCAAAGGTGATCTGCTCTGTTCGGAAGTTTTCGGCATGTCCGAAGGTGACGGGTAGCATGATCTTTCCCAATGGCTTAGACGACGACTCCGGGGTGATTCTGTGGAAGGGCTAATCTGTGGGTGTCAGCTCGCTTCGAGGTATTCCCATCGCGTCTAAGGTGCTGGCGAAGAGCAGGTTAATCGAGCTCCTGCCGTCGATGAGAACTCTCGCCACCTTTATGTTCCGAATAGTGGGTTCAACCACTGTTGGATATCTGCCGGGCGTAGTCGCGATGTTGGGGTGATCCGCTTCCGAGAACTCGATCTTGTGTTGGGACTACTTCATCTTGGCAGCTGTTGTTTGCGAGGTGGAGCAGACCTCGCGTTCCACTTTTTTATACTCTCTCTTAGAGTTGTACGACGTGGATCCGCCGAAGATGTGGGAGACGTGTAGGTCGTATTCTGGAAAGGCAGAGTCGGAGTTGGCGGCGGCGGCTTCTTCTGCCGTTTCGACAACTCGTACTCGCTTCCCTCTTTCGATCGCTAGTTGTCTCGCAAGCTCTTTTTTTATGACATAGAAATCCTCCATGGCGTGATTGCTTGTCTTGTGGATTGGGCATCATGCCTTGCGCGAGTCGTCGCTCTGGGGATTGGGGCGTCTGGACGGTTCCACTTGTTCCGTGGCAAGGACCTCTATCGAGGACTTGCGCTACCCACTCTTGCGGCTTCTCTTTTTGCTCGACTCTGGTGCATCCTTATCGGTCGACTTCTTCTTCTCATCCCCCGCCTTGCTTTTTCCCTCCTTGCGCCTCAGTGCATCGTCTGCATGAGCGCATCTATCGATGATCTCGAATAGCTTTCGGGCAGACGTGATTCGGCGCGTCGCCAACTCCTGGGTGGTGTACCGATCTCGGACGCCTGATCTGAATGCTCGGATGACAGAAGCATCGGTGATCTCGGGGATCGTATTTTTGCACTTGTTAAAGTGCCGAATATAGTCCCGCAATGACTCGCTCGGGTTCTAAGTTAGAGCGTGTAGGTCGTCTTCAATCGCGTGGCGCTTGTATGTCCCTTGGAAGTTGGCGATGAACTGCTACCACAAATCTTCCCACGAAGAAATTGAGTTCGGCGAGAGATGGACGAACCATGAACGAGCAGAACCTTTCAACGCGGCTAGCAAATAATTAGCCAGAGTGTTGTCGTCTGCACCAGCGGCATAGAGAACTGTGGAGTAGACTTGCAGAAATTCTTCTGGGTCTGTACCTCCATCATATTTCTCAATCGATCCCGGTAGGAACTTCTCGGGCCATCGCACATTGCGGAGCGCTGGTGTGAACGCCCTGCATCCGTTTCCTGGGATAGGGTGTGGCCCGTGGTCGCGACATCGTCTTGGAGGCCGATCCGAAGAGGACGACGAAGACGAGGATGAGGGGTCACTTGGCTCAGGAGCTTGGCTTCTCGAGCGATGATCGCGTCCTCGATCTCGACTCGGATAAGGAGATTGGGAGTTTCGATCACGTCGGTTGTCGCCGTCCCTCTCCTGTCTTCGGCGATTATTCTCCTGACCTCGGTTGTTGTCGTTATCGCATCGATCATTATGGGGCCGATGATCTCGATCTTCATTTGGGGTATTTCCTCGGCCGTCGTCTCTTTCTCGCCGCGAGGGAGAGCGATGATGATGTTGTCGATGTGGAGTACCGTCCTCCCGACGAGAAGGAGAGTGATGGCGACGATGGTCGTCTTCGTTACGATCCCTCCTACTCTGCTGGCGTCTGTTCAGATGCTCGCGAAGATCGCTATCTTCACGGCGTGGTGGTGTAGGATCATGTCTTTCTCGAGGGGAATGATCACCGGTGGCATGTCTTCCGGCGAGGTCTTCTCCATCCGCGTCCTTGGTGGGTCGCTCTCCGTTCCTGTGCGGCTCTGGGCCGCCTGCTGCTTCGGCAAACGCGGCATTGAGGTTCGTCACAGTTTCCCGTAGTCGCTCTGCCAATTGGCTGGCGTCTGGGTTTGTTACTGGATCGAAAGGACTTTCTCTCAATATCGCGTCCAAGTTCCGCAACTGATGAGCGGGCATTCTCGCTGCTGCGGACGCACTTGTCTTAGTGTTGTCGACCACGTTTACATCCCTAGGTGACTGCGAGGAGGGTTCGTTGCCTTCAAGGAGGTGCAACACGGATGGCTCGTTTGTACCGACAGATCCCACAAACCTATCTGGAATCGGTGCCACATCTGGTTCCTTGGCAACGCACGGGGTTTGAACTCATGGTTGTTGGACACGATGATGCGCTGGTTTGAGGGTCCAGAGAAAGATTCTGCAATTTGTGAAATCATGAGATCTAGATCTGTGGATCGGACAGTAGGTGGTTCCCGTTGGTGAAGTGTGTTGAATCCCTCGTTCCCAACAGGCGTAGAGTTCAGCTTGTACGTGGAGTATCACCGGACAGTCCTCGAGAGTATGCTTGGTTGTCTTATGCACAGGACACCAAGATCTCGGTCTTAGGGTGGTCATCCTTGTCGGCTTTGATCTTTCACATGAAGGGTGAATTTCAGCCGCCTGAGGGTTCCTCCCAGATGTTGGGGCCGTCGATGTTCCGTTCTCCACCTGAGTGGGAGGAATTGTCGGCGGGGCGTCGTTTCTCTCAGTCGTTGCCGTACCTCTCTCGTTCCCAATGATGATTGGGCCAGCCGAGATTGGTGTAACGGTATAGACCAGAAAGACAATAGATCCGACCTAAGTCCACACTAGCGGTGTCGAGGTAGAAACTCCTTGATCGACGCTGGCGATGACACTGTTGTCGGGAAGTCCTGAAGTCATACTGGTAGATCCTTGAGCACCAAGTCCCCCTACTTGGCGCACCACTGTCGACGTGGGATACTCGCGGACCGGATGAGTTAATTATTGGGGTATGTTGGAACGAGGGTCTACGTAGTACGACATCAAGCAAACAAAAGATAAGGATTATACTGGTTCAGGCCCCTTGTCAGGTAATAGCCCTAGTCCAGTTTATATGAGATTGATGACGATAAGAACATATTACAAAGAGAGTAGTCGAAACAGATGGTACCGACGAGATCGTAGTCGAGGGATTCGACGAGATCTCCCGGTGACTTGGCTCCGTGCACTCCGATTTCGTAAACTTTGGTGGGTGTGTGGTCGATGAGATGCGATGCCCTTCGCCTCCCCCTAGGGGTCCCTTTTATACCGTGTAATACCTTGACCCTCATGTAAGACTTAGGGATATGTAAACCGACACGATATAACAGAGATTTTACCCTTTCCGAGTAGGACTTCGGCAATTTCTTAACTCAGAGATATTTTCCATAACTTGAGACGAGTTCCTAATGGCGTGTACGGAAACGATCCGTATACGTGAAGGTATATCTTATCGGTATATTTCATAAGTCGTAGGATAGAGGGTATGCCTTATCCATAACCCTGACAAACATTTTCGCCATAACTGATATCCTACACCATTAAATTATTTAATTGTGATTTTATAAAAAGAATGTTCACCTGTTTTTAGAGTTCCGAAAACGGTGATGAGTTGAATTGAACCACAACTATATACTTTTAACTATAGATGGCCATGTAGGCCACCCGGCACGGCACGGCCCAAGCCCGGCCATACCTGGGCTGAGGCTTGTCGGGTCGGCACGGCCCGACCGACGCACCGGGCCATGCCGTGCCAGCCTAATGGCGGCATACACAGCCCAGGCATGGCCCAATACTACTCGGGCCATGCCGGGCCGGCCAGAAGGCACGATGGGTCATCGTGCTTCCTCACAGAAAAAGTCTATTTTTGGTCCCTCAACTCTGTGGGTTGTGTTTAAATGGCTGGAGAATAAGTCTATTCTGTATACTCCTCACAGAAAAAGTCTATTTTTGGTCCCTCAACTCTGTGGACTGTGTTTAAATGGCTGGAAAATAAGTCTATTTTGTATACCTCTTGTCTTGGGCCTTGCATTATACGATTATTTAAGTCTATTTTGCATCCCTATATTTTTTTATTTGACCAGGCCGTGCCGTGCTGGCCCAGCGTGCCGAAGGTGCGGCCCAAGCACGGCCCGGCTGTCGGGCCGGGACGGCACGAGCACGACCCCAGTCGGGTCGTGCCGTGCTTGGGCCGGGCCAAACAGCCGTGCTTTGGGCCGGGCCGCGGGCCACGGGCCATATGGCCATCTATACTTTTAACTCAGTGTTTTCATCCTCGTTTTACATAAACTTATTTAAGTCAAAGTTGACAAAGTTCAGGCACTCATCCTTATAAGCCACTTCATCTCTTCTTCAATCTTCCATGGTGGGGGAAGCTATTCTAAACTCTTGAAGGGACATCCCTCATTATTTGCATGTGTTCTAAATGGTTATGAAAATATTTGAAAAAAACCAATAAGATAGATTAATATATGATAATTAAATCACTACATAAACATGTAAGGTCAAATTTAACTTCTATAAGTTACAACGAAAAAAATAAATTTGAATGTGAATATACGTTTACTAGCCATAGTTTAATATCTTTTTTTGCAACTTGCAGAAGTTGAATTTTAACTTTCATGTTTGTGGAGTGATCTATTACATATTAATCTATTTAGTTGAATTTTTTTTATAATTATTTAGATAACATGCAAATAATAAGGAGATATTCCCTCGAGAGAATCCACTCCCTCCAAGGTGTACTAATATTTTGCACTGTATGCCGCTGCTGCTGCATTGAGTTGCTGCTAGCTTGCTGACCGGCCTGATCTTGCGTGCGTGCATGCTAGCTTAGCTTGGCCCAAAGAAACAGGGCCTACTCTCAACTCTCTCTCCTCGCTGCAATGGGTCAAGCCCAAACAAACCAGCCAACTTAGCCCATCTATTCTCCTTTTCCTTTTTTTCCCCTTCTCTAGTTATTGTAGGACATTTACACCGTCGCTGTTACTTTTACTTTTTTTTTTACTCCTTGGCTCGATCTCCCATGGTAACCTATGCTACCTCGATACGTCGATACATGGATACGGTATTTTCCAAAAAACAAGGATACGGGAATACATTTATATATTTATATATATATTAGAAATACAAAAAATTAAGGATTCTTTTAAGAAAATGGCAATATAATACTAGGATTAGTGCAGTTGCAGTTCATTCCATGGCCATCTTCTCCAACTCTGCTATAGTTGACGAAGCGATTTAAGCCCCCTAAAAAATTGGTGTGTAATAAAGTGCAAGACTACAAATAGCATACAAAACGCAAATTTAATAGTTCAATCAACACAGTTGCTCTTTGATTGATGTGCATCAACATTCCGCACTACCCCTAGAATTGCTAGATGCACTAGTACAGACTGCACAGTAGCATTTGGAGGTTGGATCTAACAAAAACAATAGTCCTTGACTACTTATCCTAAAATAATAAAGACATTGCAGATCAAGCATGAAACACTAGAGGAGTGGATTTATCTCAAGTAGTGAGGGAAACAAATAAAAAGCTGCAACGGTGCTTCGATGCTGCCGGTGCTGTGCTTGCCTTGGGCGGTGACGGCCCTGGCCGGCTGCCACCCGGCCTCTAAACTCGCGGCGGAGGTGCTGTGCGGCTGTGCCTGTTTGCAGAGAAGGTGTTGTGCTGCCGGGCGCGGCGGCGACGCATGCCTGTACCCAGCGTGTGGTGGCGACATCTCGCTAGGGCGCGTGCGAGATGCATCGGGATGGGAGACGGAGGACGGCGGCTCTGCATCAAATCGCTAGATACGTACGGAATACGTATCTGATACGTATCCCGTATCCGTCATGTACCTGATACGGATACGCGGCCTGGAAGCCGTATCCAGGTAACGTATTGGTAACCACATCCCTGCTTTTTTTTTAAAATTACACAGTACAATGCAGAAACTTACAACGCTCGCACACTTACCACCTCTATGAACGTACGCACGCAAACCCTACCTCTATGAGCATCTTCGAA